AATGAGTTCGTTCAAGGATTTATAGATCAAAATTGTCGACAGTACCGTAATTAAAAACAACCGTCGACTATCTCGATCGACGAGTAAGTGAACCAAATTGTATACCGATAGTATTAAAAAGTAATAGAAAAACAGAAAATTGAATAGAAACTAAATAAAAAGGTAAAAACGAATAGAAGGAAAAGGAAAGACGGGATACAGCCATTAGATTGTTATAATATTAGACGTTAATGTTCCTCAATTATGTTAATATTCAAACTTAATTTGTTAGTTTCTAATGTCTACGGTTTATGATTTCTATGTCGGTGGCCTGGGAACCGTCCGTTTACTCGATTAACAAACACGCAAAGATTTCCGTTTGCGTGACCGCACACGTTCACTTTTCATTCGACTCTATCGCTCGCTGAAGGTAAACACCCAAGGCCGTTTTTCCTCTCGGGTGTTCGACGCAAACGTCAAACTTCCAGTCACAATTGCCCTTTCTGCGAAACCGGACATCGAGACCACTGGAGAACCGAGTAGAGGAAACTGTCGGCCATATTGGTTCTATTTTTATCATTGTTCAAACTTGTTTTTACCGACGAACCAATGTATTTTCTATACTTTCGTCGATATTGGTTCCATTTTTACCATTTTTATAACTTACTTTCACCAACGAATTTACAACTTAAAAATTTTAAATCGATCTTTCTGAGATTATTGATAATCTGGTTCAATTACCTATAGATCGAAATTATCGATAATGTTAGTTAAATCGATGTATTCCGAAAATACTATCGACAATTACGATCTATAGACAATCCAGCCAAATTACATATTAATAAGCTCATTGTAAGAACCAATTTCGATGCACTCGGTTTACGATGCGAACAGGGAATTCACGTCTCATTGATTCTGCGGGACTATATCGCGTCGAGGGAACCGACACACGACCAACTGTGTCAAATGTTTACCGTCGCGGCCGAAGAGTCTATAAAACGCGACGAAGACAATGGCCCCGCGGCGAGAATAATGGTCCGCGAACGAGCACCAGGAGAATGAAACTCTTTCGCGTGCGAAGCACCACGAGCATACAGAAGGGAACAAGACAAGAAAAAAAAAACCACTTTCTTTCGAGGCGCGGTTTCTCTTCGAGAGCAAACGAGCCGACCAGCCGTGCTTCGCCGGGATTGAACAATGACGCGGAGAGAATGCTTGTGTCTCGTACGAAATCCCCGCGAGATTGACTTTTTCCGTTTCGCGGAGAATTCGGTGAGTGTTGGAAGATAATTGGAGAAAAGTCGTTTTCAATGAAAAACAAATTTTCCCTGAAGACATTCCGATTTTAACGCAGACTGTACCACGATCTATGGCAGTCTGTGGTACCAAATTCGATTGCAGACTCGGTGTTTGAAAACGCTGTTCAATAAAGAAACTAAAATTTATTTAATATCACCTGAAACTTCGTATGTCTGTTAAGCAGTCAAAAATAAAGGATACGTATTTTTTTTATCGGCTGAGGCGCGACTTTAAGGGATGAAACCACCCCTCGAAATTTCGACCCGAAAGTTCTATCTCGAAAACCAGAGGAGATACATGTAAACTTCTAATAGACGAGGTTTGCGGTTTTTTTATGTAGAATAATATGGTGCTAACAAATTGTTCAAAATATAATTTGTTAGAATAAATCCTTAAAAAATGGAAGAAAATTCAATCTTCACATCTGACTTAACAAATCCCTTCGAAAAATGTTATTTTTCATAAAATTCCACAGTCTAATAATTATTTTTCGATAAATTTCGTGAGGATCGTCCTTGTATTTAACAGAAATCAGCTGACAATCAATGGATTCTTCACTTTCCTCCACTTTCCTCTTCCTTCTTGCGTTCTCCGCCGTAAAAGTCAAGGTATCCGAGGAATTCCCCGAGTTCTCCTCTATCCTCGATGCTCCACGACGCGGAAACCGCACTCTCCTTTCCGAAAACCACGACGGTTTTATCGTCGAGTCGACTGTTCGCCAGTGACAAATTAATAATCGCGAGCTCGGCACAATTTTCAGGGCGGAACACACGTTGTTCGCGGTGTAACGACCAACAAAAGACGGGAGAGCTGTCGAGCCAACAGCCGTGGGGGCACTTTCGATTCTTCGGACAGGTCGCGGGTAAAAACTCACCTCGGACTCATTAATCGACCGTTCGAGACGACGTAATCCATAGAACCATTGCATAAATCCATTACCCTCTATCTGGATCTTTTATTTTCCCATTGGTTTGCTCGACGTTTCACTATTGCAGAGGAATTTCATTCTGATAACCGTATTGATGAGTGATTCAATGCCCTGTTATCGAACGCGATATTTTCATATCCTGCAACATTTTTCGTCGAGGGTTGTGTATGTAATGTATCAGGATTGGGCACATTTTATTTGAAATAAAATAAGGAATGATCATTCAGTAATTTTATTTTGTGTTTAATTTAAATAAATTATTTCCGAATAATTTTTTATTTCAGTTACCTCACTGAAATAAAATAACGAATAATTTAACATAGGAGGTTATTGAACTAAATCAATTATTAAACTCAGAGTACGGAAATTTTTATAGTTTAACCGCGTTTGCTCTGACAATTCGAGAGTATTTGAGAAATTATTTGAATAAATATTTGAACAAATATAAAATAAAATAGAAAGTCATGTCATTTGAAACACAAATAACGGAATATCTCTGCCATAACTAAATTCAAATTCAATCCTCATAAATAATATAATAATAATACAATCTACTACATTTTTAAGTTAAATCAATACATAATAATCCTCAGCCCAAGCAAAGTAACTAGACTCTTCCCTGTTTACAAGAAAGAAAATGGCCGACTCGAAAGAGGGACCATTTAGTAAATTCGCCCGTGAATGGGACGATGAAATTCCGGCCCGGGGGGGACAATACGGTAAAAGGTAAAAGGCTGAAAGTGTTCGTTATATACAGTCGGATTACACAGGAACTTTCGATTCGCATCGATGTCGAGAAGGAAATCGTGTGCTCGTCTCTCGTTTATAATCGTCATCTCGTTGCCTCCTCTCTCTTTCTGTCTTTTCTCTTCGGCCCTCTCTTTCACTCCAGTCGACCACATGAGAATCTAGGTCGCACGGCTGCGTTCACCTTCCAGCAAAAGCAATGTCTTCCAAGGAAGGTCGTCGTTCGTCTGGAAAGCCTCTCTTTCTTGACCATTCTTTTCCCTTTCTTTCGATCTTCATCCTAATAGAGGGGCACCTGCTTCCCCCTGTATGTCGCGAATCCTTGGAACCAGTTCGATTTATCGCCTCGACTGTCAAGGGTACGCGTTGCTCATCGGCGAACGTATTGATACTCTGTTTATTGATAGAGTAAATCTGGGAGAAATTAAAGATATTCTAAAATATTTTAGAAATAATGGATATTGTGTTCTCAATGGTTTGTGTAGTCGATGATCTTTTCTACCACGTGTAATTAGTAGAACACAATACAGGGTGTAACAAAAATGTTGGAGGACTCGGAAATGGGAGACTCGTGAGGTGATTTGAAACAAGTGTTTCCTTAGCAAAAATGTTATGTGAGGCTTTGTTAACGAGATGTTAACGTTGAATGTTAGAAGACCGAATAAAAGTAAAATTTGTTGAAAGATGTAATTTACGAATGATGTATTTGAAGTCATCGTATTACGAGACACCCTGTATATTCGTGGTATAACCACGCGTTGATGTCTCCCACGTGGCATTCCCGTCTCACCGTAACGTTCTGTCGAGTCTCCATCGCGTGCGCACTCGCGAACCGTGCGTTGAAATCACCCAGTGCGCTGCGTTCGCGTATAACCACGCGTTGAAGTCTCCAGAGCGAGAATCGACCCACCACCATTCGTTGCGTATGAAATCACCAAGGCGGGCGTCGAGTTCCCTGTATTGCCACGCATTGAAATTTACTGGGCGGCGTTCCTCTTTCATCACGCATTGAAATCTTTCGTGTGTTTCGAGTATACACAACCATGCGTTGAAATCCCCGTTGCCACGCATCGAAGTCGCCTTTTGTAACGCTATTGTATTATTACGAACATCAGTCTCGCAAGTCTAGTCACGAATTGTTAAATGTTTTATTTAAAATAGTTGACAGTTATTATTAAATGTTTTATTTAAAATATTTGACAGTTCTAATTAAATGTATTATTTAAAATAGTTGACAGTTCTGATGAGACTATTTCATATGAGACCGTATTACACTAGATTGTATTATATATTACGTATAATACTAAATTTCACAAGTTTATTTCACATACATTCACTGCTGGTAGTTATATTGTTAAGTGTCCTTAACTAAGGTTCCTTAAATTCAATACAAAATGATTTTACTCGACGGAATCCTATCACGATCTACAATCTCCAGTTATTATTTCCACTAGTTCTAAAAAAGAAACAAATTGGTTTTTTATCGTAATAACGAAATTCTTTGCCTACATTCCCAGATCTTCGACTTCCTCCGCGAATAACAACCCCGCCACGCAAAGGGGGGGGGGCATAAAAATACTAATCGCTGCCAGGATTCCCAAGCCGAAAACAATTAAAATCCTCGCATGTCGGACGCTGCAAAACGGAGATTGAGATACACAACTCTAATTGGTCGTTGATTCTCTCGTCTGACGAACGACACACAGGTAATTACCGCCCCGTGTGTAATTAATTGACCAGCCCCGATCAATCAACCGACCGCTCCCCAGTCATAGCATGCCTTAGAAAGCGTTCGCTAGCGCCTTGGTACATAAACGTTCCATGGAAAGCGTCGTATATTATTCTTTTTTTCTTTCGTTATCTGATCGTCGCCGACGTTTGACGCCGAAAGAAAGCGTTTTTCCACGTTGCATATGACTACTAATGGAAAAATCCTAGAATCAGGACCACAAAGTCCCTAGGCGAGGGTTCCCTGGATAATTGACCCCAACTAATTAAGTTATCGCTGTGAATCGACCAATTAGAAAGCTTTCTGGTATATACTCACAGGTGGGCTGTTGCTGGGGTGGTATTTGGGCCGCGTGTGTGCTGCTGTGCCTTGCTATTGTGATCTGGAACAAAAAGAAAGAACGTTGGTTACGTTAAATCGTACTAGGGGATCGTTTGTCCCTAGACCGATGGGAAACTAGTGGCGTGAGATCTAAAGTTTGGAGAACTCCGATGGTGCTCTTGATCCTACTCTTCTCACATAGATGTTCATTATGTCACGGTGAGTTTGCATTTAGTGGCGTTAATCTAATTATTCTTTTTTTTATATAACCTCGTGTTGCAGAATTATGCAAGCGGTTTGTTGTCGGTGATTTGCAATTATTATTTGTTGAGAGCTTGGTTAAAGATTACTATGTGAACTGGCGTGTTTATTCGAACCAGCTTTTACGTCTTCTCAGATACCACATGACGCCTTGAAGACGGCTTGAATTATGAAAGGAATCGTCGAATGATGTACGTTCGCGATTTATCGGTCCTCGGATCGATCGTCATCGATGGAAAAGTCCTTGCGAAAATGTCAGGTTAAACTTGATCCGTTCGACTCTCTCTCCCGTTCACGGCTCGCCGTATGAATCACGCGATTTAAGGCGCACGCGCACTGAAACTCAGCTCCGTTTCTCATCGATCAGGCTTTATTATTAGATCCGTGGAAAATGTGTCGATGGAACGTAATTTTAAGTACAATCGACGGGGGAGGGAAGCCGTCTTATCGCGTGGAACAAAACGCAAGGTGTTTCTCATCAATTAAACCTTATTCGCCGCATCGAAGGCCAATAAGGCCTCGGAGGAACATGTCTGCGACCAATTAAGGGGTCTCCCTACTGCAATAGGTCAAAAAAATCGATCTTTTTATTTTTTTACATTTTCTCAAGGCTTAATATTTCAAAACCATAATCCCAAAAGAATTTCGCTCAAAGGTTCAAACCGAAACAAATCAAAACGACATTTTTGTAAATGGCTGCCACGATATCGGTACTTTTATGCAAAACTCCACCATTTTGTTATTATAAAATATTTTTTATTCGTTTTAGTACAGGCGATAGCCACGTTCATACAGATCAAGAATCTTTCTCAATTTTTAATTTGAGACAACGTAGACAGCTGATATAATGGCAGCCATGGAGGCACTTTTTTTTAGGCAGTCCCGTTTCCGTAACCTTAAATGACCTTGAATAATTGTAGTCACTGAATTCCTAATGAAAGGGACCATGATTGTAGGTGTTTAAAAAAGTGTGAATCCATTTAAAAAAATGAAGGTGACCTTGATATCTCAAAAACAAACATTGTTTTGGTATCGTGTGAGCCTTATCGAACCATTCAACTTTGTCCTTAAGACATCTTTGACGTATCTTTAAACAGATCAAAGATATTTGAGGTGCAAACGTTAGGTGACCCACCCTGTATATGGCGAAGGCTGATTGGATAATGGAAAGGACGAGCCGAGTCGCGTAAATACGTGTTCTCCAAGCTTGGATATGCCACGTTCCTAATTACCCTATCCGGTAAAACACCAACTCGTTCTTGCAAGACTATTTAAAGATCGGTGAGCAGTTACACGCGTCGAATAATTACGTCGCGATCATCCGTCCATATTGTTTACTGCTGGTCCACGAGGCGAACGAATGGCGAACGCACAAATACACGTGACGCGATCAGGAAGAACGCAATTAACGTGTATTTCGTAATATTTGAACAAGAAGTTTCTGGTGTTTAATCGACAAACTGTACCGTTGGGTCGGCGAATGTAGACAAAAAAATGCGCAAGGATCCACGGAAGCTTCAGTCAATAGTTAATTTGCTTGGGAATACAGCGACTCGTAAATTTGTTCCTGGAAGACTCCAATATTCGGTTAATTAATTTACATAGCAAACCGTATATTTTTATTTGAAATTCAGAATTTATTATAGATGAATGGTGGAATTGAAAGTAACATGAATAAATAAATAGGAACCTTATAAACAGGTTTTAGACTTACTTGTTCTGTAGAAAGTACGTGAACTAATCTGTGAGTCACTCCCAGATAGCACATGACGTCTTGAGAACGGCTTAAAGGCATCTCAGACCTGAAATAGCCGTAAAATGGACGTCTTCAAGGCGTCATGTGCTATCTGGGAATCGTTGTCGCAACTTTGCAATACATATTTATCTTCAGATCCAACAAACTTTCAAATAATGTTTATAGACCACTACACATATGTCTAACTAACCAAACATTGAAAATGAAACTAATTTGACCCTCATTAAAATTTGTTACCCACACACCAAAAATTAACTGTCTACCATATTTCTTCCTCAACATCTCAAACTTTATTTTTCAATAATTTCCTTTTTAATTATATTATCCAATAATCGAGGTTTGTCATCATGTACAATATTCTCAAAAATCCTACAAAATTTCAAAGTAACAGACCCAAAAAGACCAACTGTTACGTCTGTCCCTGGTCTTCCCCACATACAAGAATACGATATTTTTTATGACAGTTAATTGCAGTCTCATGGGAACGAATGAAAAAAAAAAAATTTCAAAGTAACAGACCCAAAAAGACCAACTGTTACGTCTGTCCCTGGTCTTCCCCACACACAAGAATACGATATTTTTTATGACAGTTAATTGCAGTCTCATGGGAACGAATGAAAAAAAAAAAACGATGTCAGTGATATAATTAGAAATCTTTGTAGTATAATGACCAGCGAAACCAGTTCAGGGTTGCGTTAGATCTGCCCTGGAGACATCGACGCGTCTCTGCAAGAGCCTGCCGCAAGAAACAAGGCAAACGTAACACACGTTCGCGCCACGACGACGGACACGGGGGGATCTGTGAGTCGGACAATTACATGCTCTCGCCGATCCAGTCATTCCGCTCGATACCTAAATCGGAGGTGCTGTTCGGAAAATAAAAGTGTGCCGTGGAGAGGTAAAAGGTGTCTCTCGATGTTACCCTTGCCAGGGAACGGCCGCCATTACAAGACACTCGAGAACCTATCGACGAAAAGCCTTTAATCGTAGAGAACGCTCCTGTCGATCGAATATTTCGCACCTTGGACGATTATACGGAGGGTCGTTCCTGGGTTGTTGGCCGCCCGGGTAGAAAATCAGTATATTAATTTTTTTATTATAGAAATCAATTTTTTTATAGTAATTAAATTTTTTACCGCAATTAATTTTATTATAGTAATTAATTTTTAAATTACTGATTGATTCAATATTATTTAATTAAAATTTTTGGTATGCAGTGTGTGCTTTTCTAAAGTATTAAACTATTTAAAATAACTTTTAACATTTACATTAATTTGTAATTACATTAAATTGGCCTATTTCGATACCCAGATACCACATGACGCCTTAAAGACGCCCATATTACGGCTATTTTAGGTCTAAGGCGTCTTTAAGCCATCGTCAAGGCGTCATTAGGCGTCATGTGCTATCTGGGTAATTGCGCCAATCACCGGTGACCACCATACTAGTGAACCTGTCAAAATGATCGACGAAGATCGAAACGAAGAATGGTGAACGGTGGAGCTGGGCAATTTGGTCAGGGAATTACCGAACGCTTGGGCAATCGTTCTTTTTTCCTCGCTGAAAACGGTGCACCGCAACCTTGTAACTTTTCCACCGGAGACACTCATTCCGCTCCACTTTCCGATTACACTTTTTAAGAGAAATCATACTTTCGTCGGAGAAAAACGTGTATCGTGTCGATCCGTGAATGTCCAATTGCTAGGAATTAAATCGTGCGTTCTTTAGACCGACGTTAAAAGAAGATTTCACATAAAGGTTATTAGAAGATTTCTTCGAATGATCTGATTATAGATCCCGGCTGTTTATGCCCATGATTAAATTTTATGAATTCTTAAAAATGAAAATGTTGGTCTTCGCGTTCAATTTTAAAAAATTTGTTCCGTTTTAAAGGGTGTATGAATACTTTTGTTCGGTACTGTATTTTCAAACGATTCTCACTTGATCGGCCGTCAGTTCGCGTTACGACGTCGAACAAAACGTAACATAGGTGCCCCTCGATGGAAAGCTGGAGATCTCGCGATACGTTTCTCACGTGTCGGGGTTCTCGTAGACACGTAAACGCGCGTATTAGAGAAATTGTCTAATAAACGGCGATATGTCGGTGTTGTTTATGCATACACGTATCGGTGGCGAACGGATGAAAGTGGTTCAACGAGTCAGCGGCCATTTCGTGGACACTCGAGTAAGTACGTTTGCTCTCGGAAGGCAAGTGAACTGTACACGTTCCACCAAATATACCTTCTCGTGAGAAAACCTTGATAAATAATTTAGAGAAAAAACCATTGATCAGTTCCGAACGAACCCAGACAGCACATGACGCCTTGAAGACGCCCATTTTATGACTATTTTATGTCTAAGGCGTCTTTAAACTGTCTTCAAGGCGTCATGTGCTATCTGGGAATGTTCACTGAATGACTTTTCAAAGAAGAATAAAATGGAAAGAATGAAATTTAAAAAAGAACTTAGCTTCTCACTGGATTCCCACTTTTGTAAATGAATTTTGTAGACGTCGGCCATTTTGGTGCGTTCGGTCGTAAGGAACGTTCACTTTTCCTTTCCAAGATCATTACCAACGAAGATCCACAAAAGAAAAACATTTAAAAAACAAATATTTTAAAAACAGAATCCCAGGATTGTATTCCCTGTTCACAATATAAAAGATACTTAACTACCTACTCTAAATTGTACATTATCCACAAAAGAAAAACATTCAAAAAGCAGGATCCCGGGTTTCTTTCCCTTTTCTCAATACAAAAAATACTTAACTGCTAAAAATCGTGAATTATCCACGAAAGAAAAACATTTAAAAAACAGCGTAAGATATTTACGAAGCAACCCGATATATTTCGGTCGACAAGGCCGTCAAGAAGAGCTGATCGACAGGCCCAAAGAAAAGAAATATCGTCGATGATAGAAAAACCAAAGGAGGAAACCGTGGTCACGATGATCCAGCGCAGTGTCCTCGAGGGATTCCATCTCCGAGACGAGCGAACCTCCCGTGGCCGCCTTATATGGCCCTGGATCATCGAGTTGTTTCGCTTGTGTGGTACACAGACAGGGAGCAGTCTCGTTTTCATCTCGTTGCGATCCGTGGAAATATTTCCACTCACGTAAGTCGTGTTCGATCCAATTATACGTAATCGCGACGACGACGACGTGGTGGAAAAGTGTGTGCAAAGGGCCTCTGGATGGTTTTACAAAAATTTACTCTGACCGATGGGTGGTCTTCGTGTAAACCGCTTGGATCCCACATCGACACTGAAACGCGATTATTCCCCCCCTTCGAGGATAAGACTTTGAGAAACGCGATCGAGAGGCAGGTGGATCGTTCGAGTGGTAAACCATGGTTGTTTGCTTGTCGATGATGTTTTCATCAGACGAAGACACGATTTATGGTTAACAGGATTTTTTATTTAATATTGATTTTTAGAATCTACAGAGAATCTTGGAAGTTTTTTTTTTTGTTATTGGAGTACAAAGGAACTCTCAATGAGAATCATATAACTAAGCCACTTGACATTGAAGTATAAGTACAGACTCTTCTCGATTATTGTCTGGCTTGGCCTAAATAATTTAAAAGGTAAACAATTAATTATATTTTCACCACCAATAAAATTTTGACTTTCGGGTGTTCTACAGGCAAACTTACAAATTTCGTTTATGGAAATTTGTTTATTTGAAAAATAGTAACTTTCGAGTATTGATTATTATATTATGTCCAGATATTTATGAATGATAGTGTATCTACTTGAGAACGCCTCCCGTGATTCTGCTCGATCCCACTGCCATACATAATACCATTAGTCACTTCGCCTTTGATCGATCTATGTACGGCAAAGCTCGCGTGAGGAGATCGATGACGTAATTCTTGCACACCTTTTGTTGGAATTAGATGCTTCTGTAGCAGAATTTATTTAAACGTCTTGTCATCATAATATTGAATATCCAAAAAAAGGGGCACCAAAAATTTGTAAACAAAGTATCATAGACTCAAAAGAAGCGCCATCATCCACAGTTTCTCGATGCGTGGATCATTTAATAATAACGTCAGTAGTATCCTTGATTCAAATAATAGAGGCAACGGTTTTTGTCCGAAAACATTTGTCGACGAATCGGTGGAAAAATCATTTACGCAATGACGGCGTGTTAAACTTGGCCGCTGGACTTTCTCTCCTGGTTAAACAAACGCCATTTTCTATTGACTGTTCGCGCAATACATATTGGTTTTGGTTATAACACTTCCGTTTCCCTTTCTCCGATTACACGCACTTCGCAATTAACGATCGTGTGCGTTAGGGTATATTTTACGATCTATCTGGTATTGAGTTTAATAACACTGTTCAACAAGTCCCAGAATGATGGAATTAAACTTGGTGATTTTTCTATTAATTACAAGTTACTGAACACGATGCTGGTTTTAGCTCTTCGATAAAAAAAATCTAGCATTTTGGATATAATTCAAGACAGGTCCCATTTCTAAACAATGGCGTCCCAATACCAATGAGAAGTCGAACAAGACAATAAACCTTGTGTATAAACCGAAGGAAGGGCCACCTAACGGTGGTTTTTCACGAGCAAGGCGGCCAGTTTTCCGTCGTCCATGATCGTGTGAACAGCTCGTAAGAGAGCATTTAACTTCCGGTATCGGGTCCCTCAGCTGGCTCACAGTGAAACGTCTGTGAAAACGAGCTCCAGGCGGCGGGATAGATCGAGCCGCCGATATTTAAAAGAACGGCCAGGTAAAAGTGGGCGTGGCTGTTCCATACGGATTGTCTTTCCTTCTCCAGTGTGTCTGTGCGCGCCTGTGTGCATACAGTGACTCACAAATTTGTGCACGAACGACTGGAATATTTATTTAGTCAAATTACATACAAAACGGTAAATTTTTTATTTAAAATTCGGGAAAATTTATTACGGAAGAATCGTGAAATAACACGAATAAATTAAGAAGAATCTTGTAAACAATTTTTTACACTTGTTTTGAATGTGTGAGAATGTAGGAGTGCAACAAAATTTCGAAGTAGTTTGTCAAGTTGGCAAAATGTTACTATAAGTGGAGATAAAATAGGAAAATAAATTTACTTGTTCTTTCGAAAGTGTGTGAACAGATCTGTGAGTCACCTGTCTTTGTGTGTAGTTTGCTCGAGTGAATAATGTATATTCAGTGGGCAAAAAAAGTAATTGCAGATCACTTAAAAGAGAACACGTTTTGTAAAATTGGTCCAAGTGACTTGAGGTTTTTTGTGAAATTAGAAAACTTAGTTTGTTAAATGATGTGGAAAAAAGAATGTTGAAACAGTTGCAGTTGGTTGGACTCGCAAAGGAAATAGTGAAGGTCATTTTTTACAACTTTTTTATGTGAGACCGTAATGAAAATTTAATAAATAGATTTCGAAAATTTATGTTTTAATGTATACATGCTAAAAGTTTTATTCGAATCGGTTGATACAGAAATAAGCAACAGGTCGAAAAGTGTAAGAATCTTTTGATTTATTGCGGAAAACTGCAATTTTCAACATCTTCAACTTTTCGTATCTCATAGCAATTTATTAATATAGCATTTATCAATTTTTCATTACAGTTTCAGATAAAAAAATTTATAAAAAACGACCTTCGCTATTTTCTTCACGATTCTGACCAATTGCAACATTTTCAACATTTTTTTTACAAATCGTTTAGTAAAATAATCTTTCGAAGTCAACAAAAAAACTTAAAAATTCCTGAACCAATTTTAAAAATGTTATTTCGTTTTAAATAGTTTGCGAATACTTTTTTTCACCAATGTATATGTACTGCTTTGAAATTTGCCATTTTCGACGGCCATTTTTACGAGTAAACCTGTTCAGTGAGTTTCCCGTGTTTCTTCCTCGAAAAATAATATTTATCGAAGTGAGAACTGTTTCTCTGGTCTCTTTGCGCGTTGGCCACATTCCTGACTTGTTTGCCGATACCTGGACATTTTTATTTTCTCGAAGACCACTTTTTTTTCGAAGTCATACTGTTTGTCCAGGTAGAAAATTTACGATCCTTTCGAACTTTCGAGGCGTTTTACTAATATTTGAGGCCTCCTCGGAATTTCCTCTTTAATTCCTAATATTTACGAAGGTCTGTGATTTCTGTGGATGTTCCATAGTGTTTGCGAACACTCGAATGTTTCGATTTTTTCACCAAGGCGTTGAGAAACTGAGAAACGGAATGTCAATGGCCGACATAGAAATGGCACGTGTTGAAGAATCCGTACATCCGTAGCCAGGATCTAGCATTTAAAAATCCAATTACCATTTTATTAGAGATTACCGTAAATTATTCGTCATTACTTCGAACGTTTGCAAGAAAAATGAGGTTGTATTTCGTGGATCAAGTCCAACCGTTCTCAATTCGAATGAAATCCCCAGACACCTGGGATCGAGACAGAGGGAGCAGTGATTTAGCCGTTTTAGTTAATTGCGCGCACTTGAGGGAGCCTTCTCGTGGTCCGGATCGCGGCGTAAACGGCAAGTTTAAACGTAATTGTCAATTATTACGCGTTGCACAAGCAACCTAGGAGGATTGCAACCTTCCCGAATGGGTGTAACGACATCGGATCCGCCGGTCTTTGACAAGAGCTTTGTCTTCTGACAACGATGCTTCGTCGCGATTACCATCGGTGGAAACGCGAAACGACCCACCGAAATTATCTCGTCGTTAACATAAACATCTAGTCCAAAATGTATCCATAACAATTCCAATGAGCACTGTTCAACGTTCATTCAACGGGGGCCGAAAAGTCACGAGGCATGAATAAAAAAAAAAATAATATCGCGGCGACTCGACACAGTTTTCCCGTCTGACGGTTGGGACGTTGTGCCAACAAAGGATTACATAATTCCCCGCATTCCTCTCGAACACACCGGCGGTTCTGTTTCGCGTATACACGACACGAGGGAAAGTATCGCCCAGCACGCACGCACACGATCGAAATCGAAATCGAAATCGAAATCGAACGAAAACGAAATTAATAACAGCTCAAATTAATACACCACAAATTAAAGAAAAAGGTAAATATATTTCATGTTAAATAAGGCGTACTAAAAAAAGTACAGAAGTTTTCATTGTAGTTGCTATTATACTTCGATTAAAATCTGATAGAATCTATTCAATCATACTTCCATTGAAACTATATTTGTGTAAATACAGCCTACAATAGAGTGAATTTCCATAAGTGTACACAGTCCAACGACAATACGAATTGAATGGCACTTAATTATCTGTTTCTCTGCATCACGTACGGGAGAAAGTATCTCACGATAAATACATTTCAAACTAATAAGAAAAAGTATACGGTAAAATTATATCTGTAATTCAATCTCGTTATCCTAAATTAATTTCCAAAAATGGTCGTTAACGTTGCAATAATTCTCCCAGCTTTCAAAATTTCTAACTTCCTTTTAAATAATGTAAATTACAAACAAATACTTTCTCCGGTTGACCATTTAAAAAAAGACATTCAATGAACAACAACCTACTACTATCGATCAATTTAAGGATCCAAGAGCCGTAAAGTCAGTGACATTCCAATCGCCCACTGGTCCCTCGAGGACCAATTTACGTATAAAAATACACATTACTTTTTTTCGTCTACTCACCAATAGAAACGCCAATACGACCCTCCGCCAGTCCATGGCTAAAATAAAAGAGAAAGTTCTTATTAATATCTGGGTCGAACTCCCATGGGTACGTTCGACCGGCTACAACAACGTTTTTCGCGTTAAAACACTCGAGAAAAATCCGTCTCTCGATACATCCACTCGACACACCATCGATCCGAAAAAAATCATCTCTGACACCATATCTTTGCTCCGTCCGTCGTCACTGAACCATCCTGGTACCACCTCTGTCCTCGCTCCCAAACCGTTCTCCATTCATGGAACCGTTCACTACCGAAGCGTTCGAACTGGAGAACGAATCGATCTGTTCGCGTCTCGACGATCAGAATTTCATGATCCAGAAGGGCTGGATCGTTAAATTATGAACGTTTTCGTGCCAGTTAGTAAATCCGTATCGAGAAAGCGATGACGGGACCAGTTGTTTCGCGAACATAACGACGGAACACGTTCACTTTTTCGTGCTGGAGGCGAGCCACGGAACTGTAACGACCACGCTACTGGACCGCTGCGCTACTTGACCCTTGCGCACCGCCGCCATTTTCACTGCACCCACACGGTTCGATGTTGTTTTGCATTCTTATAATTTTTTTTTTTTTATTGTTTCACGAGCCTTTGTAAAGGATCGTAGCGTCGCGAGGACACGAATCGCGTGGATTTACGAGGCTGGTCGATCGACATCCCGCGAGGTTCTGCCGCCGCCACCTTCTTTTCCACCTTTTCTCGCGGGCGACAGGGAGAGGACAGGACCGTGCCCAGGTACGGTTGCACTTGGGCGCCCAGGGCCGTCTTGTTAGGGCACCTTTCACTTTGATTTCGATCCGTGGATATGTGTTTTACGAGAATTTTCTGGTGGAATTTCACTATGTTGTGAAAGATCGTTGGTAAATGGGAGGTTTAATCAAAATATTCCTGGGATTTTTTATTTATTTTGAACCCACTGATCGATCGGTAATCATAAATATCTAGAAATTATGTTTTATGAAAGGTGTTGCGTTCCGTGAATTTAGTTTCTAGAAATTGTTTAAACTGTATGTTTCGAAATACTTAGACGATTCGAAGTGACGCCCGTTACGTCAGCAACGCGTAGGAATCGGAAGACGGATATAGTCATCGATATATGCGTTCGCGACCGTTACGACATCTCGAAATAGATTGATACGTTCGACAATTGTTTTGCATACAAAAATAGTAAGTACCTACTATTTTGGCGCTAATATCCTCCCTCCCCAATTTGCATAAATGTTCATCGTGTTACCCCTTTCAGTTTTCATATTATTCCTTCCACAACCTTTCAATTATCCTCTTCATTTACATTATTGGGGCAAATTGAACGATATGTTTGATTATCGGACTGTACATTCTATGGTAAATATTACACATACGTACAAGATAATACATACATAAGTGAAGTACTTCACTTGGGATCTAATAAAATTAATAACAGAGATAACAAATTGTTATTTAATTTTAATTTTTAAGTATTAATTACGGTTGATTTCAGGTAGACAAAAATCACAAAGAAAGAACTGAACGTTTGAATGAAGTTTTACTTCCTATCGCAAATTTTAAAGTACAGTAAATAGAACTCCATTTATCTAGACTTCATTTATCTGAACTCTATTTAAGTAATGTCTCGATGAGTGCAACATACTCACTTCGGAGCATTCGTAGCAAGGAAGAAAGATTTCCAACCCATCATAAATTTATTATTTTACCCAAAGTCGAGACTCTGCTTGGCTTCTGTTTACTCTGTTCTAATTGGTTCCACGGGGGACTCCCCCAGTGGTGAGAATAACGTATCACGAGACTACCGATGATCGTCTCCGCCCCCTTTCGATCTCCACCGATTTCTCGATCTTGCGTGGGCGCAGAGGATCCTTGGCTCGCGTATTTGGTCTTGGCCACCTACGACGAGGATGAACAAACCCGAGCCTTGTACCCATTTTCGCTGCTCGCTGTTCCGTTGCATAACGAACGGCTACGTTAAACAACGATCTATCATGCCACGGATCGACCATTCAGCCGTTTTCCCTGCGTGTTTGTCCCTCCAGTCGAGAAAGGAAACGGTTCGCTTCGACCGTGCTCGTGCAGCTGACACTCGTTTCCCGCTCACCACATCGGGTTCTTTTCGTCAACGACTGTGTCCAGACAGAGTAATACACACGAGCACACCTTTATTGCACACAGTTGCATCACCAGATGTGTATGTATATATGCAGGGTCATTCCTAGCGGGGGTGCAAAAGGTGCCCCCACAGCTGGGCGGCCAAACTCAGGGGAAGCCGCAGATCGTTTATTATATGTAAAACTTGGAAGAATTTGATATGCAGGGTTTACTTATATATAAATAATAAAATATATAATTTTGTTATGTCCATAAAGAGGGCAAATAGTGCTATATCCTCATTTTTTTCAAATTTTTAAATAGTTCCCCGGTATAAAAACAGTATTTATTTAAAACAATTGCAAAATAGACGGTTAAAAAATATTTTTTTTAACTGAAATAATTTTTATTTGATACTCTTATGTCTCCACTGTAAGTACCCGTAAAGCTCATATCTATCAGTATGTTAGTTCAATAGTTATGATTCATTGAAAAAAGTTTGACCTTAAATTTCAAACAGTTGTAAAATCAACAATTTGTAAAATTTTTAAAATCCATCGAGATACGTTTATATTCCACTAAACACTACAATATATCCAAATTTGAACAAAATCCAAAATGGCGCTCCAAAAAGTGTCCGATTTCGCGTGGAATGACGTGTTAACAATTGTCTAAAATATTTCTTTTTTTTGAACGGAAATAAATTCCTTCGATCGAAAACAATAGCCGTTCGTAAAAAAGAACAGCGATCGTTGAGAAACGTGCGCGCGTGCGTGCTCGCTTTCGACGACCTTGGTCTCACTGGAGAACCATTTAAAACGCAAACGCGCGTAAGCGCCGATGACGTAACTCCTGCGGGCGCGAATTTTTCTCTTTATTCAGATCGTTGTTTCCCGTGATCGATCCCTCGACGGTGTGTCGTTCGCCAGGAACTCGGTCGGCCAGGCGCCTTCGCGCCCTTGAACGTCCGCCAACGTGATCGTCGCGAGTCTTTCCCCCGCAGGAAAGTATTGCGCCATCTTGGTGTCGCGCAGTGGTCCAGAACGCCGATTTAGGAGTTCAGAAGCTTAATTTGGGTGTAACAATGGGAATATCAAAAGCCAACTTGGTAAACATATATTTAATGTCTACATTTATTAAAAAAATTAACAAGTAATGTTTGGTAATAATAATTTTTGTATAAACAAAATAAAAAAAAATTTTGTTGAGTTATCATTGTCAATTACAAGTTGTCGTATGTCATTCTCGAAAATTAATAGACTTCTTTCAAAATTTTTTTTCTGGATAACGAAATTGCGAATATTAAACAATTAGAGAAGGCTAGTAATTTATGGAAGAAATCAGTAATTGTTTGAGTTGGGGACAATTTTTTATAAATTTGTATGAACATGTTCAACATAGCTTGAAAATTTGAAATTATGTTGACAAAAAAAGTTAATTTGCAAACTATTGATGCCGGCTATTGCCGGACTTGATTTCTGATTTAATTGTTACTTTAACTCTAATTTATTGAATTACGATTAGTTCCAAGTGCACCATTTTGCGCCTAAAAAACTTATTGTTACCAAACATTGCTTATTAAGTTTTTATTTTTTTAATAAATGTGAACATTAAATACATGCTTGCCAAGTTCGCTTTTGATATTCAAATTTTTACCCATCAAAACCCATAGAGAGACGTTTTACAAGATCTTTTTTTCGCAGTTTTATTGGATGATACAATCGACAGAGTTTTCTAGACTGGACTCAGAAATTAATCGATTTATCGAGTCGAGTGGATGTATTGTCAGTCGAGAAGTATATGTATACAAGGTGGTCCACGCAATTGTTTCATGTCATAATAAGTAATCAAAAGTGATCAAAAGTGATCAACAGCGGTTTTAAATAAATTAATAAAAATCCAACTCTGGTTTAGGTATCTTACCTGTCACGATCCTCAGCGATCCAGCAAACATGTCCCCGAGCACAGCCTCTTCCGGCCACGAAAGATCCAACAAACAGGAAAAACTCTAAGAAAGAACCGTTTCGGTTCTTACGAAACCGAGCGAATCGAGCGTGAAAAACAAAAACAGAGTCGAACGCGAAAAACAGTCAAACGGATCACCGATATTACGCTATATCCAGTAGGGACAGAGACTCCGTCGTCAGGCTCTCACCGGTTCGATGATCTACCTCGTGGATCCCGCCCGTTCCATCATCAACACTTCCGGTAGCACAGGGATTTTATCGAGCTACGTCGAACACGCGTCCTCGCCGGCCACGAACTCCTCCTCGCGCGTCTCGACATCCCCAAATCTGGATCAGATCGATTTTACGCGTAGTCACGTTCCAACGCGATTAAACACGACGATACACAAGTTCAATCATTCCGAAAACGAATTCGATCAAAGTTACAGTATTCCAACTTCTCTGGGTAGATATTCCAATTGTGTAATTTTCTTGGCTCTAGAAGACTATAAGTATAGTGGAAGCAGGTTCCAGTTGATGTATTTTCAATGGATACCTGAATGGTGATCCTATGTCCTAAAGGAATACTCTATCCCAGAGTAGTCCTTTGTCCTAGAGTGATCATCTGTGCTAGAGTAATCCTCTATACTAGCAATGATCCTCTGTCCTAGAATGATCCTCTGTCCTAGAGTAATCCTCTGTCCTACAGCAATCCTCTCTGCAATCTCTGTGCTATCAGTGATTCTCTGCCCTGTCACTGATCCTCAACTGCAGACTGACCTTCAGTCCTAGAGCAATCGTCTATCCCAGTGTGATCCTCTATGCTATCAGTGATTCTCTGTCCTGTCACTGCTCCTGTGCTCCTGATCCTCTGCCCAAAGTGGCCTTCTATACTAAAGGATTCTCTGTCCTAGAGCAACCCCTAATCTTAGAGGGATCCTCTATCCCAAAGTGATCCTCTATCTTAGAAGGATCCTCTGTCCTATCATTGATCCTCTGCCCTAAGTGGCCTTCTATTCTAAAGGATCCTCTGTCCTAGAGTGACTCTTATCCTAGAGGGATCCTTTATCCCAAAATGATCCTCTATCCCAAAGTGACCAAGGAATTCACGTTTTCCCTCGAATCTTCTCTGTTGTATCGGTAATTTCGAGTGAACTGATGGCGATTCGAAGTTCCCTATGTCCCTAGACTGTTCCACGGTGAACCGTTCGATCTGGTCCCGAATTCTGTTCACGCGGCCCGTTTCCGGCACCGGGGGCCACACTCACACACCTGCCGGCGAACGGTTCGTCGCTCCGGGTCGAAGCAGTCGAGCATGGAGGAGAGGTCGCGAACGGTGGAATCGGGTTGTGGTCGACGCGAGGCTCGAGACTGCACTGGCTGCTGCCTTGCCCTCGTCCTGTGTTCCGCTCGCGGTTCCCCCCTCGTGTGTGTGTGTGTGTGTGTGTGCGTTGTACCGCTCGCGGGCCTGTCCAAGAGGAGGTGGGACGCTCAAAGAGAGGGAAAGCTGAGGATAGACAGAGAGAGGACGAGGCAGGTTTCCATTGGGAAGAAAAGGATGGATCGTCGATGCGATAAAGGTGGTAGAAGTCGTTTAGAATTTCGAGAAAATGGATCCTCCTGTAATGTCTTGGATCCTTTTAAAGGCTGTTACAGGAGAGGATTTCGATAGGAAGTGGATGGATGGGAGAGGATCTCACACCTGTGGAAGGGAGACAGGATATAGCATTGGAGAAACGTTTTGATAATAAAAAGGTGGGTGTTTAGGGGAGGGAAAGTGGAGGATTCTCGAGGTGTAGATCATTTTGTAGGGAATTGAGAAAATCTTTGCGAATCGATCGATGGAAGAGTATCACGAACGGTTGATAGTGATGGGCATTGGGATTCGATACATTTGACTGAAAATATTTATATTTCTTCTCTAGCAACCAATCATCATCTAAGATACATATTAATCTAATATACGGATCCGACATAAACGCGTTGATCGAAGAAGACGAGAGTTAACTGGTCATTTTTGTTTCTTTTCCAATTTTCTGGTGACTTTTCGTATTTATTTATGCAATAATTCTTTAATGTACACGTATCATAGCTATGATGACGCTATATTGGACGTGTTAAAGTTAATTCGAAATTATTAACTACAACAAAATCACCATCGGATTAATTCTTTTGTTTATGCGACGCTTGTTTGTACGGACTGTTAATGAGTTTCGTTGAATTAAAAAGGTTTGACGATCACTTAATATTGACAGTTATATGTCAATATTATAGTCGAGTGCGAGTGAAGGATCGAACTTCTTTTTCTTAAATCAACTAAAAGCGATTAGATTATTCTACGAAAGCGTTGTACTCGATGGATCGATGAAAGAAACATTTTGGAAATTTTCTACGCGACTCGAGCCCATCGCTAGCGAGCGAAGTTTCGCGAGAAAGGGGTAGAAGGAATAAAACGAGACAACGAATACGGCCGTGGATGCCGGATGAACGAGGACAGACTGTGTTTACGTCATCGCCCGGGTTAGATGCTGTGCCACGATCTTCTCGAGGGATGCAAACTTTGTGATTCTTTGTGAATCCCTTCGAGCAAATATATTTTGCAATGGTTTCGTGTAAATCTTTGGAATTTATTTTATCCCACGAACATCATTTAATTTTAGGTTACATGTTATTAGATTTAAATGTTATTATATTCTTTCAGTTAACATTTTTTTTTCTTTTTGATAACAAAAGAGAATCTTATTCTGCTGGAAAAGTTGTATGTAAACTATTTAACGGTATACTTTTCAATAGAAGCTTTTTTTATACAAATAATTTTTGTTTAACGACTTTATATCAAGATTAATAACTTTTGCAACAAGCTAATGTATAATATTCGCGTAACAGGTAAAGGAGTAATTAAACTATTTAATTGAGGGAACGTTTAACTGTTTGTGGGGCATAGGAAGAAATTATTAATTGAAAACAATTCTCGTTAATACAAAATTGTTTAATACAATAACTTAAGATTGGAATGATAATTAATTTTTTTTTAAATAGGTGACATCTATCGGAGAATAGTTGTATCATACAGACGATTGGTTGATCCTTATCCTTTATGATAAATTATCAACACAATCGGTGCATAACCACGTTTTTGAAATAGCAGTAGAATATTTAAACATGGCGTTCACCTACCGTGTTAGTACAAATCTTAGTCCTTTATTAAACATTGGTTATTTCAAATTTTCAGTTAACATCAGGGGGCTTAAATCGAAAAAGTATCTGAAAGATTACCTATCACAAAATGTTGGTATGTTTTCACAGTATTAAGTCGGTTGCAGTATAACCTCAATTACCTTATCTTTATTACTTGTGTTCCCTATTATTCCTTTCTGATAGTTTTCTGTTATTTTGCTTTGTAACATAAATGCTGAAAGAGCATTAATTTATTTCTATTCTAAGTCTTTTTTTGGTGGTATCACTCTTATTTCAGGGATTACTTAACAAAATCCAATGTATATTTCTTCAAAACATTTGCATTAAATCTTTATATACAATATACTTAATAATACAAGTGACAGTACAATTGTTAACATATAGATTTATTATGAAATTGTCGATAAATAGTGTAATAAATTTCAACAATCCATTGATCATTCTGATTACCATTGACCAGTGATAATACAACAATTCTGATTTGCAACTATTATCTATTCAACCGTAATGTGTTAAATATCACTATTAATGTCAATGATTAAAATACAGTAAAATATATAGAGTGCATTTTGCAGATTCATCACTATGTGATACAGATATTAAAAAAAGTGGATTTCGTGATATGATTAATTTTAGAACAGTTCAAGCAAAGCATAGCATTTTAGTGCATTTACGTGAACGCAAGGATATGGATGAATGCGTAAATTATTGTGCACAGTTTGGGAAAGTAATAAATGTGTTTCATTATGTAACAAGTATTCAAAATGTATGTACCTCCTTCATCGTAATTACTCTTAAGTAATCCAAATTTATACCAACATAGAATTATTTCATTGTAACTTATGATCTTACATGACATTTTTAGCCACATTTATTGTTAGTGGAATACAATCATTTGAATGCAGTACATAATGTGATGAACAATGCTACATCTGTGGGAGGCCCTGAGTGTATTCCAGTCATAACAAAAGTGTTCAGGTTTAACCCAAAAACAAAAACATTGAACAATGGACAATTCAAACATGAGCCTATCAACATGTATAGCAATAAATATCCCACGCAAGTCACGATCAAAGAATCACTATCCAAAACAACATCTGTAATGTATTACCATATTGTACTTACAAGTTTCATAGGCAGCAGTAAAATTTTATAATTCCACAGGTAGCTGATCAGATGATAAAACTCCAGCATTTGCTACAACTTCATGATTGTGACGTAAGACTGAGGTTTTATACTGCTTCTCAATTACAGTTATGTTTCTCAAGGTTATTTCCAACCCTTTCTGTTTTACCATTTGGTTCGTCTGTAACTGGTTTCGGACTGTTAAAATGTGACCTCGACTTGGTCTGTACATTCTCTAGCACACATAACACACATGATTCTGTAAGTGGATACTGCGATCTACCTTGTTACGTATTACATTTCTGTGCTTTAACTCTGTAAAAACTGATTTTAGCATATAACCATTTCAGGTGTCCAAACAAAATTTAATGTATTATTACAAACAGTATTCGTACACCGAAAGAGGGGAACAACAACAATTTCTAAAACTATTAGCATACATTGCAAGCAAATTCATTCCAGGAATTTCTAATACACAATGCATTCTGGAAGCTCGTGTTCCCATAATTAAGTTTCATAACAGACTTACACACTTATATTGTGATCTTAGTAGCACTCACTTGTAAGTATCATATACTCTGTACTGCGTTCTTGTCTCAGAAGTTCGTCTGATGTCATTGATATCACAGGACTGCGTTCCACATGTCCGAAATACTGTTCACTTACGGACAATTCGATCCGAGGGTGAAACCACTAGTATACACAATTCGAACATGGGCGAAATCGCAGAAACTAACAAATGATTCTCCTGGAAGATGGATATCAAATTTTTCCTTGACATTGATGATAATATTTTATTTACAATCAAAAAAGATCTTGCCTCCGATGAAGAAATTATTTTCGCAGAAAGGTGAGCGCCAAAGGAGAGCCGGACTTCTTTAACTTGTCTGCTAAATGCTCGTTTTTTCTTACAGTAAATGGAACTCTTAAGCAAATCACTACTTCAAAAATCGATCTATCTACAAAGTCGTACACATTGTATGAACTTTTATGTGATTTCTTCGAGTACTACATAATTTTCGATTTTAAAATCTATGGATTATGCATTCTGGACGGTGTAATGAAAAGAAAGCTAGACGCGTCTCCCGTGTATATTTTTAATCCCTTAGAACCAATGTTGAACGTCAGTAAAAACATTACGACCACCGAACTCTTCAACATTAAAACGCAAATGCAAGAAGCGATACTTGCAATGAAAAAGGACAAGCTGTTTAATATTTTATACTTATTAAATATGAGTCCGAATGACGAAGGTAGAGATCAAAAAAATGTTACAAGCTCGAACGTGGCAACAACCTCCATCACAAGTTATAAATCTGTTTCTACAAATAGGGAATGCGATGAGCGAGAGAATAGTATAAACAACGTCGCGCCGGGAGAACAGTCTAAATCTGCCGCGGAAGAATTTTTGATCGAAACAGGCATTGTGGACGACACTAATAAATTGGATGAGATAATAAAATAGTGATGAATAAAACCAGTATATCATTGTAGTTTAGTTCATGGAATTGAATTGTCTAAAATTTTATGAGATTCATAAATACGTTGACTTTTGGTCAATGTAACAAAGCAGTTGAAAGTACTCTGGAGAACCAGGAACGAAAACAGAGTAGCATTGTGTTGTGTATAGAAATTTATAGAATCAGTTCGACGTATCCTGTAAATAATATTAAACCAATTTTGTATTCTAAGAGTTACCATATTTCGAAACTTTCTACTGTATCGGAATTTAAAATAAAATCTCATGTATGTGAGGAGGAAGAAAATATTAAGGAAAACATCTTAGCATTAAAACTTGTGCTTTCTGGGACCTCGTGTAGAGAACGTACGGATTTTTAATGAAAGTATTAAGATATGTTTATCGGACACAAAAAATCAAAATCAAAGAGATCAAAGACAATGAGTGTGTTTCTTAACCCTTCGACAACAAATGATGTATAGTCATCACTAGGACTATTTTTATAAATAATTCTTCGATAATTGTAAGATATGTACATACAAATTTAAATTATAGAATATAACCTCGTTAATTATACAATTTCTATTTCGTTTAAATCTTCACTTTTCGAAATCCAAACACCGACGTTTGAAGCGCCGTGTCTTTTCTAAAACTCCTCCATCCGCGGGAGAAACTGCTTCGTGTTTAAAGGGTTAATTAAAATTAGCACAGACGTTTCGTAAGAGATTTGCACATGAGATGCTTAAGTTCATTATTCAAAATTAAACTGTTTGGTTGACTCGCAACGAGTGAAGTATTTATTTTTTTTCATAGCTCATCTTTTTTGTTTGGGTAAATACTTAAGGGGATACATAGTACAGTGGAGACACAACAAGAAGATGGCGTCTTTACAATCCCACTATACAAATATCCTTATTTCAACAGAAATATTTGCTACAGCATTATCCCTCATTGAAAAAAACAACGAAAACGAGAGGAATAGAGATTACACTCAGGATTTTCGTACTTGGTAACTTGTATATTTCTCTATTATCAGCGTTTCGACAGTTCTCATACAATACTTAATCGTGTACAGTTGCTATAATTGTTAACGTCCGCGCGATACGTCAGTAGATCACGATCAATCCCGTAGTCCTTCAAGACAAACGATGGTTATTTGGCTCACACGAAAACTATCCTTAGAGATGGGTCTGCAACCAGAGCACGAGAAGTTTGGACAGTTCAAGTTAAAGGGTCGAAGAAGAAGCATTCAAGAACAAGATCAGGTCTAAACTTTTCAAACTGTTTGGACCTAACCTTGAACGCCTTGCCACGTCCAAACTAAATACATTTGGACTGTTCAAACTTCTGTTCAACCAGAGAAGTCCAAACACGTTTTGCGAACCCATTGCTAACTAACCTTCCTAACGGAAGTCGCATCTCTAACTGTTCCGCGATGCTAATCTCACTTCTGCTGTGTGTAATGTGGAATCCCCGAGGGATTGTCTCGTGAAATAACGATCACCGATCATGTCCCCGTTCACACGCGGATGGAACACGTCGGACGACAGATCCCCGTGCGATCACAAGTTTCCCGATTAGGCTATCGTTGCTTCGCGGGGGGAGGTGTGTCGTCTCGTTTTATATTCGTAAATATGAGCCTTGGCTGGCAGTGTTTTTTTTTTATTTTAAGTTTGGCTAACTAACATCCCCCCCCCCTTACGCCGGAATGATTCGTCGCGCGTGTCGATTGGTACTTACAATACCGTATTACAAAGGTACCCACGTCACCATATGTATAAACTCTAATTACAACGAATCAGTACGATCGGCGAACTTCATCTTGAGCAGCGTTGGAGGACTCGTCTCTTCCCCATCTCGATACGGTGAAATCGAGGGTATACCGATCATTATTCAGCAGTGTGTTCAACACTAGAGATGGTGTACAAAATAACTGATAGTGATTAATCACAGTAATCGCAGAATCACTTCTATTTTATTAACTTCATTCACGATCGTGATCTTTTTTATCTTGAGTGAATTTGCTAATTTTTTATCTTTAAAAATTCGACATGACTTGAAATAAATTGTATTGCTAATTGTGTTTTGAAAAATCAGTAGCAAAACAAGAAATTATAAAAGAATGATTACCTATAATTATACAACATATAGATCAGAATTTATAATCATTAATTTATTCATTATTCTTCATTGTTTCTCATTATTTCTTTACTTTATTTTATACGATGTAACTCGTAGTTTTGTCTTGATGCCATTAATATAAAATATAGAGGTTAGCTGATTGGTGCAAAGAACAAGTAGCAGTCACATCATCTCTAGTTCCCACTCCTGAGCAAATTTCAATCGGACAATGATGTCTGACACGAGTCGAGTCTCCGGGGTGGACCCTGAGGTCTTCGTCGATCAACGGGAGGGGGGGGGGGTACCAGGCAACGCCTAATCGTTCATTTCTCTTCAATTATTTTACTATTGGCAGCGGTGTGTCGGGACCCTTCGGCGCTTCAAAGTGCAATAAAAAAGCTATTCAATAAAAAACGGGGAGGCGCGTGTTCTACGCTCTGAAGGCTCGGCGACCCTTGAAACACCCCCGATCAGACAGAAAACTGGAATAGAAAACACGACGACGAACTTGGGAGGGGGTGGGGGGTAAAGGGACACCGCGGGAGGCGTAACGAGCGCCACCTCGACCGGCCCCGGAAGAAAAAGAAATTGGAAAAATCATTTTCCGCGCCACCAGTCTTCGTGAACGTAAACGTTTTAACGGTTGCGCTTTCTTCGAAGGTTACACAGGCAAGATACCATTTTTTGTTCGACAGACGAACAACCCCTTTGATTCGATTGCTACGCATATTGTGTATATATACATACATCACGCGAAATGCCCTCTTGATCATCGTTCATCTGTCCCGTATCTTTTAATCTCTAGTAAAACGTTCGAAATGGTCGTAAAACGAACCCCCACGTGGTAACCTCTTGCGTAACAATATTCCTCTACTAATATAACAATGTTACTAATGCTCGAAAGGTAATAAGTCCTTCGATAATTACTTTCCCGAATGTGTGTGTATTCTAGGTGTTTTCTGGAGGGTTCTCTCGACTTCCCCTCCCAGATAGCCGAACATGCAGCCTAGAAGGTTTCTGTCTACTGGTAGAATTCTCGTTCGTGATTCGCTGGTTGTAACCTCAAATCGGCGTGACAGCAAGTAAGAAAAGAAAGCTTCTCGAGTCGCGATACCCTGTGTTTCAATACCAACGAGTGGTATGGTAATCATATTCTTTTCCAGACTACAATATTGGATGACACACGGATCAAGAAGAGTGGAGGATATCCTGCTTGGATCTCCCTATTACCTCGACAACTTGTACGGCTATCTGGACCGGGTACACCTAATTGAAAGCTCCTCGTGAACCTTCTCACCCTGACTAATCCCTCGGTATATATACGAACTCCCGAGTATAATCTTTCGTCGTTATTTAATTCGTCTTGCTCTTCCGAATGCGACCTGGTCTCCTGCACCGCCGCCACAAGTGTTCGGACCGCCTCCTCGTGGCCCTCGAAGCTGTCCGCTTTCTTCAGCTGTCCGAGGGACGACGCGGTCGCGCTGTCGCCCCGTTTGTTCTTCAGCCGCGGGAACGTTTCCCAGGAACGTTGTTTCTGCACCAGAGACGACGACTTCGGTGTGGGCCCGATCAATACAACCAGGGTTTTCCGGGGATCCTGCACGGATTGACCTACCGTCCCATCGGCGATGCTGGAACGTCGGCTCCCGGAGCCGGTGGTGCTCAGGCTGTCGCAACTGGCCCGACGACGTCTCCTAACCTCTGTCGACGCTTTCTCGTCCGCGTAGAACACATCCTCCGAGTCGCTGGCCGGGTACACTTTGACACCTTTACCAGTCGGGATCGACGGCTCGTCCGGGACCGCGTGCACCTGCGCCTGGACACGTTTCTTCGCCTCGCCGAGGCTGGACGCCTCAGAGATCCGTTGGTACTCCCCCTCCTCGCCAGCTAGAACCACGGGAATCGCTTGAGTGGGACCGTTTCGTCGACTGGGGACAGTTCAGGTACGTTTTCAGTCAAATTCATGGCTTCTGGTGTCGCGACACTGTATGACAATGTCAACCAATGTCACGTGAAATATAATTTTTTACGACGACAAAAGTCATAAGTCACGATTTACTGTCACGTGAAAACGTACCTTTAGGGGGTCCTACATGAGGACTTGTGAACGGGACTTTTAAACGGGATTCGCTGAACACTTGGAGGGACCGATTATACTTTGTACTAATCAGCAGTAATTTGTACGTCGACATTCGAAGTATACAGTGGACTCTTGATACAGTGCCGTGGCTGTAAGAGAAAATTCTTGGAACCGGCAATATACCGAGAGCCTTCATACTAAATTCTGGGGTCGTTGCCCCGGCCCCAGCGCAAGCGCAAGAGATCTTGCTGGAGGGGACAGCGTATGCAAATTCGTGTGCGTGAAAGTACGTGTGCAATACATGAAGAGTCCATTGTACATTATCGAGGTTAACTATGGTTTTAATTGTTGTAACACTGAAGTTATTGACTGAAGAGTCGGTACACTAGCATCCTGCAAAAATACGTCAGAATTGAAAGAGGACAACATAACCTCATTTGTATATGCCTTCGTCTAAATGGATAGTATAAGTTCTGAAATATATGTTTCACTTGGACGTTCAACAAACTACATCCAATGTTCGATTTCAGGCGCACAATGTTCCCCACGGTTGATCGCCCCAGGACCATTAATTGTTCCCGACGCGACAGAGAATGCACGAAATCCAGCAGTCCAAACAGAATTCAATGGAGCCACATGCACCGTTTCTAATTTACTCTGCAAGTTGTTTGTCTGATCGTTTCGTACCGCGTTCAATGGCTCCGGGGGGAGAGACAATCGAACGCCGGTTTTAATTGAATGCCACCCGCCTGTGTTTCAATTGTGATTCGAATGACGTGTTCGGCGAGTACACTCGAGCGACGAGTGCCCCGCGGGACAAAGGTAACGGCGGTTTCGTTATACGCGGGAAAAATAATTCGAGCGTCCCATCCGAGATTCATTAACGGTACTAGTCAAGAGTAGCTTAATCAGCCCCGTGACTGTTTATCAACATTCCCATATCGATAATCATTTTCAGGATCTATCAATTGGTCTGGGCCAGAGGGATGGAGAAATGAAGAATCCTCGCCTCTTTAAACCCACAAGCGGGCCATTATCTTCGTCTGTTTAACAACAAAAGCGTCCATGCACGAATCTCGTTAATTATTCGACAAATCCCGCGCCTCCTCCGGAAGAGACAAACACTTTGCGGGCCTGGTCCTTGAACTGGGCACGAAGTATAATAATTCTCGTGTTCGTTCATCAGGGTTTTATTTCCATTTTGAAATTTTATAATGCTATCTACATAATTCCTGTGGCGGAACAACAATCGTCGGATCCGAGAGAGGTGACACTGTCCTGATTCTCAGGTCCGGGGCCGAACCATCAGCCCCGAGCTCTACTAGTTACTCGTGCACGCTAGCCTCACGGATTTGTTCTTACCAGTCGTGTGTGACTGTGGTTGCTGGGAGTCGGCGCATCGGTCCGGTTGGTCGAGCCCCTCCGCGGAATTGTCGCCGCTGCCGCTCTTCAGCGAACGGTACAGCGAACGGACTTTGTTCGCCGGCGTATGACCCGGTGGCGTTTTCGGTTTGGAGCCGTCCGGTGATTTTCTAGAACGACGGCTCTGGCTACGGTCGCGTCCCTCCTCCCTCCCGGGCGACTTCTTACGGTCCTCCTTGCCACGGGCCTTCTCTATCAGCTGACTGAGCACGCCCCTCTTGGAGTCCGTGGTCTTGACAGGCCCGTAGATCACGATGTTCCCGCTTGGGTCCAGAACGGCATCGACCCCGTCGGAAGGCGTGCAACAGCGCGTCGGCATCTCCTTCGTTTCTGCGAATAAAAATTCGGGATCAACGTTTTGTTGAATTTCCTGGGACCATTGGGTTCTCAGACTATTCCCTGGTCGAGGTGGAGAAGTGAAGATTGGGTGTTCAGACGTGGTATCTATCCAAGGACTATACAGAGCGCTTTAATCCTAAGGAAAGTAATATTGACTTTCAACCCATTGGTATATATACCTTTCATATAAAGGATATTGTCGGCACTGTTGGCAGTGTTGCGCGAATGTCGGTGATCCTTGGTCGGTGCCGGGGTCTGCGGCTGCGGCGGCGGTTCCTGCATCCGCAAACGGGCCAGATGATCCAGCAACACTTGTAAATCCTGATTACTAGCGGCGTCCGAGGCTGCTATGCTCACTTCAGCGGCCGTGACCCCCGTTGTGAAGGATTTTATGAACGGTTGCAGCTGTTGGGCAAGGTTCTGCAGCTGCTTCACCTGATTCCTCAACGACAGTATGTCGTTCATCTACAAAAGAGTCAGAATTCGTCATTCAGAGATCATTGTCAGGATGAGAGTAACGTATAGAGAATAATGAGGAACGGATGTAAGTGGAGATTGTTATCTGGATGAAAAGAAATCTTGAACAGTACCTGAGAATGGAAGATTTCCTTTTCTATATGAATCCTGCACAACTGTTCGTCCCATAATGCGTCGAACACAGTTCTAAGTCTCTCTAATTCCATCTGGTGATGCTCCAACTGATGTTCCAATAGACGACAATCCTTGGCCACGTGCTCGTAACGGATACCCAACGGTGGTGTGTTCGCCCGTCTCAAGAGCGCCACGTCCCGATGAAGCTCCTCTAACCGTTCCTTCACTGTCAGCAACTGTTGATTCAATTCCTTCAGCTGACTGTCGAACGACCTGCAATGGTTGGAGAACGGTCCTGCCTCGGACACGCCCTTCGTTGGGATCCTTTGCGGAGCTTTGCTGCTCTGCTCGGAGAAAAGAGAAACGTCTCACGTGTACGCAGGATCATCCATCGGTGGAACCGTGTTATCGTTTTTATTAAACGGGTCTGAGTAAACTGTTCGATATTACTGACTACCACCTGCTAAGAACACTAGCGGGGAAACGGAAAGTTGTCTGTCTGGCGAACAGGCCAGTTGCGCTACGAGATAGTGCTAGGTGTTCCTTGACGACAGAACCTACCTTGGGGACAGATCCAGCAATAACTCGTTTTTAGCCCCAAAACCAGGAAGCACACTCTTCGTGAATAACTTTCTAAAGAGCGGTGCCTGAAAGAATTATCGCGGTACGAAGACCTCGTGCAGTCTACTACCGAACCCCTGCGCTAAAGTAGACACCCCATTAATCCAGAACACCCAGCACCGCTCTGTCTAATCTGGCTACGGACTACCACCATATACCAATTACAAGCCACATCATAATAATATCGAGAGTAAAAGTCCTGTCAACAAAAATACTTACACAGAAAGTGTGCACGAGAAATGCAGTGAAAAAGAAACTTGTAATATGAACGGAAAGATGGAGAGAGTTTTTGTAAGTCGAGAGAGTTGGCCAGGCCGAATAGCGGTTAGCTACCTGACTGGCGAAATCGTTTCTGTAATTGGTCTTCAGATGGGCGGTCAGCAACGGCGGTCTGGATGGGTGCACCAATTGGGCGACACGGCCCAGCCGGTCCAGCATCGGATGGGCCAGCTCCAAAAATTGATACTTGGTCGCGCCGCTGGTAAACGCGGTGCACAACATCAGGTGCATCTGTAACACCGGAAGCGCGCTGCCCAGCGAGAGCAACTGTCCACGGACCATCCTGTCCTTGGTCTCGAACTGTCGTTGAAGCTCCGTCAGAGTGCTTCCGTGTGTCTTTGTGATGGCTTCTTGCATCCCCTGGCAGAACGAGTTCAACGCTCTCGTCTCTGAATCCAAACTGTGCCGTAGTTTGTCCAACTGCGACTTCAGAGCCAGAACACCATCCTTCACGCCGGCCTGCAGCTCGCAAATCGAATTCACTGCTCTCTCCATTTTCTTGGACGCTTGCTGCCAAGCATTCTCAATGTCCATGCAGTGTAACCTAGACTCGGGTGGCGTGTCGCGAAAACAGGTGGCGCAAAGCATACATTTCGCGCTCTGGCTGAACATTATGTACTGTTCCCCGTGGGTTTGGCAACGACGCTGCGTGTCCTTGGTGCATTTGCTCATGTGCACCACTTCGTGCGAGGAGAACATCTTTGCGCGATGGGTGTGCTCCCTGCAGTGTGTACAGAGGGCTTGTCCTAAGTTCAAGGAAAGTCAGATGGTGATAGGTGGTTTAGACGTATCGTTTTTAAGGTTTGTTAGGGGAGAACACACACAGGTCTTTGCTACATACCACATGTTGTACAAAAGAACATGGTAGACTTGTCCCGTTTGTCGCAGTTGGCACATGGTGGGTTCTTGGAGTTGGCCAACTCAATTAGCTGACGTATCAGCTGATCGGACGGTGGTACTTGTGTTCCATCTTTTAGCTGCGTGTGTTGCCTGTACACAGTAATGTGTCTTTAATTTTTGGGAATGGAAGTAGTGTATGAGAAGAGAATAGTAAAATGATAAGATTGAAAGAAGTGAAGATATTTTCATGTGACAGTAAGGATCAATAGAAGTAGCTTGTGGCAAGAGGAAACTTGAAAAAATCATTCTGATAATGAGCATAGGTGTTCCGTGATACATAATTTATTCATAACATGCATACTACTTACTACATGTACAGTCATGAACATTTCCAATCAAACAGTTAATGAAAATCAGAAACAACGGTACACATTGTTACCAGAGCTAACGAACACATGGTAATTCACCTAAACTTAAATGTAGAAACCAATTCAAGTTCCCTAGCTCTATTACCAACACCTTTCTCAAGCACTATACCACCCACAATCCACCTAACATACTACAAAGTTTCAGATTCTGTCTTCAAAATGAAAAATTTGACAAGCCATGCACAAGAAGAACTACTAGAGCCCTATCATTAACTACAGAACTAAGCAGATAAAGCAACACGAAGCAAGAAATCAGAATCAACAAGGAATCATACAATGCACATGGCATACAGGACATACTACATTGTACTATCAATACTGTACATAACTAACAACTGCATACATCATACTCTCAAAGTCTGACCAAATACCTTCACAGTGCACAGGTGTCTAGCCAAGTTAAACACGCACAAAGAGGAACTACTAGGAGCAACTAGGAGAACAATGCAACATGCAGATATAAGCCAAACCTAACCCAGACCTGGGATCGTCACCCACCCTAAGGACGCCATGCAATAACAGTCGTTGTTATCTACCCGCAGATGGGACAGGAGACCTTTCCATCAAGGTGAGGCCCGCGTATGCATCGGGCGCAGAACGTGTGAAAGCAGGACAGCAGGCACGGCTCGTTGTAATAATCGTGACAGACGTCGCAAATCAGGGGGTTCCTTAGCCCGCCGCCGCCACCGCCACCACCGGATACACCTGTCGTACCGTCATTTTCACCTACCCCGACACCGTCGACCGCCGACCCGGAGCTCGCCATCGTCGGTGAAACCAACGGCGGCCACCTGGAAACCAGAGACACACCACTATCTGAGCCTCTTCTCTGGACACTCCTCCAACCTTTCGCACGTTCCACCGGGTGTACACCCATGAACCGACACAGAATAATTATTCAAACGACGTGAAACGGATCTGGCAAAGTATAAAAGAAAAAAAAAACAGAATCGTGTTTACCCCCAAGACCGTTGGCCCGCCCGGCGCAGAAAACCCTGATGGGTAGTTTATCCGCTCGTCGTCGTCATTCTAACGTAGTTTTTGGTAGGCAACCCCGTTTGCGCCTGACGATCGGCTCTGACGTCACTGACGCCTGTGCCACCAATCTCGCCCACTTCCACCCCACACGCTGGGTGGTACGTATACACACACACACACACATACAGAAAGAGAAAGGAGGACGGGCGGCCATCGTTGCTGCTGCACACAGTGTGAGGGTGTAGATGTGTGCACACAGTACGCGCGTCCGTCTCTCCACACGGATGGATCCCGCTCTTGACGTAAGCGCGTGGGGGTTGGTAGTGGCGCGTACGCGCCCACCCCTTAGCGATGGCCTCGAGGCTTCGCCCCCGCTCGCGAACTTACGAACCAGAGATGAGCAATCTAGATAAAAAATTTCGAATAACGAATAAAAGATAAAAAAAAGTATTTCGTCATTTTTAATTGTTTAAACGTGGACATTTCAATTTTTGTAATAAAATGATACTTCTTTATAAATGAATTGACATTTCTCGAACAATTATGTAATCTCATTAACTGTTTAAAGATCAGAACGACACCTTTAGATACTGCTGCTTTTCACTGTGTATTATTCGAATAAACTTCTCCCCAACTCTGTTACGAACAAGTGGACTATCGAGCGAGAACGTTTAACGGTGGAATTACCAGCCGTGAGTGTATACATAAATTCCGCTAAAAGCACTAATATGACGTTTAGTAGTTGAAAATTAAAAATTCTGTAATCTGTCAATTTGACGGGTTTAGTGGTTTTAGAGTTGACACCTTGCTGTTGTATTTATCTCAGACGTGGATAACTAAATCATACAGGAAGGCCCTTTGATCCGGTGTTGTATATTAACCCTCTCAAAAAGACTATCTCTGCCAAAAATAGATGTGTATTTTATGTTATCGAGAACAGACGTCTAATTCCATTCCGTGTTTCAGATGATCCAGCGTGTACTCGAAGCCTTCGCTGTCCATCCGGTTGCGCGAGTGTGGCACCACCAAGCTAGGGATCTATGTGCGTGAGAGACCAGCACCCCGACGTCCTCGCCCCGTTTTCTGCACTCCTGCAGGGATCTATATGCCCGATATACATATATAACATGTATACATACACATATACCTATACATTCGATCTGTCTGTATGTGTAAACGTGCGCAACCGAGCCGTTGGTACCGAGTCAGACCGCTCCGCAACGAGGAGACAGTGTGTGACTCTCGCGTAGTAGTACATAAAGCGTCGAAAACAGGGGAAAACACGAAAAAAGGGTGGAAGGGAGAAAGAGTGAGTAAAATAAAAGAAAGAAAGAAACGGTAGAAGGGAAGCAGGGATTATGCATATTCCCCTTTGTATCTGGCGGCTTCTCGTTCCGCAGTTTTCACCCACTCGTCTCCTCGCGACGGGGGAACTACCGTCTACCGTGTATAATACTGAAAATTCCGCGGGTTCCGAATCCTTCTCCCGCCACCCTTCTACGCCTCTAAAGCGTAGTTGCGCGCGCTACACACCAGAGAGACGCGTGCGCTCTTTTAACCTACAGAAGAGGGAACGCGCTGGAAAGAGAGGCAGGCTGGTGACTGCATAAGCACGCTAACCCCCTTTTCCGGCGATCTTTCTTTCTTTTCTTTCTGCTATTTCCATCGCCAGACGATTGTCCACGCCGTCCCCTTCGTCTCGAACGGTGTCCGTCCTTCTTTTTTATCCACGAATTCCGCGAGGCTGGAACGACTTTATTCGATCTGTTCCGCTTGGATTCCTGGATTTCTTTGTACGCGACAATGGCCAGCCCACGGAAGGGAAACGGCGCAGCGACGGCAGAGCCTCTCCCTATCGATCGTTTAAAAGATCCTACGGAAGAAGGACGCGATGGCGAAACGTGTATTTAGTCGGGGTGCTTCATCCACGGGCCAGAATCGACCGATTGGGCTCGAACTTACATGTCTGGACCGTCGTACACCGAGTAGCTTTTTGATTAATTAACCACTCACGTTGTGGTCGGGCCTTGTTTCACGGGCGATGCGAATCTCTGATTGATTTAACGTTTCCGGAGGATTCGATTGGTTGCAATTGGTACCGTTGGGGGATTGCGTAGTATGACAATAAGAACTTTTTTAGATCTATGCCTAGGTAGCACATGACGCCTTAAAGACGCCTACTTTACGTCTAAGGCATCTTTAAGCCGTCTTGAAAGCGTCTTTAACCCCTTGCCTTATAACATCGAGTCAGACTCGTGGTGACGATATCAAAATGGATTCAACAAACAGAAATATTATTCATTTGCTTTGTATCAAACTGAAGTACTAGTTTGCTGATATTAATATTTAACTTTTAGTGTAAATGTACAATTGCGATAAGTACACGAATTCCTTTTGTCTTTGGGGAATTATTGATGATAAAGTAATTCTGGCGACTGCAAACGTGAAGAAAATCATAGGGTAAGGAGTTAAGCCGTCTTGAAGGCGTCATGTGCTATCTAGGTGGTCTACTTTTAGGCCGTCTTTTAAAATGAGTTTTACCTCGATATTAGGTAAAGTAATTAGAAGTTGTTATTGAGCTCTTTAAAATTCCAATATCGTATGTCTAACCACAAGATACAAGAGAAAAACAAGGCCTATATAAACCAGTGATATACAGGGAGAGTGGTTAGCTGACCCTCGAACGGGTCAGTGAATGCTAATTCCGCGACTCCCTCTCCACCCTGTCTCCGTTAACCGCAATGTGCATCTCTCCTTCGGGCTGCACCGGAAACCGTTCCAAAAAATTCATCCCCCGTGCAAGGCATCACGGAAATTACTGCACATCCACCACATTTCTGTAATATCGGGTGTATTCTCCAGTCTCACGAGTCATGTCTCCACGATTATTCCTTTTGCGATGCAACCTGACATACGTGGCGATCGTATGGGTCCTCGAGGCCAACATTTAGCGCAATCTGACCGAATTTTCAGGCATTATGAGACTTCTTGTAAATCACAAACAAAGATTCTAAGCTTTCTGATGGTTTTAAATAATTTACAAATTTGTTCAAGGACGGATATTACCTTTATTTGATCAAGTTATCTACTGAACTAATTGTCTCATGCTATCGGTATTAATTTAAAATCCCTTGTCGGACGTCTTCGTTCTTCAGGTTAGAATTAATATTATCTTAATACTCTAATGCAATTAATACAAAACAACTTAAACTAAACGCAACTATTAACCTGCTGAAATTTGTCTGATCCGCCAAAATATTCCTCTTACAACGCAAATCAGCGCTTCAAATTTCGGGAGTTTCTAATTATAACGATGAACAAGATTGTCTCAAATTCATAACCGGACAGACTTACCAATAAAACTGCAGCAGGGTGCAAAGATACACATCCCAGACAGCACATGACGCCTTAAAGGCGGCTTAAAGACGTCTTAGACCTAAAATAGGCGTCTTTAAGGCGTCATGTGTTATCTGAGATCGATTCTCCCAGAACCTGTTGAACCAGACAAGTATCATTAATATAGGATTGTACAATATTTATGCAGTTATATTTAAGACAATTCGATGAAATGAAGCTTATATTACCTGACGTATGTTTATTGGAATATACAAATATACATATAAATTATAATGATATAAAAGTTTGTAATACAATAAGATGCGTTACGGTACAATACGTCAATTCGATTCAATTGCTTCCTTACGACTACAACATCATGCTATCCGCGTTCGGCGGAGTGCGCTAATACGGAGGCCAACGAAATATGACTGTAACACTTAAAAAAGTTTTAAAGTTCCATTTATATCATTCTCCTGTGAAAATGTTCATACTTCCAGCAGCATTCATATTCCAATCAAAGACTTTACAGAATAAGGAAAAGGAATCTAAAGTAATTTTCAGTAGTTCCATACATCTTTATCTCGAATAATTTTCTGATCTGTTTTATAATAATCAATAGTCAGATATCTCAATAACTTTGCTCACGAGGGTACATCTCACACACACGGTCTCTGGCGCATCCACCGACGGTTCTATGACACCACGATCTCACCACACGGGGTCTCTGGTGCCACCTCCTGGGGCTCCATGACCCCACGATCACACCACACGGGGACGCTGGCGCCACCGGACAATAGTTCGCGCCGAATGTTAAAGTACCTTAACGATTTATATCTCAAAAAATTGCCCCTTTCGTTTTCACCAAGCATTCGATTTGTAGCTTAAAGAACGTAGATTAAGCCTCCGTCATTGAAAATAACAATAAACGTCCCGAATACTGTTAAAATCACATTTGTTTGCAACGATTGACACTGTATCTCGTCATGTGTACCTCGTTTAGTTCACTTTGGACAACTCTTCCAACGTTATCCTGACAGCTTTCGCCTTGGCAAAGCACTCGATTTGTAGCTGAAAGAACGTAGATTAATCCCCTAACATTGAAAATAACAATAAACAACCAGAACATTATCAAAATCGCAATTTAATCGCGGAATACCACTATTTTTTTGACCGGTGGCGCCATCCGTGGCAAATCGCTGAAACTACTAGCCATATAATTGATTAGCAGTTTCACCGATTCGCCACGGATGGCGCCACCGGCCAAAAAAAATAGTGGTATTCAACAATTAAATGCGATTTTAACAGTGTTCTGGTCGTTTATTGTTATTTTCAATGACATGAGATTAATCTACGTTCTTTCAGCTTCAATCTGAATGCTTGATCAAGACGTAACCTGTCCATATAACCTTGGAAGAGCTGTTCAAAGTGAACTAACCGGGGTACGCATGACGAGAGACAGTGTTAACCGTTGCAAACAAATGCGATTTTAACAATGTTCTTGTAATTACTAGTGTCCAGCCGTTAGAGAATAGTAATCTACGTTCTTTAAACGTTGTATCTACTGCAAAACGAAGAAGAATCATGCCCGTATAACGGTTTAAATGCGATAGAAACATTTTGGCAACCGGATTGCCGTTCCAAATTATATCGACAGGTGAGTGAAAATTTCTAGTGATGGAAAAATGCAAATATCTCAGTAAATAAGCACTTAAAATGAACGTCATTAGTCTCAAATTGTCCCTCGGGACTTAATGCATGGACCCAATAGTGCAGAACCCCTGAATTAATAAAATTAGTTATGCCTGTATTACCGTAACCTGTTATAGAGCAACAACCTACACAGACTTGGGGTATGGGCAGTGGGTCTGTACCTATGGTACGGGCAGTGGGCCTGTGCACTAAGACTGTTTGCCGATCCCTCTGGTTTCTATTGAGAAGCCAGATATCGGACGTGTTTAGTCTTTGCCTGGTAAGTAGGATTCTCGTAAATAAAGAAAATCTACTAACCACCGTCCAGTAACTGCTAAATCTACTAACCACCATCTCGTAAATATAGAAAATCTACTAACCACCGTCCAGTAACTGCTAAATCTACTAACCACCATCTCGTAAATAAAGAAAATCTACTAACCACCGCCCAGTAACTGCAAAATCTACTAACCACCGTCCAGTAACTGCAAAATCTACTAACCACCATCTCGTAAATAAAGAAAATCTACTAACCACCGTCCAGTAACTACTAAATCTACTAACCACCATCACGTAAATATAGAAAATCTACTAACCACCGTCCAGTAACTGCTAAATCTACTAACCACCATCTCGTAAATATAGAAAATCTACTAACCACCGTCCAGTAACTGCTAAATCTACTAACCACCATCTCGTAAATAAAGAAAATCTACTAACCACCGTCCAGTAACTGCTAAATCTACTAACCACCATCTCGTAAATATAGAAAATCTACTAACCACCGTCCAGTAACTGCTAAATCTACTAACCACCATCTCGTAAATAAAGAAAATCTACTAACCACCGTCCAGTAACTGCTAAATCTACTAACCACCATCTCGTAAATAAAGAAAATCTACTAACCACCGTCCAATAACTGCAAAATCTACTAACCACCATCTCGTAAATAAAGAAAATCTACTAACCACTAACACTAACACACAGTAACTACTGGACGGTGGTTAGTAGATTTTCCATATTTACTAGATGGTGGTTAGTAGATTTTGCAGTTACTGGACGGTGGTTAGTAGATTTTCTAAATTTACTAGATGGTGGTTAGTAGATTTTGCAGTTACTGGACGGTGGTTAGTAGATGTTCTTTATTCACGAGATGGTGGTTAGTAGATTTAGCAGTTTCTGGACGGTGGTTAGTAGATTTAGCAGTTACTGGACGGTGGTTAGTAGATTTTCTATATTTACGAGATGGTGGTTAGTAGATTTTGCAGTTACTGGACGGTGGTTAGTAGATTTTGCAGTTATTGGACGGTGGTTAGTAGATTTTATTTATTTACGAGATGGTGGTTAGTAGATTTAGCAGTTACTGGACGGTGGTTAGTAGATTTTCTATATTTACGAGATGGTGGTTAGTAGATTTAGCAGTTACTGGACGGTGGTTAGTAGATTTTCTTTATTTACGAGAATCCTACTTACCAGGCAAAGACTAAACACGTCCGATATCTGGCTTCTCAATAGAAACCAGAGGGATCGGCAAACAGTCTTAGTGCACAGGCCCACTGCCCGTACCATAGGTACAGACCCACTGCCCATACCCCAAGTCTGTGTAGGTTGTTGCTCTATAACAGGTTACGGTAATACAGGCATAACTAATTTTATTAATTCAGGGGTTCTGCACTATTGGGTCCATGCATTAAGTCCCGAGGGACAATTTGAGACTAATGACGTTCATTTTAAGTGCTTATTTACTGAGATATTTGCATTTTTCCATCACTAGAAATTTTCACTCACCTGTCGATATAATTTGGAGCGGCAATCCGGTTGCCAAAATGTTTCTATCGCATTTAAACCGTTATACGGGCATGATTCTTCTTCGTTTTGCAGTAGATACAACGTTTAAAGAACGTAGATTACTATTCTCTAACGGCTGGACACTAGTAATTACAAGAACATTGTTAAAATCGCATTTGTTTGCAACGGTTAACACTGTCTCTCGTCATGCGTACCCCGGTTAGTTCACTTTGAACAGCTCTTCCAAGGTTATATGGACAGGTTACGTCTTGATCAAGCATTCAGATTGAAGCTGAAAGAACGTAGATTAATCTCATGTCATTGAAAATAACAATAAACGACCAGAACACTGTTAAAATCGCATTTAATTGTTGAATACCACTATTTTTTTTGGCCGGTGGCGCCATCCGTGGCGAATCGGTGAAACTGCTAGCGTAAAATTGGCTAGTAGTTTCAGCGATTCGCCACGGGTGGCGCCACCAGTCAAAAATAGTGGTATTCCGCAATTAAATCCGATTTTAACAGTGTTCTGGTCGTTTATTGTTATTTTCAATGACAGAGGATTAATCTGCGTTCTTTCAGGTACAAATCGAGTGCTTTACTTAGACGGAAGCTATCCGTATAACGGTGTAAAAACTATTCAAAGTGAACTAACCGGGGTACGCATGACGAGCTAGTGTCAACCGTTGCAAATAAAGGGCGATTTTAACAGTGTTGTGGTCGTTTATTGTTATTGCCACTCACTGGAGATTAATCTACATTCTTTCAGCTACAAGTCGTGTGCCGGGTCAAATCAAATGCTGTCCATATAACGTCGTGAGACCTGTCTAAATATGAAGTATACAAGGAGTGCTTGAGGTGACCCAGTGACTTCATCCATGTTTCCGGGGCTCTGTGACCCCACGGTCTCATCTCACGGGTCTCTGGTTTACTACACAAACAAACTACTGCCTACATGTTTTAAACTTGGGCTGTAGTAGTATCTGTAGAAACAGCCATGGTTGCTGGGGTTATTATCCAATTTGTTCACGGAAACACGCACAAGCGTCAGTCCCAATTCGACAGTTGCACGAGCAACATGCGACCGAGCTCGAGAGTTGTACGAGCAACAGCGATAAAGGATCACGTTTCGAATTGGGACTCACGCTTGTGCGTGTTCCCGTGAAGAAATTAGATAATAACCCCAGCACCCATGGCAGTTTCTGCAGATACTACTACAGCCCAAGTTTAAAAGACGTAGGCAGTAGTTAGTTTCTGTAGAAACCTGTTGAACCAGACAACTATAATTAGTATAAGATTGTACACTGTATATGCAGTTATATTTAAGACAATTCGATGAAATGAAGCTTATATTAACTGACGTATGTTTATTGGAATATACATATGTATACGTATAAATTATAATGATATAAAAGCTTGAAATACAATACGATGCGTTACGGTAGAATACGTCTATTCGATTCAATTGCTCCCTTGCGACTACAATATCATGCTATCCGCGTTCGGCGCAGTGCGCTAATACGATAGAGATAGTTCAATTTGAATCTTTGTAACAGTGATTTGTCAAGTTTGATTGTTTATTTATTAATAATTTGAGAGATAGTATCGTATTGATGTATCAAACGTAACAGAAAATTTATTAGAAGGAAGAAACAAGCTTTACCTTTAAAATCATTACAATAACTAATGCTTGTTTATTCAATGAATTTGTACACGCTCGTGCAATCATCCGATACATGTTTAAAATAATTATGGGTATAATTTATAGAAACAATTATAATATATCAATATTAATAAGTTTTATTTTGCATCTTGGTTTTATTGTGACTTCAAAAGGAAGCCAAGAGTCACTGAAAAATTTGTTAATTAATTTATGTATTACTGTAAACGAGTAATAATATAAATTTGTATATTATTCGGAGAACAATTGAATATTTTGGTAAACGTCGTTTGCATATAAATATTCCTCTTATCATTCCTATAAATTTAAAAGAATCTATTCATCAATTAACTCACGTTCATCTAAAGTCACTGAACAAACGCAATCAGTATAGAATTAAATATATCCTGAGGGTTATAATACTGCTACCTAAATTAAACCACAACGACAAATAATTCTAGATAAAGAAAAAAGTATTACCTTAAGGAATTATTAATTGTTTACTATACAATTTCTTTATAAAGGATAGATTATTAAACCGCAATAACAAATAATTCTAGATAACGAAAGAAATCTTACCCCAAGGAATTGTTAATTGATTTCATTACTTTACAAGTTCTTTACTTTTACAAAAAAAACGTCTTGAACCAAATGAGAAATAATTCTAGATAAAGAAAAAATACTATAAGGAATCATTAATTGATTCCGTTACTTTACAGTTTTTATACTTTCATTGAATCACTATACTACTTTTCAAACATTTAAACTATTACAAACTCTTTTACAGACTGATCTGCTTTTTCCACAATCTCCCATCATTTTAGTGAATATCAATTAACACCACAACAAAAATTGAAATTCAATTGCCTCCACTGAAACAGACATTCTCCATTACTCTTTCTACACTTCACATATACTATATGACCGTAATAAAAATATGATACTCGATAAGAAAATGGTCCAGATTGGTCGAGGGATCAATCTAACGATTTCTCAGAAACTCAACCGGGTAACCGACATATCAGCGTCCGCACAGGTGTCCGGTGGGGCTTGCAATTTTCCAGATGGTTAACCGATTACGGAGGCGTTCGCGGTTAGTTTGCCCCACCGTGGTATATATCGGCCGACTCGATTTTCATTCACGGTGATTTTCACGTATCGGGGCACTGGGTCCCATGTGGTCGTCGCTGATAAGCAGTGAATTGAACTTCTATCGAATTCCGTGAGATCTCCGCGAGTATAAAAGCTCGACACCTCGGGGCTAGGAGCATCAGCAGCTCTCTGGAGCTCCGAGGAGTAACAACGATCCCTCCGAGCATTGAAGTCACTGAGACTACGGCGAAACTACCCCTACAAAACCAACGACTTGTTGAGTGGAAAGAACGAACAGGTAAGTGAAAATGCAAAAAAAAAAACAGAAATAAAATAATTAAGGCACATGGAAAATCTTGTCTCTGATATCTTCTATAGTATATTAAAATTATGCCTCTGGGGCTATTAGAATGTTATAAACTTATTAGACTTTTAATACAAAATTAATAATGTAGAGTATTGAGACATTAGTTAAAGGTGAAGGTCAGAAATATATTCAGAAAACCTTGTGTTCATGTATGATCACTGTATAGACTGTGGATTTTTATGTAAAATTTTATAAAGTAAGTCATAAAGAGAAGAACAAAAGTAGAAATTTCTTTCACCTATTAAGTATCTTATTGAATTAAGAATAAAACAGAAAACTGTAGACACTATAAATGCATAAAATCATAAAGGTACATATGAAGAACGTTTACATGTACTTGAAGCCTAGATGAAAGTTACTTTGATTATTTCATTCCTGAAATTATATCTACAGTAAATCCCCGATAAGTGTTCGAAGGCTCCTCGTCATTGACAAGCAGAGGTCTCCAGGTATAACGCTGACTTTCTAATGAGGTTTAGGACAATGATAGAGCTTGGAATTTTGAAGTCAATGATATTTCTTTCAGCCATGTATGGCTATTCGTTTATGAAATATTTAATGTTCAGTGCCGAGGAGTTTTCGAACACTCGTTGAGGATTTACCGTATGTATATAGCAGTTTGCCTGAATGTGGAAAAGACTTTTCAGTAGCTAACTTCTTTTCTAATAGGATGCGGCGCACAAGACACGTTGCGCTGCCAGTAAGGGCTTGGCAATATATTGGTCTTCTGATAGTGTCACTGGCCTGTCTGACACTAGGCCTGGTATCTCGGGACAAGGAAGGCCGTGCTGGAAGTCTTGCAGGACCGGAACTACAACATCAAGCTCCCCATGAGTAAGACGACATTGACAATCCCTTAAATTTTTAATATTCCACTGACATCTAAATTCCATCAATAACTTTAGTTATATACTTTTTATTCAGTACCTTTACTGTTCCCTGAAGTGTCTTAATTCATTCCAAACTAACCATAGTCACTAACTACTACATTTTCAAATTCCACCATGTTTTCTCTACCACCCAGTGCCTCAAGACCATCCATTCTAATCATATTCTCCCTTCACAGAGTGGATGCCTGTCCAAATTTCAGTCCCTTCACCAAGATGCCTTCTTATGCGAACCTCGACCAGGTTCAAACCAGCGTTCCAAAGGCATCTCTAGCGACCAGAACCACTAGGGCTGGTCCCCTACCGGATGCTCTCAGGATCTCTCGATCACGAAGCTTGGATCGTGACTCCCGTAACCGTCTGCAATCAAGAAGAGACTCTAGGAGACTGACCAGTCGAGAGACAACCGATTCCTCCAGGCTCGGGACCAGAAATCAAGACTCCCAGAGACGTTCATCCGATCAGATTCGACTTTCTAGATCCATGGATTTCGATGGTCGTCTCGCCACACGATCCTTGGACCGTAGATCACGTAACACCGAACATAGATCGGCTGTCGATCGTCGTGAAAATCGTGAAGCCCTTGCACGCAGGATTTTCGAACGACAAGCAAAATCGAACGATCGATTTGACGTCAGGGATCGTATATCGTATTCCGTGGAACGACGAGAGTTAACATCAAATCGTGGAATGAGACAGGAAGACCGTCGAGAGATTCGAGAACGTAGATCACGATCCCTGGATCGTCGAGAACCGGTAATGGAACGTCGTATTCGCGAGAAACAGGAGATCGTTCGCGAGGATCGTCGAAGGAACTTGGTAAATCGAATGGATAGACGGGCTGAAGATCGACGATCCTCTGTTCGATCAGATCTCGAAGAAAACCGTGGAAACGTTCGATCTTCTCTGGACATCAGACGCAATTCTGTCGCTTCAAGGGATCAAAATAGGCGATCCGTTCGAACCAGGCAACCTGATTCTGGATCACGTGGTACGGAACGAACAACCAGACAATATTCTCGATCCCTTAATCGTCAGAACTCGCGAATTACAAACGATCTATCTGAACGAAGACTGTCGAAGAGATCCGTGAGCCTAGAGGAACGTCGCGAACGAAATTTCAATTCTCGAACACGATCCATGGACCTTGGATCCACCGATTCTCGTCGTGAAAGGATCGATCGTTCCCCAAGGACCACAGACAATCGAAATCGTGTACAATTGACAACCAGACGGGACTCTAGAATCGATTTGGACCGTAGATCCCTTGTACGATCGGAGAGACGCCAGGGAAGCAGCGAACGAAGGGAAAGAACTAGTGGATTGGATCATCGATCGGACGCTAGATCGAACGAAAGACGAGAATCTTCTGTTCTGAGATCGTTTGAACGATCTAGACTCGACAATACCGATCGCAGAGAGAGGACAAATCGATTTGCTCGTCTTGCTAGATCCTCTGAAACTGTTAAACGCGACGTGGATCGACGTGCCAGGGATCTATCTCGCGATCGACGAACAGAACGTAAAGGACTTCTAGATTCTAGATCTATGGAACAACGATCTAACGATAACGATCTGAATCGACGAGAAGCCAGGGCCGACAGATCAGAACGCAGGAGATCCACCGATTTCGATTCTGTGAATCGTCGAGAAATCAGGACTGATCGTTCAAGGATCAACAATTCCGAACGTAGAGAAAGGATCAGTCGATTAAACGTAGCCCGTGACATGCGTGAATCACGAACTCGTCTTGCCGTGGCTACCGAATCCCCTAAACGCGACCTGGAACGACGAGTTAGGGATCTATCCAGTGATCGACGATCCGAACGCAGAGTAACTGTGGATTCTAGGTCCCTCGAGTCTGGAGAACGTCGAGAAATTAGTGTGGATCGTTCCAGGATCGATAATTTGGAACGACGAGGTGGTTCTAGATTAATCTCAGCTAGTCGAGCTCGAATCGATTCGGCTAGGACATCTAAACGCGACCTGGAGCGACGAGTAAGGGATCTATCCAGTGATCGGCGGTCAGAACGGAGGGCTATTGTTGATTCAAGACGATCCATGGACAGGAAATTCCAGGACAATGCCAGTAATCGCAGAGAAATCAGGACTGACGAAAGGTCAGAGCGTCGAGCAGCACTCGTAGAATCCAGAAGGTCCTCTAGATCGTTCAATTCTATCAATCGTGAGGAAACTAGAACTGATCGTCGTGCTTCAGAGCGATCTACACTTCGTTCAGACCGTCGAGAAATATCGAATCGCATCGATTTAGCCCGTGAATCGCGTATTCCCGTCGCCAGGACATTGGAACGACGAGCTAGAGATCTAACCCGTGATCGTAGATCAGAACGCCTCGCCGAGAAGATTGACAGGAACTTGGACTCGAAACGATTCCTACGACAAAAGATTAATGTTAATCGATCGCAGCAACGTATCGGTGATCTTTCGAATGATATACAACTGAGACAAAGACTGATAACTCCTCGAAGATCCTTGAACGATGCCAGACGATCCCGCCAAGTGGATCAGCAGGTCTATCGAGACTCAAGGAAAGATTCGATGGACTCTCTTCGTGATCCTAAATCCTTCACTCGTGGAAGCTTGAACCGTGTCGATGATGTCCCTTCGAGGATGAAGACTCTGGGTACGCCGGAGATCATGAAAGCAGACAGTTCAATGATGAACAGCATGACCGTTGAAGTAGTACGCCAGGCAATTGTGATTGGTCTCTGTGCTGTCTACGGTCTATCCATATTTAATGGGAAACAGTCTTTCATTAGGTAAGCGATCGTCAACAGAATCGGTAATATATTGATTAGTTACTAAAAATATTAAAATACTATGATAATGATCTTCAGTTACTAACCTAAATTGGTTATTCATTTACTAAGCTATAAATGGCTACTTCACACTTGGGGGTTCAATGCAAGAGGGAGCTGTACCACAAAATGTTGAGAAATGAGATTTTTATTCATTCTGGCACCCCTTCATGTCCAGTTATTATCTCGTATTTATATATGTAGCCAAATTCCTGCCTGCACGATGATTGTACGTACTGTAAAATACACTACTTTTCAGAAAAGCCTTAATATCTTACAACACTGCTATTGTGGTATATCGCCCTCTTGCATTGAACTCCTTAATTACTAAGGGTTCTTAGCTCATTATTCTCGGAATAAAGATTTTGTTAAATTATCATTCCTAGAAGCAAGTATAGAATTAATTATATAAGATCATGGTGTAATGGTGTGTTGCAGTAACGTGATAAGGCAGGCTCCACGCTTCATCCTATGGTAAACGAAGAAGTCCACTCGTCGAGGATAAACAACGATCCGCTACTTCCAACATCCGCTTTCTAGTCGTTGTTATTAGTGTAATAGTCCCGCACCGTTGTAATCGCAACAATCTTCGATATGTATATTAATGTACAGCCCAATGTATCCGATGTAGACACAGAATTGTATCGCCTGTACCTAGAAAGATATATTTTGCCTGAATAAATTGTTCAGATCAAAATTAGACACAGTGTGTTCATTACCTTCGAGGTAGTTCCTGAAGATTCCATGAATGATTTCACTTTCATAGATGAGCTTGGGTTCGGTTCCTATAGGACAGATGTGTAACTACAAATGTTCTGAGAACAGTGGACACTTAAACTAGTAGATTAATTACTTTCATTATAAATAGTCAAATCTGTAGAGGACAAGAAGTATCTTGAAAGCTTCTTAGGACTGAAGATAAATTAAAGAAACTGAAGTAGGTTCCTATGGGATAGATATAACTCTAAATTTTCTGAAAACAGTTGCCACTAAACAGAACAATTACTTCCATTATAAATACTGAACCTTATAAAGGATAAGAAGTATTTGCAGAAACACAAAAAGTATACTGTTTGAAAGCTTATCAAGACTGAGACAGATTAAAGAAACGGAATGCAGAATACTATCATAGAATAGTATGTGGAATAACTTACACACGCAAGATATATATACCGACTTAAATGGTAAAGAGAAGAGAACGGAATTTATTAAAGTTTCAATCTCGCGGTTTGTACATTACGGCGATTCGGCTTAAATATTAAAAAAACGTGGTGATGATTTCACATACATATCCAGTATTAAAGAAGTAACTGTATACTCTGTGTGCAGTCGTGATTACAATGATCCGATGAAATACAAGGTACAACCTGAAAAAAGTCTCGACTGTTCTATAAGAAAAACAATCGCCCGTTGAACGAGAGAGCATTTTAAAGGTCGTTACATTCAAAAACACCTCGTGATTTGTGCGATATGCGTGTGCGTCGTGTGGTGCAATACAGATTAAATAATGAATCTCCCTAAAATGTACTAAATACATATATACGATTGGACGACTCGATTGTGTGTAGAAATGGCTTCGTTGATGGCGAAAAAATGAATGTATATACACACCGTGTCCCAATCTGAGCGAATTTACGGACACGCTCATTGTGGGACACCGTGTATAAAAATAAAAAATAAATTACGTACGATTATTGAAACAATCGAAGATTACGCTTACAGACAGCGTGATCCGATAAAGCCTCATGTAAAAAACTAAGTTCTACGCGACTCTGGAAGATATCTCGTGTCGACGCCGCTTTTTCCAACTATATGTATACTCGTAACGGTTATAACGCTCCGTCGAATAGTCTTGACGATAAGTACGGGACTAAAGTTACAAGTTCCGAATTCGAAAGCGGTCAAGCTCGACGATTACTTTCGTTTTGTTACTCCTACTAGTCGTTAGATAAATAAAAAGTCTGTTTTCAGTAAATATAGATCAAAATATCTCTATATGTCAGTTTGATAAATCGATTCTCTATCATAGTTACATTATGGACGCAGTCCATGCGCGTATTACGCACGCACACAAATGGCAAGAAGGAATGTCGACGAGAAGTTACGATAAAACGGTAACATCGTCATTCGTTCGTTTCTTTATCGTTTGATAATATCTTTGGCAGTGATCCCAGTCGATCGTTACACGCGAGTTTACCCAGGATCGATATGATTTTCACTGGTTTACGGTTTTGGTACACTAATAACGACTAAAGATATTGCAAGAATGATCTCGAACAGCAAAATTGGTCGCCGTTCGAACACAAAAGGTCGACAAAAAACATCGACCAATTGTTTTTGGCTGTGCACCATGTTGACCTCTTCTTTTTTTTCCTTATCACAAACGAGGTACACGACAGACTTATTAGCATTTGTGTCACATAGAGACCTATTTCAAGAAAAGCATGCTATCGTTTACGCCCTTTATGTATTAAGTACAATACTGTTATTCCTGACAAAATTATAGAGTTACGATCTTATTTTATATTCGGATTCGATAACGATTATTGGAACCTTTAGAGTACCCCCCGTTACGTGACACAAGGATACGCTGATTATTACGAATGTCCTATACCTCGTCTATACTTCTAGAACATATACTAACAATGTGACAACATCTTCTGACAAAAACCTTCGGTGTCCACATCGCAACAGTACAAATTATCACAATGCCCAATAACGGAATCGCGAGAAACTATCCCTTTCTCTCGATATTACGCGAGCACCAGGGTTTCACGCTGGTCCATTTAAGGTTCACAGAATTAATGAACGTTGGTGATCTCTTGGAGCATCCCCAGAATGTGATCCAGCTCCTGCCTGAAGTAGCACAATTGCCGATTCTTCCCCTTCTCGTTCTTACAGTCTTTACATTGCATTCGATTCCGCAGCAAATCGCGCACCAAACTTTGCAAGGTCATTTCCCTGCTCTCGTGTCGTTGCTGAAGAATCGTTATCTTGTCTTGTAACAACTGCAGCTGCTCTGTACTCTACAAATACAGGATGAGAAAGTAGTTGCACATCAAAAGATCCATATAAAACCCCAAAGTAACGCACACTTTGTTACATACCGGCGTCGATAAGTACTTGACACGTTCGTTCAAAGCCTTCACTTTGTTCTCCAAGTGCTCCCTCTCAGCCTTCAAGACAACCACTTGTTCCTTATAGTCCCTCAATTTCTCAATTTGTTGCTTCAAGTGCGAGATCACAGCCACTTGAGTGTTTATCTGGCTCTGTTCAAGAACAGCAGACAAGCAACATGATTAAACTGTTCATCGATGAGATGTACTACGTGCAAGCATTTGAAAACAGAACAGAATGTGCGAAAACAAATGGTAACAGTTAATACTACTGCACGTAATACTACAGACCTGTAACTTTACCACTTTAGAGTCGCCCACTTTGACACTGTACTCCTTCAGCAAAGTGGCCATCTCACGTTCATGCTCTTCCTGCAGAAGATTCAAGTCGTGCAACCGTTTGTTCTTCAGGGCCATAAAGTCTTTGTTCATTTTGTTCAGTTCCTCTTTCAGAATGTCATTCTCATCTGTGAGTCTCTTCACTAGATTATTATCAGTGTTCTCTGTGTACTGCATGGGATCATAAAGCTTCTGCACAGACGCGGACAATCGTTGAGTATTTATCTCTGGAGTGTGCCCATTCTGATAGACATTCGAGTTCTGGTCATTTCCTTCTGTTGACCGTAGACTTAACAGCTTCGAATCGGAGGACACCATACCACGATTCATCTTCTCACAGTCGATATTCTTGATGGCTTTTCTATCGTTTAACAGTTTCTCCCTCTCCTTCTGCAACCTTCTGTTTGTCTTCTGTAGCTCTTGGAATTCTTTGGTCAGCTTAGAAACGGTTTTATCCTTGTTCGTCAATTCAAATTTCAGTCCTCTTATGGTAGCTAAAAGATGAGTGTCTTCCTTAGGATTCTGAGACTTCAAGCTTATTTTAACCTGTGGCTTCTGGTCCCTTTTATCGTCCTTCTCGAAGGACCCAGCCCTCTCTTCTTTCCTGATAGTCTCCACGCCTTTGTTCTCAACAGGTCTCGATGCCGTCTGAGTGAACATATCATTGTACACTTTGTGATTCTTAATACTGGCCTCCAACAGCTTCCCTTCTAGCTCCATTATCTGCGTAGAGTATTTCTCCTTCATGTCAGAGAACTTCTTCTGGAATTCAACTAGCTTCTGCTGCGCTAAATCATCCTTCTCCTTGATTTCACATTCCAAACTTGCTATTCGATCCTCCAACAGCTTCAGCTTCTCAGATCCTATCTTCTCTTGTTCGGAGTTCGCTGTCAGTATAAGAGCAGACACTGAGTCAGGATTCTTCCTCTTCAGTATCCGTTCCATTTCACGCACCTGCCTGTTCAAGTCTGTGATCTTCTTGCTATCGAGAATCACCTGGTCCTTCAGCTTCTGCGACAACTTCTTCTCTCGTTCCACGTGACTTTTAGCCACCTGAAGCTTCTCCAGTAAAGTACCCTCTTTCACTCTCAGCTCCAGCAACTCTTTTTCCAACGGAAGCACATTCTGCTGAAGCTTCTCAAACTCCTGCTTCACTATACGCAGTTGTTCGGTTTTGGAGCTCAGCTTCACAGACAAATCCTCGACTTTCTTCTTCAGTTCCAGCTCCGCTGTCGTCATGGCTTGTAGCCTGTCGGTGATAAAATCGTTCTTTGTTCTCAGTTGCTCTTTGAACATCTCCAGCTCGTCGTTCAACAGATTGTTCTGCTCCGTCAAGTCCTCGTTCTTCAGTGCACAGTCTGCGTTCTTCTCTCGAAGCTCGGATACCTCCAAGTTCAACTTCAAAGCTTCCTCCTCGAGGTCCTTCACCTTGTCTACAAGCTCTTGCAGCTTGCCTGACTCGAACGTTGTACTCTTCTGTTTTTGCAGCTGCCTCATCTCATCCTGCAAACGCTTTGCGTCCTGCACCAGCTTCTTGTTCTCTGTCTCGTACCCCCGAATCAATTTCTCCTGTTTCTCCAGCTCCTTCTCCAGAAGTACGGTCCTTGTGTCTTTTCGAGGCTGCGACGGTTCTGGACGTTTTTCGCTCAACGACAGCTCATCCACCCTCGCCTTTAAAACTATATTCTGCTTCTTCAGGGCGAATAATTCCTCCTCAAAGGACACACGCATATTGTCCATCTGGCTCTTGTACATTTTCACTTCAGACTCGAGCTGTTGCTTCAGTAGAGCGTTCTTGTGTCTCTCTTCGCGACACAACAACTCCCAATTCTGCTTGGTTAGATTAAATTTATTATCACCGCCCGCCATTGTGGGCTTTGGATAACTATCCGGTGATTTCATTGGGTATCCTCTGGACATGGAAGACAACGAGAAAGTGGAACCAGTCTTCACCGGATCCTTTTTTGGCTTTGGGGATACCTTGGTCTTGGGTGGGGCTTTTGCGATTGGTTTGATTGTAGGTTGTAACTTTGGCTTTAGTATTGGCGATCTCCTGGTCAGAGAGCTGGCGGGTTTCTTTGAAAAGTCTAATGGTTTGGTTGTCCTTAAGTTTTCTACGGATGTTCGAAACGGCGGCTTACAAATCTGATCGTAACTCTTGGACTTGGAGAATTTGATTTCTTTTCTTGGAGGCTTAATACTTGACGCGCTAGCTGACTGGGAGGATTTGCGTTCTACGCTACTGCGTTGAGTTGTCGCTGCACTTACACTTGTTTTAATCTCTGACCTGGCTGTAGTCTTATAAACGTCCGTTTTCGGGTCTGTTGGAGCTTCAGCAGTTTGGTATTTCGCACTCTCTACTGACTTCTCGGCCAACAACTTCGGAATCGCATCTGCGAACAACTCCAACCTTGGCGTCAGACCAACTGCGTATAATTCTTCTTTCTTTATGTCTACTGTTGTAGCTACTTGTTTCGGAGGTTGTTGATCTTTCTTAACAGGTATTTTCACCTCATTTTTGCTGCTGCTACTAGCGTGTTGCGACGGTTTACGTTCTGTGTCTGCTGCGCTGGAATCCAATTCAAGAACTTCGTGCTCAGTTTTCGGCTCACTCATCTGAGACAGTTCTTTCTCCAATATATCAGAAATCTCCTTTTCCGGAAATTCAGGACTCTTGTCGCTCTCGAGATTCCTTTCCAGAACAGATGCCTTATCCTCAGGTTTTAAAGGAAACGGGTCTGCATGATTACCTCCGTTCGAGTTCTGTTCCTTTTTATCGGCCTGACCCTGTAAAAGCTTCAAAAAGTGTGAAAAATCTTCTTGCCCAAAGCTCGAACTGCCTGACATGCCTCCTTCGACTCTCTCCTTCGATCTCTTCAATAAATCCTCGAAAAAATCTTTATCTACGTCAATTATCTCCTTTTGCAAATTATCCTTGTCCGATTCGACCTTCCTGGTACTGCTTAATTCTTCAGACTTCGAATGCCTTTCAATTGGATCGTCCAAATCAGAACTGCTTGACACTTCCACCTTCTGTTCTTCGAATTTCCTTCGTTGCAACTCCAATGTCTTTGGAGCTCTCAAGGTGTTCACATTTTCATATAGCACTTCGATACTAGGACTGCTTTCCCTTTTCTTCTCGTTCTTTGGACTCCTTTTGATTTTTTCTGTCTCCTTGTGCACCTCCTCCTCTATCATTTGAAAGATATCAGCTTCTAGTTTCCTAACTCTGCTAAGACTTTCCATGTCTTCCGCGATATTTTCAGGTACTAAAGTGTCGGTTTTCGAGCCACTCTTGGATAAACTACTACTGTTTTTTCTCACAAGTTTTTCAGCCTCCTCTAGCAACTCTTCCACAGATTTCTCTTCCTCTGTTTGATTTTTGGTAGAGTTCCTCGACTTCGTACGGTCTGGAGCAGAATTTGGGCTAAGAGCTCCAGCTATCTTGCTCATTTCTTCTAAGATACTACCTATGTCCTCGTCAGTCGCGTCTGTATCAATAGAATTGTTAGTAATCTTAACTTGTTCGTCCTTGAGATACTATAGAAAATAATGGACAGCTAAAAAGATTCGATCTGTGATATTACTATCTGCATTAATATTTGTTTGGAATTCTAATGGATAAAACCCATATTTCTACCGTATCCAATATTTTCAGCTGTCATTGATATAAATAAACTTACTCTCGAAATCTGAAGGATATTTGTCAAAAGCTGTGGAAGCCAAAATGTCACACAAGGTATCATCTTTATCTTTTGCTTCAATTTCATTTTTATGCATGGCCTATGTAAAACAGAATACAACAGAATGTATTTTACATAATGGCTATTACATAAGTACTACTATACACTATTATTAATTACTTTGCACATTTTTTCTTTCTCCAAAAATTCTTTCATGGAAGAGCTAATATCCGGCGAAGGTGAAGGTGTCTGCTTGACTTTTACTTCAACCTGAATGGCATTGGACACTTCGAGCCTGGTCTCCGGCTTTTTCAACCACCATTTCTCTTTCTCATTCTTCTCGGTTGATTCCAATTCTTTATTCACCTTGGGCTTTTCTTTTATTCTAATTGAATTTTCACCTATACTAAGACTGATGGAAGAGCCCAAGGTATCATCTTCAGTTGATATTAGCTGTACACAAATTAATTATGTATGAAGTTTGGAGATTCTTCGTAAAAAGAGAATGTAACATTATGTTCCGATCAAGCAAAATTTTCTACAGAAACGGTCATTCAAAAGGAAATTAATGAGAGAAATTGAAAGCGTCAGTGTCACTCTGAATAGGTTAACGTAACTGGCGTATAAAAAACGAAGTAACTCACGTCCTCCAGACGAGGTGACTTTTTTGCGTTCGAAGACATTCGGATTTTTTACTGACAACACTTTCGGTCACTATAATTAACGTAATCGATCATTTTTCCGGGATCATTTGACACTTGCCGTGCTTTTTGTTTGTTTGTCAGTTTTAATTCGCTCGATGGTCGTCTCGTAGCGACCTCACCTGTCCAGTACCGTACATTTACTTCTTACACCCTAGTGCAAGAAAAATTAAAAAAAAAAACCAAATACAATAAGATTCTCAGCAGCAAATTACAGACAATTAAAGGGAGTTTCTTATTTGTGAAGAAATGAACGGAACAGTAACCATTTATATAAGAAAAATCTACAGAAATGTTTCTTTCATCGCTCAAGATTCGAATATTTCATTAATGTAAAAATACTATTTGTAATTTTGTAATTGCAATTTATTCATTCATGTAATTAGTTAAATCATTAATTAATCGTAAAGAACATTTCTTTAATTAATAACGACGAGTGCACAAGAGGGTGACGATTGCACTTAGCAAGCCATAACAATGTATTAGAGAATTTAACTTTTATAACAATTTAGATCAGAATGCATAGAACACCGATAATAATTATTCATTTTACACGAACCCAATCACACACTATGGATCTCGCGAATCTTACAGCATTTCCACGAGTCCTAAATTGCAATAGTCACGTAAATGTTACATTTATATAAATAACGAAAATTGCTTTCATCGTTGTGGAAGGGTGTCTTGGGTAAAACGGACAATGTAGATTAACGAATAACTTTACACGCATAACACCTGCATATCACAATATCGTGTATATGAATCTATATCTCTTATATATCATAAAATATATATATGTGTATATATAATATGAACATATCCTTTAAACTTCGAAGGCGTCTTGTGAATTTTTTCGCTATAGTTACGAAAGTCTACATATACATCCCATAAATTTGTAACATTTCCTTTTAGAATACACAATTTTCGACAGTGCCATTTTGTTACTAAATTATTTTTCAACAGAATTTTATGGTTACCAGTACGAAGTCGATTACAGATAATTATATAGCTTCCACAGATACCCAATCAACTAGAAACATATTTATAATAATAAACTTTCTATATGTAAATACATTCAACCAGAAAAACACCAATTATTCTAACATATTCTTCGCCGTTTATATCACGAAAAGCTTGTTCGTAATATTGCAAGTTTATGGGTTGTACGTAAAGTTCCCTTTTTTTTGTGACTGACTGTACATAAACTCCTTAAGCGTATATATTGTAACATTTGTCGCCGTCTTTTTTTTGCGTCAGCGTCTGACAATCACTTGTAAGTGTACATTTGTCGTTCATAAAAATAATAAGGTATTATATTAACGCTTCCCTATCGCTCTCATTATCAAAATACACGGATAAAGGTACATATATATATTACTCGCTGGTTCATGCTCGCGAAAGTACTTCCTCGCTACGGTCCCAATATTTTTCGATATCTTATAACCGGGAGTACTATTCAGAGACACTGCTCCCTTCCCGGTTAAGAGTCCCTAGCTCTATCCTACCACACGTTACACAATGAACGCGAACCTGATTGAAAATATTCGTTAAAATCTCCTCGAATAAAAATATATATATACATATATATCTCTATTTCATCCCATAAGCCGGCGGCGAGTTCAATGATAACACACGTGCAATTTAAATAACTCTTTGCTAACGAACTTCGTGTTGCATTCCTCGCAATAGTGCTTAATATTATTATCGACCAGCTTTATCGACGCTGAGATATTCTTGGCGGTGACGATGCCTCTGATCGCCTTCATCAGGTCCCTCTCGGTCGGTTTACCCGCCTCGCTTAGATTTCGAAGGCTTCTCCGTAATTTCCTAGCGGACACCTCGGTGTTGCCCAACTTCTTTATCCTGCCGTTTCGAAGAATCACATCGTGACTCCTCAAATACTTGGTCGAATACCCAGTATCCGCGATCCCGTTCAAATTCACCCTCTCCGATTTCGGTTTGCTTCTCGACGTGATCCTCGGGGACTTCAATTTGTCGAGGGCGACTAAGGATTCCGCTGAACCCAATACAACGCAATTCACTCTCTCGTTTTGAATGTTCGCTAGAAGATCGTTGGACAACGCGCCAATTTCATTGGCCAGATTGGAGCTTCGTTCGTTGCTCGACAACGACGCCAACGGTTCGTCCGACGGGTTATCCTCGAGATCGGAAAGGTGTTCTTGCTTCACGGAGCTAATCATATCCCCTATCGACACCTCCCTAGACGGTACCTTCAATTTACTCGCTATGTTACGAACTTTATGCTCGTCCACTCTGTATCCATTTACCCTCGATCTTTGGTTTTTATTCCTGGAGTACTTCCTCTTCGGCCCTACATAATCGACCGTCCCTTTCCTGGGTCTGAGAATACGACCGTCAAAGTCGTCGAACTTCTCCAACTTGATCTGCGTCGCCTCGAACTCCAGCTGTGGCGTGGTTACATCCGATTTCGGTGTCTTCGATGTATGCGCCGCAGCTGGTTTCCTTTTACTTCCCATATAGTTCACAGATATCTTCCTGGGTCTCAAGTTCCGGACAAACACGCTTTTCGTTACCTCTTCGTTAACGACGGTCATACTTTTCACATCTTCCATAGGTTTTATATCCGAAGAATTCGTTTTTTTCTTGTTTCCAGTAACGGTGGTCGGTACGTTCGACTGTTCTTGAAACGTTCTATCGTTGAAGAGATTCCTCTTCACCAGCAACGTGCCGTTCGCCTGACCATTGGTCACGGTCTCGATGTTACCGTTCCGATTGCATCGCGACATCGCGGTACGTTGATAATTCGTTGATAGATTTCGATTGCTTTGGTCCATTTTATCACAGCAACACCTGCATCTGTACGCAGCGGCGGCGTACGAGAGATCGTTCGGCTGGAACGCCACGGAATTAATGTAGTTCACGTTGTCAGCCATCGGGCTGATGTTGTACGCGTCGTAATCGGGCGGCTCGATCTTGATCTTCACGTTCTCGATCTGCACCATCGGTATACCGACCCTCTCCTGGGGATCCTCCTTTCTCATCCAGGACAACTGACTCTTCAGGTTCGCGTCCGTTTTCAGACAGTCGACGTAAAACTTGTGAAACTCCTCCAGCTTGTAGCTGCACCGATGGCACATGTGTTTCGGCAACAGGTCCATCTCATGCACCTACGGATACATACAGTCGATGCAGAATGATTGCGTGGATCGATGCTGAAGACGGAAAGAGTGGGGGGTACTGTACGCGTGGTGTCGATGCACGATGATATAGAGAAGGATAATGATTTTTTGAGGATACTCGATATTTAAGAAAAATAATACATAATGTTTATAATAAATTTAATACCAATGGCGTTATTACTAGGGCTGGGTACTAACGAGAAGGCTATATCATTAACTGCCCGATAATCAATACATCTGTCCGTTAAATGGCTATTTAATATCGAAGTAAAAGTAACGTTCTGTTAAGGTGAAAATATTTCGATTTTAAGGTCAACCAATCGATGTAGTTATTTATGTTGTCATTCTGTTGGGTGTAGTTACTAGTCAGTAGATAATTGGACCTAGAGTAAAAGTTGGTAGCTTAGATTTGACAATTACTGATTCTGATCAGTCTTTAATGCAAGGTAATCGATGACCATTAAACCGTCTTATAATGGCTAGTACCGAGGCGTGAATATTACTTCACGATATGATGTAAGATATCGAAATAATTTGTCATCGATTCGAATTGGTTTTAACTGATTTTCAATCGTCGACCACCCATTAACTCCCGCGACTGTTTCAGCTGGCAACGTTCCGCGTTATGTACTCCCAATATCAACATGGTCCCGCGCCTTTCCGCGATCCCCCTGAGAAACAGATCCTTCAAACAATAACAGTATCCAGCCGCAACATACATCGCGCAATAAAGGAATAAAAAGCGATGATTACATTTCCGAAGTTACGCAATAACGTTGGAATCGTTAATGAAGCATATTGGCGCGCAAAGTAATGATAACCTCACTTTCGCCAGCGGTAAATACCACCCGTTAACGGACTTAAGCTCTGAATACAAACGCGACTTTCTAAAAGAAAAAAAAAAAGAAAAGAAAAGAATCATTCCAACGATAAAAGAAACGATCGAGCGTGTCCCGTCTGATTCGACGAAAGAAAGGAAAAAAAAGAAGAACCTCTCGCACACATTCGTAGCAAGAAAGAAGGTGGTCGAGGAGGGGGCGTTCACGATTATCGGGAAAGGACACGTTGAGTTACCGCGGCGGAATATACCAGGCTCGTCTGTTCGTAAAGGGAGAAACAGAGAGTGTGTTGTGGCGAAGATGTATGACGTACCATGATCGGTAGAACGGCGTTGATTTTCTTCACGTGGTTCTCATTCTTGTCGAATATATTAATAGAGATACCGGATTGCTTGCCGCAGAGACGGCACACGCGGCTCGACTCGAGGGTCTCCATAACGGTACAACAGGGAGCAACCGAGAGTGTTTCGCGCCGCGCGACGATTGTGTTATAGTCGTCGCGTGCGAGAGGAAAGCTTTCAAGCCCCTGATGCGTGGTGTGTTTAGCGAGATCCGCCACGCGTGGCTCGTGGCAGCCTGGTCTCCGTGTCTCTGTCCCCGCGCGCACCGCGGGAAAATGTATTATACCTCGCAAAAAGCTCCGAGAGCGCGGGCTCTCGCCTCCGCGTCAGACAACCGTAATATAAAATTGGTACGTCACGTTTTCACCGTCTATCGTCGTCGTCTCGAGTGAGAGATAGATAGATAGAGAGAGAGAGAGAGAGAGAGAGAGAGAGAGAGAGAGAGAGAGATAGAAACCCACGAACCCTGACGCACGAGCGAACCGCTTGAAAAAGTACGGTCGATGGAACGTATCGCGGCCGGTATGACGCTCAATCCTACCGGCAGACGAAAAAATTCACCCGACAATTTTCCCCGCGACGCGATCCCACGGATACCACCGCTGCCCGTCCGGTTCGGAAGAGGAAGATCGATTTTCAGACGGCTCTACCACTGGCGATCACAGTGATCGGACCAATTCCCGAGCTCGCCTTTCTCGTCGATCGTAGCATGCTGACATCTGTCGGATCTATCGCGATACATCACGCTCTGAGACTTGGATGATTAAAACGGTAGGGACCACCACAAAAAAATTAATTATTGTGTTCTAACCTGGTTAAGAGGTGACAGACGTCTGTGTTTTGGAGCGAAGATCGTTTGTGAGGTACCTGTGCCACGATGGAAAAGGAAGGATCCACTGCGGTCGAGAAATCGGTCGCTGAGAAACACGCAGAGAGGATGAAACGGTTACGGGATCTACATGCAAAGAGGGTATGTAACGTTGAATGCATTGATTAGGTTAGAAATGTTTGTAGTAATTTTGCGAATGGCAGATATCTTTTAGTGTATTAATCTTGTTTCGAAACGGATCTTTTGGAGGAAATATTCCCTATATGAATATATTGCTTTCGTAGAATGAAGCCAGGCAACAGAACCACAAAGAGGTTGTTGAAGAGGACAAAAGGAATAAGCTCCCATCCAATTGGGAGTCGCGTAAAAGACAAGCGGAATGGATTGTGCAGGATGAGTCTGCAAGGAAAGATGCCCAGGAAAAAGTATGTGCAATCTTGGATTGTCGAAAAAGCAGATCTATTTACGTGATGTATTTTATAGGGAGAGGACTACGAAAGGACAAAGTTGCTGCACATTGATGCAACAGAGGCAGAGCGTATAGCCAGAAAAAAAAAGAATAAGAAGAATCCGGATCCAGGTTTTTCAGATTACGAGCAAGCAGCCATCCGCCAGTACAATAGGCTGGTTAAAAATATCAAGCCAAATATGGACACATACGATGAAGCTAAGGATAAATTAGGGCCAGCTTTCTATGGAGATAGAAACACTATATTGCACGGTCTTCACGAGGACAAAAAGGAAGCTGTAGATAAGATGGTGCAAGATTTGGAAAAACAGTTAGTATAGTAATATCGAGTACTTAAACTTGATGCAACATGCGCGTATTAATATACATTATTTTGTTGCAGAATCGCAAAGAGAGATAAGTATAGCAGAAGAAGGATGCACAACGATGATGCTGACATTGATTACATCAATGAACGTAACGCTAAGTTCAACCAGAAATTGGAGAGATTCTACGGAGAATACACACGCGAGACGAAGCTGAACTTGGAAAGGGGTACAGCTATATAATGGGAGAACTTTAGGACTAATGGACTTACTATAAATACGTTGTATTGTAAATAGTACTTCAAAACTCATACAAATAGGAGTCAGACTACTATTGAGTCGTTGACCGTTTAATAACGAGAAGTGCAGATGCGGTTTTTCCAATCTTAATCCCGTGTTCCTGTATCGAAAAGGTCGAATTATATATATTATCACATTATATATTAATTTCATATGACGTACGCTATAGTAAATAAAAAAGAAGAACTGAATTAAGTTATTAAAACTTTTGTGCCCTCCTCTGGCGATCTGTTGATTTCCTACAACAATTTTTTTTTATTCAATTTAAATAATAATTTTATATACAGTTTCTCAAATTTCTAATGCAGTTTACATCATACCACCCAACTATGTACTGTTCCTGGAAAAGAAATAAAACTCGCATTATGTTACATACACCTGTAAAATGTTTTTCATTGTAGTTTTACAAACAGTATACTCACGGCTTGGTGAAAAATTGTGATGATGTGTAACTCGTATGTGAATATCTTGGGTCTCGCCTGTAAATTGAAGATTGTAAGTACGATATTCAGTTTTACGATTGTACAATTAATACATCTTTTTATATGTTTAAAATTCCATCACTTACCACCGTTCGCAACAAAGAACGACGTAGCACAGTAAATAAGACGGTATTAGAATCAATTCAAATACAACAAAAATATGCATGCGTTTACACTCTCCTTAAATCTACAGCAAGTTAATTCCTTACCCTCCGGTAGGTGGAGTCTGAGACAATTAATAAAGAGCATTTTAATCGGCCTTAACGCACGAGTTCCCATACATCTCGCAAAGCATAGGAGATAGATCTAAGTTACTTGAAAAATAACACACGGTCATGCGTTACGTTTTAAGTATATCACTATCCTCTTTTATTAATACGCGCAGTATCTTCTGCGGTTGTCAATACATAAACTGCCTTTTTCTCAACGGGTATGTCATAGTGTTCAATTACCACCTTTGGTTTCACAGTTCATCACAGTATCAACGCGTAGACGTCAGTCGATCGTTAAAAATTGTACCAATGTCAAAGAAAAGACACATGCTGTTAAGGCACACTTTCGCTATTCGGGCGGCGGCGGAGGCGATGGATCGATGTCCAAGCGTATTAACGAGGCGGCCAGTTGCCCGATCAATTTTCTGGAAGTCGTACCTGCGTTTCCATGATCCAACAGCCTGGGCATGTCGCACTGTTCACATTTGTTCATCAACGGATGATTATTGAACGTACACATTCTACAGACCCAAGAGGGACCGTCCCGGTCTTCTCTGTCAACGTTATTCCCGGTCACGTCCGGTTGCCAGGCGGGCGGCTGACTTGGTAATGGTGGTGGATTCGAACCGGTGGACGTCGATGGCAACGGCTGACCGGTATAAATATCTTGATAGAATTCTTCGTTAGTTTCTCCCAGAGGTACTAGGGATTTAACAGACCGATAGAACCGTTGCTCTAGGGTAATGACTACACACAGCAGCCATATTGAATGTTGTGAAACAAACCATTAAAACCCTTTTACATGAGAGATTCGTTATTTGATATCTATCGTTTCAAATAGATTTCTCTGTAAAACAGTTCTTAGGAGAAAGAAGACACTAGAATCGGAATTATCATTCAACATCCAATCAGCAGGTTCTTCTTTCTCTAATGTATAGGAAGTAAAAGTACCTCTTGGATCTGACCATTGATCCACTTCATCCGCTAATCTGTCGCATTCCACCTGCAGCTGATAGATTTCGCTCCTCAATTTTCTCTTCAGCTCCTGGAAAATGTTAACGTTACGGTTTACTGAAACTATGGAAGTCTGGCGACGATGTGTATACATACTTGCGGCGGCATCGAGGAATCGAACGGTCTCGAAAGAGATTGCAGCTCTTTCTTCATCGCTTCGAGTCGTCCTTTCTCGGCCCTCAGCTCCCGGGCGAGCCTCTCTTTACGGACTAATTGCTCGGCTACCAATTTCCTTTGGTGCTCCGCCACTGTAACGAATAAAGAGAAAATCGTGATGAATATTGTACAACCTAATACTTATATGTATATTTATACAAGTAGTATCAAACAACGTACAGAAAGACCCCCGATAGTGACGTGGTATACAAGGTTAGGTTGGTTGACACAATACTAAAAAGGGGCTACTTTATGCCCACCATATTACAGAATTGCCTGAAGTCCCATTTCGAACCAAGTTCTCTAGTCTTATAAAAATTATTTATGTCAACTAACTTTCCAATAATTACAATAGAATATTTTATTTTAAAATCTGAAATAAATAGTGTTTAGAGAATATTAAATCTCGATGCACAATGCTTATACTATATAATAATAAAAATCGCCTACAATATATATATACTTATGAAACATATTTTCTTCATACAGAGTGGGTGGCCTAATACTTATAAGCTGCATGTTCAAAGCACAATAATATAGGTTTCTCTCAGATATAATAAGTTTTATTATTTCTATTTAGGGATCCAGTTGTGGGCATAAAGTATCACCCCCCTCCTCAGTCGTTCATGTGACAAAAAGAGGTTTGGTACTGTAAGGACACCATAACAAATGACCTACACGGGACACAGATGTACAATATCAGGCAGTCTACCGTAAGTGTCGGTAACCTTAATGGTTCACGGTACCAAAATCTAAATGCAATCTATTCAACGTATACCACTTAATACATCGATTCACGGTTGCAAGCAACTCGTCAGACACGAATCGCAAACGACGTTCAGGGGAACACCTCGCGTGGTGCCACCAAGCAGCACGCACGCGGTAAAGAGGAGGACGCCCCGCGCCGCTTTGGCGAAAAGGAGAGAAACGGATCAGGTGGTCCGCGCGCGTAGAGTAACCGTCCGACAGCCTGGCTATGTATAGACGGTGGCGTGGGGTCAGGAATGCGTAAATATCGTTCTCAGTGTTACGCGCGTGGGCGTGTGGATACGTATGCGACGGGAACAGACTGGTCGGTTCTCTTTCGACAGGTAACTATATACGTGTGTGTGTTCCTCTGTATATACAGGGTGTAACAAAACTGTTGCAGATCCCCAACGTTACCGCGGCAACTCGGCCGGTAGACACGCGCTCTGATTGGTCGGGGTTTTTCGTTAATATCTCGTTAACAAAGCCTCGGATAACGTTTTCGTTAAGGAAAACATTGTTTCAAATCGCCTGACGAGTGTTCCATTTCAGGGACCTGCAACATTTTTGTTACACCCTGTATAATACAGCTGGCTCTCACCGTGGAAACAAAGCCTCACAGGTCTCGATGTATCGAACCGAGAGAATACAATATAGCATTTTATATAAAAATAGCCAGCGGACTATTTTCGAACGCCGTACTTTTGAGCTTAGGTAGCAATAGGAAGAGGATGGAAGGAGGGATACCTTGATTGAACGGCGAACGATTCTGCTCGGAATTGGCCTGTATCCGTTCGCCAACGGGGCTGGAGGGCGGCGAGGTCGTCGTCGTCGGTCCTGACGGTGTCGTTGGAAGGCTGATGAGAGGTACGATGTTCGTTGTCGACGGTGCCGACGGTGTGGTTGGCGCGCTCATTGTCGTCGTCGGCCGTGGCAACTGGCTGGGTGGTCCTGCTGGAAGACCTGGAAGAAATATGTACCTCTTGGTTAGAGTTATCCATGAAATATCATGAAAACAGATGTTTAACAAAAAAGTCACACACACCACGCGATACATCACTCGAAACCCGTTAATTTTTTCTAACAAAATTTTTTTCCATTCTCTACCATTTTAACGCTATCTCAGTTCCGAGGGACACCCTGTACAGTAAATCGTCAATGAATGTTCCAATGCTTCTCGGCACATAGTATTCACACGTCATCCCCACCACTGCCTTCGATCCGACCGAACACTCATCGATGATTTACTGTATGGAAAAAAAAAATACAAAAAATATTTCTTCTTTATAATCGGTTACATAAAGCACAGACGAGGTATAGGAGTAGACATTTCATCCAATGTATTTTTGCGGTCCACTTTTATGGGGTTACGTACCCCATTTCCATTTTAGTGTCACTACCCACCGCAGATTCACAGTGTGCATAAAGTTAATAAAAATAACAAACATATCTGAATGAAAGGGTCAATGAAAATTGTACGTTGACGGTGTAAGACGTACCTGGTGGCCTCTGAGAACCGGTTTGCACCGGTGGTGGTATCAAGCTGCTGGGCCTGATCGGGCCCATTGGCGGTCTGATCCTAGCGGCCGCCACGCTGCCAACGGCACCCGCGCCGATGCTGATCTGCAGACGGCTCTGAAAGCCACGCGGGTCCAGGGAGGACGTCGAATAGATCAGACTGGAGCCCTGCGATCTGATATCGATCGGGGGCTGGGGTTCCGAGGAGGGCGGCCTCAACGTCAGACTGACCGAGGTGTAGCTCCGCGTGTTATGATCGATGATCTGCGGCACCACTGTGGTGTTCTCCACGGTGAGCAAGGGGTCCGCGTAGTGTAAACGCGGTTCGACAATCAGATCGCTTCGTTTACAGGCACCGCCGATCGTGGGCACCGTTCGAAAGTCTGTATGGATTTTTTTGGTGATTAGAAAAAGTAGCGGACAAAAAAGTTACCACTTTTCTGATTTATTTTTTATTTTTATTATCTTTTGACATCCTACACCCTCGAATGGTAAGCTGGGTTTTATGGTTGTACTTGGTAAAGTGGGGTCGGATTTAAAATAAGAATACGAAAGTTTTAAATAAATAAATAATAAAAATACTAAAGTTTTAAGTTGACGGTGAAAAATAATGAAAATAAAACAAATTGAAGAAATGGTAACTTTTTTGTCCATTACTGTATATGTGAGTCGATTAACCTGAGGTGAATCGATTAGCCTAATCTAGGGTGAAGATCGAATCACTAATCTAAGTCTGGACCTTGGTGTATATGGCTAGTCGCTGGATTTACGTGTACTAGGGAACATTACATTTCTACATTCCAGTCCCCCGAGAAAAGATCTATCGAAAATCATTGCACAGCAAAAGAGCTGGTTCCTCTGAGAAATTATCTACCTACACTACTGCGTCTGTACATCACTGGAAGTTTCTACTTATGGCCGTAGGTTGTAAGAATAATTGACAGAAACTACTTACAATTAGTAGAAAAAGTGTGCGGTAGTCGAACACGTTCGAATTCATTATTTTCAGTAGAAAAACTGGACCAGAGTCAGACACACGTCCAATACAAATTTTGCAGTAGAAAAGGCGGACAAGAGTGAGACACGCGATCGAATTCAATTTTTTCTCGTGTAAACGAATTTCACTGTGGCTAACGATTACGATTTTTGATAAATCCTACGAGTGTTTGAAATCACGTTACCAACGAAGAAGACGACTAAGATAAAGTCGACAGCTTCGACTGAAATAAACTGGCGATTCTCTCGAAGATCGATTAATCTGCAGGATCTTCCGTGGCCGCAAGGTCACAGAGCGTTAATGTAATCGGAATGAGCGGAAGATACGACGCTGCGCGTGAAAGGAACCTGTTTTATTCCCGTTTGCATACAAACGGGATGCTCCTGAACGACGTAATTCCTCACGTGTTGCGCAACCGACTGGAGGCTACATGTATCCAATTTATCAACAACAGTACAGTGCAACTTGCGAGTAGTCGGTTCAAGGAAGTGTCATAATGAAACGTATCTGTAGACGAATAGCTATCTATCCACGTGCGCGTCCATTAAACACTGACTTGTAAACTCGACTTGTAATAGGGGAAAAAGTGGCGTAGGGAAACGGCTACCTATCACTTGAATCGATCTTCCGAAGTATGGAATCGGAATCGATCTTCCGAAGAATCGAATCCAAATCGATCTTCCGAAGTATGGAATCGGAATCGATCTTCCGAAGAATCGAATCCAAATCGATCTTCCGAAGAATCGAATCGAAATCGATCTTCCGAAGAATCGATCTTCCGAAGAATCGATCATCCGAAGAATCGATCATCCGAAGAATCGAATCGAATCGGAATCGATCTTCCGAAAAATCGAATCCAAATCGATTTTCCGAAGAATCGAATCGGAATCGAAAATCCGTAGTCTCTGATGCGTACCGCGATTGCCAGCAGGACTACAGGCGACGTTCACGTTCAGCTCGAATCCGGCTGGCTCGTTTCCCGCGTTCTGTACGTGATTATTGTTAATGTTGTTGCAGTTTGCGTCTATAGTTGGCCCCGTGCAATCCTCGAAGAATCCTCTAGTGGTGCACGCGGCAGGTGCCGAGGAGGGTGTCGCTGGATTACCAGCGATCGGCGACGCGCAGGATGAGGAGATCGCAGCGCGTGTACAGCTGAGCGGGCAGCGACGCGTCGTGTTCCCGATGTCCAGCGATGCAGGCCTGTGTGGTCGTGCGTTGTTGGCGCTGCTAGTGCTGGTCCGTTGAACCTGGCTCATCGGCCAGCAACGCTGCGGTTGCTGAACGGTGATTGGCTGACGGGGTTGCGTCGGTTGCTGCTGAAGAATGCCGCAGACTGCGGCTGGAGGGAACGCACCCGGGGACGGTCGTGAATTTTGTGTGGCGCGTAGACTTCTCGCGCATGTCTCCCGGTCGTGACTGTTCTGGAACGCATAGACGTACCCGGGGTCAGCGTGTTTTACCGATTCCGGAAGCTCTGGAACCACAGTTGCCAGGGTTAGCTACTCTGAACCACGAACTTGGCGAAATTTTCTAGAGATCTAGGGGTCTTGTCTCGTTAGAGCACTAGAGAGACGAGTATGTTCATCCGCCAGTTTGGGTTGTCTGGAGAAAGCAATGAAAGACCTTAACCTAGACCTTGTGTAGACTTATGCATCCACTGGATCCAAAATGGCGGATGAACAGATTTATATCTCTGGTGGTCTAATCTTGTGTAGACGGACCGTGTGCACACCTGTGGCGCTTTTTGGTATTAATCCACGGCGACGTAAACACGTATACATGTGTATAAACTTATATATTTATGTTATTATGTATATAGTTGTATTAAGTTGTTATGTATGTATTTAGTGTATATACTACACGCGCAGAGCGCATATGGCCTGTCTAGACGAGATAAAATTCCTAGATCGCTAAAAAATTTCGCCAAGTTTATGGTTCGGAGGCGCTACTCCTGGCAACTTTGGAACCGTGTTGAGGCTAATAAAAGGAACCTCAGTGAACCGAGAATTTTCTTTTGAAATTTTCCTGGTTTGTACGGAGATCGTCTTAATTACAAAATTTTTGGTTTTTCCGTTTCTCAGTATTGTGTTAGATGTGTTTGGGTGTACTGAGGTCCGTGGTCAGGTGATTAAATGACAATATTTAGTGGGATCAATTTTTTACTGATTAATCCTCGGATGGCGGTAACGGAGTCGATTTTAATCCATGACCTTCACGTATCTCGTCTGTTTATAGGAACCAACTCAAGTGTATTATATTAGTATTCTATAAGTGTACCAGCGCATTGTTAAAAAATATCTGAAAACAGATCAAACGGTGTCCAACAGGACCCAGGAACCACCGTCTGTTACTTCGTCGGACAAGTCCGCCATCCGAGGGTTAAGACAAATAGCCCGTTGCTTATTATTAAAAGAAGTATAAAAGAAAAGACCAACGTCCAGCACAAATGACGTGCACACACACACGCACACAGGTTCCACGCTCGTGCACAGACAAATAGCCCGTTGCTTATTATTAAAAGAAGTATAAAAAAAAAAGACCAACGTCCAGCACAAATGACGTGCACACACACACGCACACAGGTTCCACGCTCGTGCAAGGGGCAGGAAGTAGGAGAAGTGTGCTGTTAATTCGCAAACGCGGGGGTTATGATTAATACTGGATTTGCGAACAGATTGTTTCAAACGTGTTTAGTCTAAACATCTGACGAACGAGTTTAAACAGTTCAGGCTAAGTCAGGTCACGGCGAAACGTTCCAACAGAAAGTCGTTTTCAAACAGTCTGACGATGTTTGGAAACTCCAGCAATCTGATAAGGTTTCAAACACCAGTTACTCATCAGCAATCAGTTATGCGGTTAACCCCTTGCCTTATAACATCGAGTCGTACTCGTGGTGACGATATCAAAATATATTAAACAAATAGAAATATTATTCGTTTTCCCTCGGTCAAAGTGAAATACCAGTTTGGTAATATTAATCATTAACTTTTCGAGTAAATGTGCAATTGCGATAAGTACACGAATTCCATTTGTGTCTGCGGAATTATTGATGATAAAATAATTCTGGAGACTGTGGACATCGAGAAAATCATAGGGCAAGGGGTTAAGGGATGATCGGTCGAATACTGGATCGAGAATCCCCCGGGAACAGCCAATGACGCGGGCAAAGAGCACCTGTGTACCTGGGCGATGCACTGGGAGACGACGTGATCAGGGAGCGCGGGGAACTGCTGCTTCAGCTCATGGAACAGCTGCATGATAGCGATGTTAGAGCAATGGCACTCCCCCATCGTGGGCCCCCATCCTCCTGGCAAGGCCTACCTGCGGGCGCCAGGTTCTCTCGTTACACACAAGTTCGTTGTGACTCGCCGACAGACAGATTGGCCGTGGCCACGATCATCAATCTCTGTTCATCGGACGGCAACAGGAAACGGCGTGTGGAACGTGTGTATAAGTACTCGACGGACAAGTCCTAGAGACCTCGTGAAATTCGTCTCGCCATCTAACCTCGAAGACAACTATTAAAGTTTACTGTCTTTATTGGTCCACTGACCCCTATTACTCTATTGCTCCAATAGACCCTATTGGTATACATATTTGGCTCCTATTGCTCCACGTAATCCTCATTGCTACTACTGGTCCCTATTGCCCCTACTGCTCAATAATACCCCTATTGATCACGACTAATCCCTATTGTCCCTTATTGCCCCCACTGGTCCCTACTGATCTCCTATCTATTGGTCTAAGATCAAAAAAGGATTCGTACCGAACCTGAACAATAAATTCAAGAACTAATCGTTCCAACGAATCCAAGGAAGCTATCTTTCGCTCGAGATACTTTCAACAATCTTGAACGAGCTATCTACGTCTCCAATTTCCATGCAGACGGTCATCCGGCTCTCAAGACCGCTTCATCCAACGAAATTTCACGAGTTCATTACATCTTGTCCACCAAATATAGACAGTAACGCCTCAGAAAATTCTAATATCTCAACCCCCCGAAGAATACCAATTCAATGTCCTCCAATTCCACAACAGAATATCTTCCATTCCCATTTCGATTCTTCGGATTCCTAATTCAATCTTCCGAAGTCGCCACCGCGCAACAAACGCTTTCCCATATCTCAAACAGCCCCCAAAAACGTTAGCTAGGCAGGAGAAGACCGTCGGAATTTTCGTGGTTTCCCGGATAAACGATTTGGATGCCCTCCAAAGACGACGTATCGTGCGTTGTGTTGGTGTCGGTGCGCGAGACTGTTTCAAATTATTCAAACCACGGACAAGGCGAGGTAGGAGGGGGGGGGGGCGACTAATAGTGACAAAGTCGCGGTGAAAATGAAAGGGAGAGGACCGTGGAACCTGGCCGCGGGGCAAATCGTCCGACGTGTTGGACGATCCATCGAAATACTACGCGATCTAGCCACGAGTTTACGATCTTGTAATAAATAGCGAAGGACAACCACATCTCTCTGGCTCGAGAATGTGGTAAATTTTGCTACTAAGTGGTTATCAGTGGCCATTTTCCTTCATTAGATCTTGCCTCGAGATCGATGGATCATTGAGTGGTTACAAGAGATCTTTGTGATGGTAGCTATTTTTCTAACCAGAGAGTCCAAAAACTGTGTTATAAAATAATTGCTGTATTGATTTTTGACATTTCTTATGGGCAGAAAAGGCAAAAGCTTTTCCAGTTTCCACGACGCTTCGAGCTTCACTTAAACGGACACGACCGTTTGACCCATTTCTCAAGGGATGCGAAGATCGTACGAACTTGTCCTATAGTTATAAGTACATACCGGTTATATACCCAGTGTCCAAGGAAAGTGTATTCTAAATGAATTTATTTGATTTTTTTGACAGAATTCACCCGATAAAAAGTACATACAACAAGCGTTTTTCAATACTAATAACTTAAAAACTGCAAATTTTGAATTATATCATTGTTACAACAAATAAGCGATATGTACACAAACTACCACGAATTTCAAATACCGTCGTGGCTCACGGCACGTCCGTCGATCACCTGTCTCAACCTAAAAATAAAAAGTTTCCTCGAGCGTGTCGAAATCAAAAACTATTCCCACGAATCCCCGTATTGTTCTTGAATTTTATTTCTCAAAAATCGACCTCTGGGTACATATCAAAATTGATCATTAACCCTCCATAGCCCCGCGTGACTTTAAATATTGTAAAATAATTGTTAATTTTTATTTAAAGGCTGATGTTTGTTCGTTTCAAGTTACATAAATTTTTCGATTGTAACGAAAAAAATTTTTTTCAGTTACATAAATCGTAATAAATGCACCTGTTCATCTAAAATTCGCCAATGGTGTACTTTCGAAGCTCGGTTGAATCTCGAAAGGTCGATAACTCCGAAACACCCGGTACGTCGCGGAATTGGCAACGGCCGAAGGAACGGTGGACACCTGTGCCGCGTGTGGAACGTAGGAGTGCCACATAATTAGCCGGCACTGCGCGTGCCACGCTCCCACGCGCGCACGCATGCGTCTTCCTCGACGCAGGTGCACACTCGCGTACACATCCCCCTCCCTTCCCCTCACCCGATAGAAATCGAGATCCATCGCGGCCCCGTTCGAGTCACCCGATTCTGTCGGAGGATCCATGAAAATCTATGAAGCGTCGATCCGAAGGTGGAGGTACATTTTATTTGGATTAACGAATGTAGAATAACGAAATTAATTATTATAATATTATTAATAATAGAATAAAGAATAACTCCATCAAATTATTGGCTACAGAAAACGACAGAAAGTGGAGTGCGCGCGTATGTGACCAGGGGTCATTCCTAGCGTGATTTATCCAGCAGGCAGTTATCGTGAGTTTACTGTATTTCGATCGCTTTGGAATTATTCGAAAACGCACGAACGATCGATATATATTTCGATTGGATGGGCATTTTTTGCACCGTTGCTGCAAAGTTTGCCAACAACCGGCGGTTCTTCGACACGCAAATGACGAAACTGCAAAATAAACGCGCGTGGGCGGGTGTGTTTGGACGCGGAAACGCGCGACAGCGGATCGAATTCGTACTGACCCTGTCCGAATCTAATACGGTTTACTGCGACTTGGGAGTGGGGAAAAAGAAAATATCGAAACAGGACACTCCTCTCACCTCTTAAAGGTTAATGTGTCTTTTCCTATTTTCCTCTATATCTTGAAAACTATAGTAGATACCAAAAAACGGTTAGAATAACAATTTAATGGATTCTTATGCTCGAAAAGAGTGTGCAATAGAATTGTCAAAAATTTGTTTTTCAAATAAATAAATAAGCAAATTTTTAACTATTTCAATAGACACTTTTATAGACAATAAGGAGCTATTAAATTTTCATTGTAACAGTTTTTTTATATCTACTATAGTTTTCAAGATACACAGGGAAATAAGACAGCATAGATTAAGGTGCGTATCCACAACAGAGATACGATATAGGGATACGCAACAAGTGGATACGCACCTGTAACCTTTAAGGGGTGGTTTCACCCCAAAGAAATAAATATCAGCAAAAACAAAAAATCGTTCCATGCTTTCATCGAGGCCCACAACAAACCTGCGAAGTTTAAAAAAAATCGGAATTTTGCAGGTGCCCAAATTTTCTTCTTACTTCTACAATACAGAAAGCACAGTAACCAATAATTTTCAAATTAGGCCACTCCTGAATACTAACAAATGTATACGTCCACGGGGTATAAATAAAACGTAATAACGATAAAGTCACAGTAATAATAACGTTACTGTCATGTAGAAATGCTCCAGTGGAAGCTTCTGACTGACTAGGGAGGAAAGAAGGATCCAATTGCACCAACAGAGACACACAGGACGTTTCTATTGGTGACAGACGGTGGATTTTAAGAGAGGAACGAGAGTGTCGTTCGTCGGGAGCCGGCGAAAAAGGAAAACCGGAATTCCAGCGTGCCGGCAAGATATTTGTGTCATGAAATAACCCACGAGACACACACACACACACACCGTGGTGTGCTGTTTTCGTCTGCTCCTTTCGCGACGTGGTGGAAAAGCGAATTCCACGAGTGTTTTCACGCATTTGGAAGAATTTTTCACCGCGCGAGGTTCTTTTTCACCGTCCCGAACGCGTGTCCTGCTCTGTCGGTTGTATTCGCCACTTGAGAATTTCACAATCTAATTCTATCATAACGTCCACACAACAGCCTAAACCGGATCATATTCCACGTGTGTCGCGAATTAAGTCTTTTTAAATCAGTCTATGTTCACTTCGGTTACACTGGTACCGAAATATATATGTATTCTTGCTATCTAACTAATTATATTTACAATTGCGTATAATTGCACCGGTCACTGATGACTGTCACAGCAGTCAATGTATTAAGAGGTTAGGAAAAACTTTCAAACGAGACCAGAGGAAACATCTGTTGGCAATACTGCTACACTAACTCTGTACATTAATATCGATATTTCGACTAGCGATACGTTTCAATTAAAATATCGATATTTTGTTATTGATATTTCGACTAGCAATACTTTTCAATTCAAATATCGATATTTTGTAATCAATATTTAAATGATGCTTTGGTATTCAAGTATCGATTGTTAACCCATAAATATCCGATACGTCGTGTATCGATCACAAGTATAACTCACGTGAATGTCATTGAGGAAAACGATAAACAATCGACGATAATTACAGTGATTGTGAACGTGTACAGGTGCAATTGTTCACGAGTATCTGATTCTTGGTCAAACAATTATTTGCTGGTCGAGTTACACGAACGAGAAAGAGGTTGGTTCACTACGTGAAAATTGCGCGGGAATAAACATGGCCGACCGCGCCATAACGGAAAAAAATATACCCGTTGGGTTTAGGCGACGGACAAAAATAAGGAACCAAGAATAATAATTGACGAGGGGACCGCATCGGTAACGTTAAGCAGAGCCCAATAAGTTACGGCTCGGGGCGAAAATAAACACCACCCTGAAAATAATGTTACACTTTTTTCTCTCGTAGAAAAACGTCAGCATATCGCGACCGCTACGCAAACACCACGAACACCAATCACCGTGAACCGAGACTGTTCCTCTGCATCAGCGATGCCAGATACATACAAAAATATCGATATGTATCGATTTTTTTAGTATCAATACATACACTATATCAGACAAAAGGTATCGATATTAATGCATATCGATACGATATTAGTAAAAACAGAAACAAATAAGTAAGAAACTATTCCCTTTTTTAATTACCATTTAAATACAATTGAGTAGAACACTGCTTGACACATATTATTCTTCCTGCGTTAGGTTTGGGCTAGGTGTCAGACGTTGAAATCAACGTTCCATTCGATTTCCCGTGGTCCATTGAAAACAACGTTTACGCCAACACCGCAGATATCTAACCACCCTGTGCCTGCCATGAGGACGAGGGCAAACGTTGCGAACGCGGCTTAACCGCCGTGCGCTTTCAAACGCCCGGTTCTTTATGATTGCTATAATTCACGTGGGGCCCCCGTAAAGCTCGTTATTGACTCTCTAAGCAGCTCGCTTTCACGCCGATCACAAATATAGCCCCGGCGCTTAGTCTCGTTTCCGCGTGTGCCAAAAAATTTTCCATTTTTCAACCCATTTATGTATTCGGAACCATCCGGTGACCGCTTTCGATCGATTCTGTCTAATTAGAAACGATCCCGACGGAGCAGCTGTTTATGTACGATTACATAACCTGTACCAGTAACACTGTCAGAAACTATCAGTTTTTTTCAATGATAAGGAAGAGGTCTTATACATTCTGCGAAATTGACTGTATGAATGTTATTCAGAAAGTACAGAATCTAGTTGGAAAATATAGTGTCACATAGAATATAACCTTTATTTTTTAATGTCCTGTTGCTATTTAATGTACCTTAGAAAGAATCTAAACTTTTGAGAAATTATAATACTTCTTCCATGGTTAGATATTTGAAGAAGAAATCTATACACGGTGACCCGAAAAAAGTTTGTAAAAAATATCCTATCAATACAGTGTTAAAACAGTATATTTAACTGGATGAGCATTATAACAATTCCACCGTAGTTGATAGAACTGTTCCTGAGTGTATTACAATTTAACCACTTCTTTCAAAAACACTGTTTTCACAGAATACCCGGTATATCGTTTATGGTCACTTTTGTTCTATGAAATCGGCTTACGTAGTTTTTAAATCGAGTGGCACGTCAGTGTGGCTAAAATCGTCGGACGAAGTTTGGAATTCGTAACATCGATTGACCCTGGTTCCTCTTATGCCTATGACACGCTCGAGAAAATAGAATTACAATCGTTCGTAAGTTTCCAAAGTGTTTCGCGACTGCTTCCCTCGAAAGAACAACCGCATTCCTACGCCATTCCGACGGCAGATAAAGAGCTTTCAACCTATAGTGAACTTCGATGATAATATTCGCATAAATACACACAGCACGATAAATATACCGACTTCGTCTGACGAAGCATTACGACAGTCAACAAACGAGGCTATTGATTAGGTTATTGATAAGGATTTGTACGTAGTAGAATATACACGAATATGAGGTATGAGCTTCTTGGCTAAACTGATCGACTACACGTAAAAAAATGGACTTGAAAAGCAATGTATAATATGATTGACATTCTTTACTTTACGAATTTGATCAGTCCGGCTTCTTAGAGGTTCATACACTACTAATACCGTAACGTTGACCGGAAGTCAAAACAATCCTTTGATTATTAACATTCCGATTGCTATGTCACCCACTTACAATGTAACCGACACAACTTTTTATCTGAAATTAAATTCACACCAAAATCATAAGTTGAATAAATTTACTCAAGGTCTACGAGGTTCAACAAGGTTAGAAAAATGAGAAGTCAGCTCGAATACCAGGGTGTAACACTTTCACCTTGAACTCTCATTTAAAGAGCACTAGACTCCTCGTAAATAAGTACCAAAATCCAGAAGCCTGCTAAAAGACTTCCAGACAGAAAAGTGTTAGAGGATCCTATCACCACGTTTCACAGAGGCTACTTTAGCCCATCGAAAGTGTTCAGAAAACATTCGACGAACGCATTGTTGTGGCACTTCCGGTGCGTTCGGTCGCGATTATGTATTTTCGTGTCGCGTGTGGTTCGAACTTAAAAGTCAAAATTAAGTATTTAAGTTCAATTTCCTTCCCCCCACCCTCCGCCTCTAGTTTCCTCGTTCGGTGTCTTTTTTTAAATGCGGAATGTCATGGAAAATAGAACGATCGAAGAATTTTTAAAGATGGAGTCGATGCACCGGGGTAATTGCATCTCGAACGGGTAAGGACCCGGTTTAAAATCGTGCGCCTTGTACTCACCGGACGGCAACCATTGGAAACGTCCAACGAACGGGGAACGGTAACGCACACTTCGGCCACTGAACAGAGACACTTTACGGACGGCGCAACGTTTCTCCACGTGATAGGGATTCAAATTTCAACTGTCACTGTACGGTCGACGCGGGTAACAGTAACTTTTCAGTCGTTTTTCGGGGATTTCAAAGCACGGACACGAGCGGCGACCGTCCGTTGGGGCCACTGATCAGCTGTGCACTGCGTACTGGCACGACGGTGGTCAACGGAACAACTAGAAGTGTCGAAGGTAAACCCACGGTTCCACGAAAAAGCGGTTCGAAACCGTTACGCAGGTATATCGTTGTAATTTATTGGGGGTTCGCGTTCGAAGTACCCCGCTGGGAGACGTGGGTTTCCGGCGATCGAAATAAAAGAGGTTTTGTTGATCCACATAGTCAAAATGGCCGCCCGCACCGGACAACTGCTTCCCTATTTATGAATGGGAAAGACGCGTCGTAATAGTTGCGCAGTCACGAGGAAGGGGAAACGCGTGCTATTTTAAAACTTGCACGAATGGACACCGACGTCTACGGTGTAAAGACATGTTCTTTTTCATTATCGTCAGATTCTTCTGCATAATTCTTGATAATTTATACAAGCTGTATTGTAACGAATAATTGCTGAAAATTAAAAAAAACAAAGTGGAATTTATAATTTTGCGCGGTTATGCATGGAAATGTACAATACACGCTCACACATGTTCACGGATTCGAATGTAAATATTATTGCAAGACTGCGGATTGTATTCAGATATGTTCCCTTGTTTTTTTTTTCACCCAATGAAACACCATTGACGGGGGAAGTGAGTTTCCATTCAATTTCTGGTTTTGAAGATGAATTTATTCAAATGTAAATTTGCATAAACATCCGCAGTCTAGTATTTAGTATAGTATAGTAACATAAATATTATTATACAATATAATAATGCTTATTATATTGTTTTAATATTTATATCAGTATATTATACTAGTACAAGATGTTATATATTAGCACATTATGTGAAAGATACGAAGCTCGCCCATGAAAAATACAATTACATTTATTTTCCATAATGTAGAATATTCGTGATTGACTAATATAGATTATAACATCTTGTAACCACAAACAGCACGATAAAAAATATAATTATTTTGTAAATATATAAATATCTATCCTGTGTCTGTGAAGGAGCACCAATAAATACATTATCAGGCCCAGTTATTGTAAACACTGGTATATTCATTTCTAAGAGTATAAACCAAAGTAATACAATAATAGCAATAATAATCGTTTAGAATATAATAATAATAATATAATTGCTAATACGAAAATACCGAGTTTGTTAAATCGTTGGACTGAGTTAATAGAAGCGCTATTTTCCGGGGACGATGATTCTTTCACCTCTTCTAAATCAACATTTACAAAGAGGACTGTAACAACAAAGTATAGTATTCGTTAATTCCTCCCACTCACAAAACCATTCACGAACATACTAATTTCAAATTAAATGAATTTAACTAAGAACTTCCGTATCATACCTAACATATACACCTAACCCGTAAGAAACGTATGCACTATTTCGTTGAAACATCAAATATTACTTTAGAAATTTTCAATCTTGCACAAAATTCATCAGACTAGAATATCCCTTCTCACACAGACTATTTACCATAATTGCAGGATCCAATAAAAGGATGTGTTTCTCGAAGAATAAACACTGCAGTGTCATTTTATTCATAATTCCGAACCTATTGGATTTTCCAAGAAAAACGAAACGAGGGAATATATTAATACAGCCGACGATTAATGGCCGTTGAAAAAAATGCATACGTCTCTTTAGCAATCCTTCTTCGTTCGATTACTCACCAGTTAAAATGATCGGTGAGAAACCGTCTAAACACTTAAAAAATATACAAGGTCTCGTTCTAAAGTAGAATGTAAAATATTAAAATGCCATTCTCTAATAATAACGCTAATCAAAAGTCAGGTCTACGTACGAGCATTTCGTACGTAAGCGAATAAGGGAAAGAAATGAAACAGCGACGAACGAAAAAGAAAAGGAAAAGAAAAAAATAATAATATGTTTCTCTGGAACACGCGTACTGGTCGTCTCTGAAAGCCTTAATACATTTTTTCTTTTTTTTTCGTGTACGTATATATATATATATATATCTTCTTCCTGTCTCATGCGGTAAAAAAGCTACTTAGTCGGCACTTCGACTTAGGCCATAGAACAGCGTCGACGGTGAGGTTTATCGAATATATACGTAGCAAAAAAGTGTTATTACATAAGAAATCGGTGTAGGCGGCACCGATACGTTCAAAGGAACCAAAAACGATGGAAATGTCCGATTTGGAGCGCACGGGCTTCGAAATACTTTTTCTTACTCTTTTTTTTCCTTTTTTTCCTCATAAATACTTAGATCTCCTTCCTGCATATGGAAGGGTCCCAAGACGATTATAAAAAAAGTGTTTTACTGCGCCATCGTGTATGCACCGTGTCTACACACCGATACCGACGACACGATTGATGATGATCTTTCCTGAATCAATGTGGGCGAGATCATAGACTCGACGGCACAGGTCCAGCCTAGTCGTCGTTGACCTCGATCGGGATACTGGTCGTGAATGTTGGTGTCTCCAACTCCTCGTGTTTCTTCATCTTCATACTCTGCAATATGACAATTGCTCAGAACTGAAACGTTGGGGATGATAAACTCAGGATGGGTGTACGATTTCTTCAATTCCGATTTTATTCAAACTTTAATATGTTGAAAAGAGCTCTCTAACAACGCAAAATATCATTTTAAAAGATGTAAACAATTTTGAAAATTATTTTTTTTTCATTAAACTAGCTCTAACCAACTCTGATCACTATAATGCTTTGAGAATAAACAATTAAATCTCTTTTTTACGGTTTACAGCTTAATAAAGCTTTTAAGTTTTTAAAGTCTATTAATACAGCTTTTAAGCTCTTTCACTTAATCTACATTTATAGTGACGTTTATGTTAGGTTTCGGTTACAGATTTAACTTGAAATTAAAGGTAGTTATAATTGTTGGCGACATTGTTTAAAATGATATTTTGCCTTTTTAGACAGACCCTTTAAACATATGAAAGTTTGATGAAAATCGGAGATACCGACCGAATTGTACACTATTACCCAGAATGTAGATCATAATACGTGGACATGATTGTAGATATGAATGATACATGCAGAAGTAAAAGATATCTAGATTCAAGGGAAATTTATAGATACAGCTGCTCCCCACAGCATCTTCCACAACAACTGCAACAATGTATTTGCTTAACAGGTTCCGCACCCCCTCCCCCGCCCCCAGTGGTGGGGATAACACCTGGACAATAATCGTGTAGAACAAGCCAGACGATAATCGAGATGAGTCTGTACTGACATTGAATGCAGACAGTTTTACGTTAACTTCCCCCACAATTTCATGACAACAGCGGATCTTTTCCACCAGAAGTGTATATACTCAAGGTACCAGGATGTTTTTTCCTCGCGAATCGGTTACCTGCTGCAGCTTGTAATGGTTAATAATGTCCTGATCGGCCGGGCAGCTTTGCAGGAACGCGTCCAGCCTGTACATGTGATGCATATACCGCCACAGATGTACCAAAGTCTCCGGGATCTCGAAGTCGGCGAAATACTTTCCGGCGACCCTGATGTGCTGGAGCCGTGGCATCAATTCGCAATCGAAACAGCACATCGTGTCCCCGGTGAGGAAACGCGTACCCTTGCGACCCAAATGCTCGTCGATTTTGCGCAGATGTGCCATCAGGGACGAGGACTTCGGGTCTTTGTCCTTGTCCTTCGCGTTCAGTAGCAACAGCTTCAATTTCTGCAATGCAAAATTCCACGTTCTTCTCAACAACTGATTCATAAGCTTCCCTATTTCTGTAATTAATTGTCATTTCTACGAACACTGAACAAATTCTCGACGAGCGTGGCCACTTCCTTGTCCTGAACGAAGAGGTTGTGTCCACCTGGTATGTTCTTCATGATGTGTCGTTCGATCTTCTCGTTCTCCAAAATGGCGTCCCCGTTGTCGATCAGTATCGGCGGCGGTGTCGCCTGGAAATTCGTACGGAAGTCTGGCGGTGGTTTCTGCATATCGACCGTGGTCACTTTTAGAGAAATCGTCTTCAGCTCGGCCAGCAGGTACAGGTCCATGAAGTACTCCTGACAGAAGAGGCAGGCGCCCTTACGGCGACCATCGATCGTTGACGCCTGTAAATCCATAAACATTATATTTATCACATTGGAAATTGTATTCGAATACGAATCGCGTCGTTTAACCCCCCGAGGACGGTGTCTGGGTCCATTCTGACTCAAGACTCGAAAATGCATTCAAAGGCAGATGCGTAGGGGTCTATTTGGACTCGGTCACTGGTGTCTGTTCGATCATCAGGAAAGTCTGTTTTGCGAGGGCCAATTGTTATCAACGATAGGGAAATCAGTGCCTATTATTATGCAGTCACAGACTTCACAATTCCTGCATCATCATCCTGACGGTGTCCACAACAACGAACCGATCGTGGCATGAACGTACGAACACGGAGCTCTGTTTTCTCCAGTTGATCGAGCAGGTCGAGTGTATCTAGACTACTCGCTCCGCTCTCATTTTCCCCGATGTCACGGTTTATTTATTACCTCGGTGACGCACCCCGCTTTCTTTCTTTCCCAGATATGTTGTGTAGTACGACGGACATATGTGAGAAAACGAACGTATAACCCGATGGACTAGATACAAGGAAATCATAAAATCTTTTTTGGCGAAAACTTTGTTCAGAAGTCGGGACGCTTCTCTTCGTAGAATTGGAAAATTGAAAACTAGGTTTAGAAATTTCTTCGGAGCCCTTCGGATATGTTTCTACTGTAATAAACATTGCACTGAGTCTTCTAAGGAAAATACTGCTCACGGACCTAAACATTGCCCAGGTCCAACTTGGAGCCTGGTTATGTCCCACCTCATAAATGGTGCCTGCTTCCACAGTCTCTAAATTTAGAAGATAAAAACTCAAACACCATTTTGTCTTTCCGTCGCGAAACCCTCTATTCGGCTTGTCAAGCGATCGTAACCAGGATCATCGAGCTTTAACGCGATTCGAGAGTAAATTGAAACCCGGCAGCATGCCAGCAGCCTGCGTCAAGAGCGTCCCTTCTATTTTCGCTCAGTTTCGTGAACGCACATCGCGAGTGGAGGAAGAGGTATCGGATCCACGAAATCTCCCAGCGTATCGGGACTTCTCCGTCACTGCGCGGAAAGGGGAAAACCCGCGGAATGGACGGAGGCGGCGTTCACACGACGAGATTATTTTTTTCACTGTCTGACGTAAGCCAGCGCGTCCTCTGTTAGAGTCGTGCAACACGAGAGACCGTTCCCTGTGTGCCAAGATCGACGGTGTACACTTTTTGGCCAAGGTCAGAACGATTTCGCGGTCGGTTAGTTCCGCATGATTTTTGGAAAACGAACCTGCATGACTCTGATAATTATCACGGTACGAGTCCCAGCATGACAAATTGTCCATCTAACATTTGGCTACCAAATGGCTTCTATTCGCAATGTTGATGCTCTTTTTACCAGTCAGTCGTGATTTATTTTGCACAGTTTTGTTTTACAGATGTAGAGGGTATTTTGTTTAGTTGGTTATTGATCCAAGTTTCAAAAAGTCCAACCATCAAAGTGTTGGTGAACTGTCCCTATTTGGGCGGAGACCCTACAGCTTTAGGGGATGACTTGGGGTGTACGGTTTTATTGGTTTTCCACCGTTTTGCTGATCCACGATTCAGGATAGATTCTAGATATTCCAAATATAAGACTGTTAATGCAAAAATTGGTATCTTTTACTAAATGATCCTACAGCCTTAGGGGATGGATCCGTGGACAATGTAAAGTGGACAGCGTTATATCAGAATAAATTTTAGTTAATACTAGAGCTACCAAAGCAGTTGAAATAGCTGGTACGTAAACTCTAGTAAGAATTATTAAAATGTCATAACAATGTATTTTCCGAGACTTTTCTCAACTTGCATTGCAATATACAGTAAATTCTCGATAACTGCTCCGAGAAATCTCTACGTTAAATACTTTTGCTTCATCCCCACTACTAGGTGGTTCCACATTGAATACTCGGTCCAAAATGCAGCCCATGAAGTGTAAAAATTGTGTCCCTCTGCCATAATTGCTCCAAAGTGGTCTTAAATTCTGAGCGTTAATCAAAGATTTACTGCATAACTGAAGAAGTTCGTTAATTTATCGATTTGTATATTTTCAAAAATTTTGACATTTTACCAAAGTGATAGGAATAGAAACACGTTCATCTTCCTTGTAGTTCTAGTACTAATTCTTAATGTGACGAAGTAAATACTTCCCGATTCTTGCGAAAGAAATAATGAAAATGGGAATTGAAATTCTACGATCGACTGCAATTTTCTTCAACGATCCAACGGGGCCTGAATCGATCCCAGCGGCTTCGATCAACTTCGGAAACCGGCAAAGGTATCCGTGTCATCAAATATCAGTGGCGAAGAAAGCGTCGACGGTGGATCAAATGTCACGAAGACGTTGCGAGCGTCTTTCATCTTCGAACGCGCGCGTGATCGTTGGTTGTAACCCGCGAATCACGTCCTTTCTCTCTTGCGAAAGTTCGCCAATTCGATTGCGATCAACGTTCACGGTCTTTGTCGTAAATTATTTAGGTGTACCGATAAGAGGAACAAAAAAATTACTTCTAATCTGAACCACGCTTTAGTAGAAATGAAAAAAAAAAAAAAAAGATAGTGGATTGTTTATTGGTACAGCTAGTAACACCTACGATGAATTTTGCCGCCATTTTGTTTGGAACCAGTACAACAGAGGATGAATCTTCTACTTAAACGTTAAAAATGAATAAAAATATTACAAATTTTCGCAGTAAACCTTGAAGAATAGAAGGTAAAGAGAGGCTTGTCCCTTCCATTAAGGAATTTGTTAAGTTCAAAAAAACCTGAACCGCAGACCACTGGTCGCAGACACGAATTTGAATTTTTCTTTCACTATCACCACCTATTTGAAGCTCAAGGCGTTTGAGTACTTTCGATTGACAGTGAGTGACACACTATTTCCGAAACGATAACGGAAAATAACATTTCAGTTAGCTATTAAAAATGTCAAGGAAGTAAATCATTATTGAATTTATTCATCTCTGAGACAAGTTTTGCACCTGCAGACAAAGGTTAATGTAAATTGTAATTGAATAACCGTCATCGTATAACTTGGTCTCCATTTTGGACGATGAAACACACACAGTTCACGTGTCGCGATTTTTCGCCTGGCAAGCTGCTCGAAATGCCCACCGGTGGGATATGAAACCTCTCCTGGCTGGCAGTTGACCCAAGCAAATTCCTGATTTCTTCCGAAATAAGCGTTTCTCCGCGCAACCGGTGCACCTACACAAGCGGGTTGGATTCACATTTCAACCTGCGCGAGCAGCTACAAAAGCTATATTCTGTCCAATTTATTTCCACGCGTAAAATCACCTGATTCTCATTTGCAACGCGATTTATTACGGAACACCTAGTATCAGTGTCTAATGAACGACACAGGCCTGGGAAACAGGCTCGCAAAAAGAAGAAACGACGCCTCGTATCCTCGACACTGCAGAGGGGGAGACAAGTGCGTTATGAAACTGCGTTCATCGGTGCATCTATGACCCACAGATAGACGGTGAATCGTCTTTCTGAACGCATAGGCTAAGTGTGTCAGTTACTGTGCCCTCCCACCCTTACATTATTTTTATGTACATTAAATTCCATAATTATTGAAATGAATGTATTAAAATCTTCTATTCCACTAGCATTACTAATCACTAGACTGCAGATTTTTATGCAAAATTACATTTTATGACCAGGACAAAAATGGGAACTTCTTTCTTACATTAAGTATCTTATTGGGTCAAGAATAAAATAGAAAACTAGTTGCATCTGATGAAACTATTGTATTTTATTGTATTTGACAGGGCAGTAGAGGCTATAATTGCATAAAATCCGCAGTCTAGTAATCACTATTGTTCGGGTTCCCCCATTTTCCGAACGCTTGACTTTTACTTTGCGTATCGTTTTCGAACGTCTTGGAAGATACAAATGACTAGTTCTTATAGGGACTCTAAGGCGGTGTATACACAAATGAACGACAAGAAATCGTTCAGGCGGTCTATACTGGGTGTACCAAGATTTGAAACAACTTTTTCCTTAGCGAAAAAGTTCTCCGAGGCTTTGTTAACGAGATATTAAGGAAAAACCCCGACCAATCAAAGCGTCTGCGGTAAAGCTGCGTCTACACTAGGTAACGAAATCATTTCTTACCAACGAATACGTTTGTGACCAACCGTAGAATATTTTCTGTTAGGAAGAATCGTTCTGATACGAGGCTTTCGCGGATAATCGGTACAGAGAGAAAGAAACATTCATGTATAATCATTGGAGAATGATTCCGTGACCTCGCTCGAAGATTCACGGTCGTCAGGCCACCTCATACCGGTGACGCTTGTGTAATGACCTTACGGAAGAATAAAGCCGCAAGATCCGATCGATTTTATTTGTAACCGCTCTCGACACGCGCGATATTCTTCCTGTTGTCGATGTTTCATAATTTTCCAGCGAGTGATTCCATGAAACGGATCTTCCCCCTTTAAATTTAGTGTCACTACCCACCGCAGATTCACCGTTCTCGAAACGCAGAGGTCGCTAAAATTATAGGCTCTTTAAGGTGTCTGTACTACGGAAATGTTTACTCCTATATGTACCTCGTCTGTGGTGAAGTCAAAGGTGCAGAAATTGTACCCGATGTCAACGACCACTATCGTGAAGGAAATGCAAACTAACCCCAATTACTGACCGTCAGGGGGGGGGGGCACTGTGGTGTTGTAGGAGAGTGGGGAAAAGAAGCGCGTTTACGCAGCAAAAGCGGGGGGAGTGGGGGGAGCAAAGCGGAAGGCAAAGGAGTCCATCGTTTAACGGTAGAATCTCGAGGACTTCGGCTCAGATCCCCCGTCGTTTCATCCCGTTTGACACACTTACCGGAGAGACCTCCGCATGATCGCCTTCCGAGTGCAAGGTCGGCCAGTTACCATTAAATTCTCCCCGTGTAAGTAAACGGAAACATCATCGGCCATATTCCTAACGCTTCCCGCAGGATTCCGTTTTCCAACCGTGGCTATCTCGTTTTCTTTCTTTGCCCCCGTGTTTCCGTTTCGTGCGCGACAATTATACGTCAGGGTAATAAACCGAGATGGCGTTAAATGATACTTGGTGAATTACGTGTGATTCGTTCACGTTCGTTCCCAATCGCGATGATTTTTCACAGTGATTCGTGATCGTACCTGATTAGAACGGAGAACGTAGCAACGGTTCTTTGCACGCGTCAGATAACCTATATATTTTATATTAACGACAACAGAAATGTTACATCGTATAACGTAAGGGAATAATGTGGTGCAATGGAGAGTAATGAATAAATTATTATAAATTGTAATCTATATGGTATATAACATGTATTTTGTATAATTATTGCAAATTTGTAATTTTTTTGTTTTTCGACTGATTTTTAAAAACACAACAAGCGACACTTTGTTGGCAGAAAATCGCCAAAAATGGAATGGATCGTACTTATCGTGAAAAAATCTTTCGTTTCTAAGGTGATCTGTAATTACACGTGAATCGTAACCATTCAACGATGACGTTTATTACGTGACGATCGTGTATAACGTTCCTTTTAATTTGTCCTGGTATCGTATCAGTTTATCGACAGCTGATAAGAACAATACAGACGCGTGTGAATTTAAACTTTTCCCCTGGTTAACGAGATAAATGTTTATCTGCAAAACGGAGATTCTCGGGACAATTGGAATTGTTGCCAAGGTATTTCAATTTTAAACGGTATATCCAGATTGATTTAAAAGATTGAAAAAAAAAATAGTAATTTGAACTGTGTTCGTCGAAAGGTCGCCTGTGACCCAGCCATGGGACCGTGGGGTCATTTAAACGTCCAAGTATCAAATACATGATATCATATACGCATATAGATTCTAAACTATCGAGAGCTTTAAGATAATTATTTCAATTTTTTGTCAACTTGTCCTTGAGCTTTCAAGGTCACCTTCAATTTTTTTTACAGATAAACCTATAATTTTTTTACGCCCAAATATTCGTTATGATGCTTGCCGAATTCGTCTTAGTATCCGCTAAAAAAGTAATGTGTAAGTTACAGGTTTATGGATAAAAAAAAATTGAAAGTGGCCTTAAAAACTCTGGGAAAAGGGGGTTGACGAAAAATTTGGTACCATCGTCTTAAAGCTCTCCTTGAATCGAAAATTACGAGAAAAAATCGAAATTTTCAGAGTATCAAGGTTCCCCTTTCGGTCAGACGACAATCCACCCCGTCTGCCAGTTTATTTATTTACTAAGGTGAAGCTCATTCAAGATGAGAAAAACTACCAACTGCCAATGGGGCGCTGTTTCTGGATTCATCGGCGACCAGTCGCTGCTGACGCGATAAGATTAGGGCCGTTTGACATTGCCGCGGGAACGGCTGGTATCCTCGATTAGGAGCGACGCACACAGGTGAAGCGAGTCTAGCGGATCGCTGGATTGGCGAAAGTTTGATCGGCTGGGCTCTCGTAATTGGACAATCGAGGGAAGCCTCTTTCCCTTTAAGGAGCGTAAGTTTCCCATGAGGTAGCTCGGTGAAAGACCGTTTCGAGAAGCTGGATCGAGTTCGCCCTCGATCGAATCGATCGCAGCCGGTTAGCCACTGACAACGATTATCTAGATCGGCAGGGGAAAGAATGCGACCGTATCTGCGATTTTTCATACGTACAATACGTGTGCACACCGATTGGCCAAGGGACTTGGACAAATCGTCGCCAGAGTACGTAACTGTTCTAGCTCCATTTTTCATAAAAATTTAATTAATCGATCTACGCGCGTCTTATTGGTCCAAAGAATACAAATGCATCGTAATATATAGAAAATTCAAATTTTTTTGGGAATTTTTTTTTCTTAACGTTGGAATCACCAAATACTGACAATTAAAATTTTATGTTGATAATAAGATCAAATTTTGTTAAATATCGTTATAAATAGATATTTAGTAGATGATATTATAGTGTGTTTGATTACTTCACTACTTTCCGGCTTCTATGATATTAAACTGCGTAAACTTTGAACTCCGTTTTCTCAGTTCGGAAACTAGCGGAGGCAGAACAATTAAGAATTAGAGCGACGAAATTGTCTTCGACGGGTAATCAATTGTGTCGTGACGGAGGATCACCCGGGGGAGCGACCTCGTTTTCACGAAACCTTTAATGATCGTTTTCACCGGGGTACACTGGCCGCCATGTTGGAACAGATATCGGATAGGTAACTTTCGTGATGTTCCTTAATCTTTCACTGAAACTTTGGTTCGATAATTTTCATGTAAACTGATTTGGCGTACTTTACGTTTTATTATCTTTGACTGCATTGTTTCTTGTTAAATTAATGTACTACAGTAAATCATCGATGAGTGTCCGAAGGCTTTTCTTCACTGAATATTAAATATTTCATAAACTAATGATCGTATGCGGCTGCAACAAATGTCATCGATAATTTACTGTAGTAGTAACACAGAGAAGTGAAAATGGCACGTTGAATTAATTTAACAAAATACAATTTTCTAATTTTTTTTTGTGTAGCGTCATCATCACTGAACGGCGGATGTTGCTAATGTATAAAACCCAAGAATAGACAGAATTTATATACCTTAATAATAACACATAGATATCGTTAAACTGTATTCTAACCTTATTATTTTATCAAAAAGATTGCCATGTTGTAATAACCGTCTCTACATCCTACTGTACTACACGTTATGCTATAAATACGCGTTACTACTATCATTTTCAAAGGAAGTCTGAAAATAATATAAATCATACAGAATTCACTCGAGCAACGCCTTAACGTTGAATCGCAGAATCGCCTGAAGACATTTAGAGCCTCCCGCCGCTAGCCTTCCTTATCCGTTGCTTCGCTGTGTACGTGCATACGACTCTAATCTGGTTAAATTAATATACGGCCAGTGTAAATGCGTCGCGGTCGTCATTGACCGACTGGCTCGTATCTGTTATTTTGTTCTTCTGCTTTTCGTTTTTACCCGACGAAATTACGCGGGAAAAAAGGAAAACCGCGAGCAGAGTACGTATGTACTGTGAATCAAACGGCGACAAGCTTCTCGACCGAAAAAGGAACGAAGCATTAAACGCCAGGGACGCGTATCGCTGTAGATAGGAGAGTCAAGGGTTTCTGTCCTTCTAATGTAGAAGACCACCGATGACGTAGTAAAGATACAGAGAGTCTCTCTAACTTAGCTTTGGGTCATTCCACGCGAAATCGGACACTTTTTAATTTTCCATATAAGTGTCCATATTTTTTGAATTTATGTCCATAAACAGGGCAAATGAAAAATATCTTTTTCTAACTGAAATCATTTTTATTTGCTACTCCTATATCTTCATTGTAAGTACCTGCAAAGCTCATTTCGATCAGTTTGTTAGTTCAATAGTTATGATTTATTGAAAAAAGGTTGACCCTAAATTTCAAGCAGCTGTAAAATTTATAATTTTAAAAATTTTCAAAAATCCTTCGAGATACGTTTATATATCGATAAAGACTACACTATATCCATATTTGAAGGCAATCCGAAATGGTGCTCCAAAAAATTGTTTGATTTCGCGTGGAATGACCCATTTACGAACGTAGAGAACATTCCTAGTACATATTTGAATACCACTCTACCTATGGTGTCTCATGATTTCCTGTACATATGGTCTCCGTTCGCTCCGGTTGACCTTGAACTGTAGCTAAACTCTAAAGAAACATGACTCTCTCTCTTTCGAGAGAAATTCAGTCACTCCAAAGTAGTATTTTCCATTTTGCAATGTCAAACATTCGTAGCTGAAATGTGACACATGTTTGGTTGTATACAGTCGGCTAAATTTCGAATAAGTAATACGTCTGTTACAAAATTTATTCAATCTTACCAAGGTGTATTCGTTGGCACAAGTATACCCCCCCAAGGAAACCATAAAACGTCATAGAAACATTTCAAACTAAATACCGCAAGCATTAGGCGGATCAATAAGCAATGCAACGAGTTTTGTCTAATTTAATATTTATTTCTTGAACCAGAAGATCAGAAACCTGTCACTTCTCTCGGTTCCCGTCAACACACGCTCCGCCATTTTTAAAAAAGAAAAGTGCGGGAAGCTGTTTCGAATTTGAACGATTTTCTCCGTTCGCTGGGATTCGGCTCAAATAGCAATTAGTACAATAGAAAATTACACATCACAAAAGATCGTGGATCAGGTACTGCTACGTCTGATAAACAGAGGATAAATCACCTATTTCAGGCGATGAAGTCAGTACACCCTCTATATTACATCTCAGAATCCTACGTACAAGTATCTTTCCCCCGGTTCTCTACGTCAATGTCTCTCTTCGTAAAAAACGCTTGAAATATATGTACGTATATCGTGCTTGCAATTAGTCATCGACGAATACGAAAAGCTCTCTCTCTCTCTCTCTCTCTCTCCCTGGACGCCGCGGGCCGCCACCATGTTCCGCGAGGCAAAGTCCACACACGGTTTGGTGTAATGTCACGGATCAAGATTATGACGATCGATCCGCCGGATCGATTGGGACCGACGAAAGGACAGAGGCAAAAACGAACGCGCGCTCACGCCACTGAATGGTCAGCTTCTCTATTTTTTTCGGTGACAAAACGACACACGACGATGCACGCGCTCTATCCTCTTTGTCAACCGGGTCCGTGTATCGACGACGCTCGTGATCACCGAAAACGAAGAAGAAGCCGTGCAGGAAGAAGAGAGCACAGGAAGAAACCAGTCCAGTTCCACGCCCATATCGTGCAGCACGGAACGATAGCCTTTTTTTCCTCCCCCCTGTCTCCCTCGCTCGCTCCTTCCTCGTCTTCTCGGTCTCCACGCGTGCCAGACTCACCTTGATGATCAGCTCGATCTCGGGCACGTCGCCGTTGCTGGTGCCGTTCTCGTGGCCGTCGTCCGCCATCCTCGAATCCGTTGCACCGTAGCGAACTGGGGAAAGGCACTCGTTTCGTTCTTTGTTTTTGTTTGTCTGTTTCTTTGCGTTGCGATTCTCCGCAGCAGCAGTTCACGAACGAACGGGACCCACGATTCTCCTTCCTCGACGACGCACACTCAACAGAACGCGATGGAAGCTCGCGGAACACTGACGCAGCCTGTGCCGCGCCACGTTTACGACAATGGCGCCCCCCCGGCGACAAGTGTGGGAACTAACGGTGACCTGGTGCGCGGTCGGTAAGGCGGGAAACGGTTCCCAGCGCGGGAAACATTGAAAACTGACGTTTCCGAGACTTCTGAAGAATTATTGTTTAGACTGCGGATATTTGTATACATTTACATTTTTGCGTGGGTTAATTTATGAACAGGTTTTACTTGGCAAAGAGGAATGTGAAATTTGTGTTTCACTTGTTAGTTGCGTATGTTACAAACGCAGAAAATCCACGGTTTAATGGTTATGATATAATGTTTATATTTAGACCATGTATCGCATGTGTGTAATTTATAGAAAGTGAAAGTATTACTGAATGAAATCTAGTAGTTAGAATATCTGGAAATCAACTGAATCATTTATATGATTTTAAATGAATGAGAAATCATTGTCGTGAATTAGTTTGATCACTGAAAGTGAAGATCGTGTTGTTAATGTTATATACACCCAGATGGATTGGTCTTGAACAGCTACGAGCTAGAAGTTAAGAGGTATGATTCTTTTATTTAAAATAAATGGGTCACTTCCGACATCTATCACTGAAAACGACAGACACGTCTTGAAGAGCCCTCTAAAATGGTGCACCCTCCCTGTATTTGGGACTATACGCAATACATGGGATACAGTGTGAAAGAAAAACAGATTTCTTGATTACAATATTCACGCATTATATTCTTAACGATAATGCTTAAACAATAGAGCAACAATAATAAAACAGCATTTCATATGTACACAATTAATAATCTCCCTCTTACTGTATCAAACACGTCGGCTTGTTCGGTCTCCAAATATCGCAAAAACGTCCGTAAAATCTGGGACTAAAGTCTTAACATTCGTGCCAGACTGCATTTTTCTTGAATCTCCAAGGGAAGTGGAAGAACAATCAAAGGAAAGTAGGTGACGATTTTTATGAGAGGATTGCAGATGTTATTCATACATACATCGATTAGTAGTAATGATATCTATCGCTACATCAGTTAGTCCTTCAATTCTGTTTTCTTCTACGAATTCGCATCGGAAAAAAATGCACTGACATAATTGACCTTATGTTAGATTATATCTGCATAAAAATATATTATTAATTTCTCTTGAACCTTATGGTAATAGGGACGACTATTATCAGCATTACTTTCATTCTCTGATAAAAAAATATAAGATTGCCACTTTGTTACGATTGAAAGTTGATCGTGTTTAATGGTAGGAATTTCTATTTCGTTGGCAACTTTAAATAGAAATGCTACCAACATTCCTGGTGTTTCGTTATTTCATCCATCAAACGAAATATTTTTTTCATATTGAGATTTCTAACAGTTCGTAGCAGTTGATTCCTCCACTTATATACTTAGTAATCAAGTAGAAAATACAAAGACTTCTAAAGCCTTCTTTTCTTATTGTCCTTGACTCAGGAACCTGTTTTTTCAATTAACCCACAATAGACTGTTTTGTTTACCCATATCGCATTAAAATAATTCGATTTCTTCTAAAACAAACAAAAAACAAATAGTATTAATAGAAGAATTATACAAGTATGAATACCATTTGTTTTCCAATGTTATCAACGATGAACAATCTCTGCACCGTTCCGTGTCGAGACTCAAGCTACTATCGATATTTAGTAGACAATTGATAAATATCAGACATCACGTTAAATATATGATTAGCATAATTATAATAATAATTGACTAATTTTGGCTTCGTATAAATGTAGTTTCTAATTTGCCTATTCGTTTCCTGGACTTTTATGTTCTCTAACGAACATACAATGCATAATTGGCCTTTTCCTTGTTTTTCCTCTCTTGGAGGGTGTTCTCCATTCAGTTTCGTAGGGGATCCAAGCTTTCCAACGAGAAATCGTCGGTATCGATGGAAAGACCTCTACTAAAACCATCCTGAAATATCAATCATAACAGTTCCTTCTGCCAATATCCGTGAATGTTTGTTTCAAATTTATATAAAATCATAATCTATATACCTTCATTTCGAGTAGTTTCTTGTCTAAAAGACCAATAGCATTCTCGAGCTCCTGTTGACTGGGGTTGGAAATCGTCGTCGGTGCTCCAAATTCACCCATCTCGAATGGATCGTTCATTTCATTCTTTGTATTCAATGATGGAGCCGGATTGAAGGGAACGCTGCCGAATAAATCCTCCTTCACTCCGTTTTGGCGTCTGGAGTCCTTCGCTTTCGGTGGCGGAGCCACTAAACCGTCACGAAAAAGAAATGTGCAGACGTCTAAACCTCGAATCTTTTTCTATCAGACAAGAATACCTTATTAACACTTACACAACGGGGGAGGACTTGTGGTTCCATTGCTCTGCGAGAAGAAGTTCGAATTCGAGGATAGCTGACCATTCAGAAGAGAATTATGATTTGTCTGGTGATTCACGATTCCGTTCGTCGCGGTTTCATACGCTCTTGGGTTAAAATCTTCCTCGAACTCGTCCATCAGGAGTCCTTCCAACTTGGTACCAACCGACGGCGTAGAAGCTGGTTCGCTTCTGATCGTGTAAACCATTGTATCTTCGTTAAATATTTATCGAACACACGAATACTAGTATGTATTTCCTACGTACCCCATAAAATTATCGTCGAACGTCTTCTCAAAACTTCTCGGCGGTACCGGCGGTGGTTGTGAACCGTTCGAGGTATTTCCATTGGTATCGCTGTTCGCGCTACTGGAGGACTTGTTACTCGTTCCATTTACCTGCGTTGTTTCGCTCGATGCTCCAGGAACGTGCAGGATATCTGGCAGGTTGTGTTGCGACAGGTATGCTGATACGTCAGCCTAACAGAAGAATAGATGACGGACTATCGCTTATTAATCTTCATTAAAGTGTGTAATTAAAATTAGCATTTTCTTTCCAACACTTTTAGTGGTTATCCCATCCACATTTAGGTAAATTAAATCTATCACAATCTTTACATTCAACCCTATGCTACATCTGCAAGATATCATTGTGATCTTTGGAACTAACCGAGCCTTTAATGGCAGCGATGTCCTGCAACCGCTGACGATAGGCATTATTCTCGTGTTCCAGTCGCTTTATTTTCTGTTGCAGTACCATGCATCGCCTCTGCGTTTCCAAATCTTTCCCAGACGTCTCTAAGAATCGCCTGTACGCCAGATCGAACGCTTGGCCAATGGTGAGCGTGATCTCCTCGGCCAATTTATCGCTGACAAATACAAAGCACGTGTGCCTCTCAGCGTCCTCTTCCTTCGCGATGAAGCTGAAGAACTTCTTCTCGCCCTTGTCGTCGGCGCAATAGGATATTCTGTGCAGTGGATACTGATGCATGATCCGCTGAAAGGTGTACATCGACTTGAAAAACGACCCTTCGAGGATCACTTTAATACCGAAAACTGAATAGGAATCCAGAAACTCGATAATACCTTCGGTGTCGTTTTTGTTTTTGGCTCCTGAATCGCGACACCATCGATGCTGATGGTCAACTCCACCTTCGGAGTCTTCGTGCCCTCACTTTTCCTCAACTGTTGGTTGAATTTCAGCTTGCAGATCGCCTCTTTGACCACCTCAATACCCTTTGGTTGGTCAACTTCTGTGCTGCCCAGATACTGAAAACATTTAATACACAAATTATGATCTCTCTGATCATTTAATTGATGATAACAGGTTACACCACCCTTTCTCTAAGAACTGGAACACTTGAAGGACTTACTTGTCATTTAAAATGTTGATAGTTGGATTCAAACAGACTTCGAATTGATATGAAGCATTCATAAAAAAAAACTCTACGTAATACTCGGGAGATACAGATGCTTTGTTAGTAAACTGAATTGATAGTTTTATTAATCGAATAACGCATGGTATTACTGTTATAGATTATAAACATAGGATTATGAATGTAGGGTAAATGTATGCGTCTAGATTCATTATGCATTCCACAGTTTTTCTCCGTTCATTTCTGGGCCGTTTGCATTCGTTCGCGATCATTATCATAAACCGTTGCTCTATAAGCAATAGAGATGATACAGGCCATGACACCCAGGGATCAATGGTCAAGGCAGACTCTTACGTCTATTGAATGCAATGCCTGTATGCAATTAGTACATTGTATCATCGATTGATTCAGCTGATCTATCTTTAGTGTTTAATGGTCGTATTGGAGTGTGCAGACCGACCTTCTAAATTTAGTCAATTGTAAACAGACACCTAAAACATTGTAAAACAGAAAGGAACGCAGTGGGATACGATTTTCACGCGTTTCGAGACGGAATCTTCGTTTGTCTTTTGATCCGTGGACGAAGCAATAAATTATGTCTTTATCTAACGGCTTAAATCCACGGTTTTATTCTCGCAATCACGATCGCGGGTCGTGGTCGTTGAATTTTCGCGGAACACGCGAATTTCAATGTTTTCAACAACGGCGGGTACAAGGTAAAATGAAAAATAGCAGAAGTGTGTCGTATCGTGACCTTGACTCTTCGCGGAAAGTTCGAGATTCGACGAAATATTTACATCTCTAGTGCATACGGGCAGCGTCGGGATTGGAAATTGTTTGTTTTCATTCGAATCCCGATCGATTTTGCAACCACGCCCGACCTCGGTGATCGTGTTGCTAAATTCGCTGGTCGTCGTCGACCCTGATGGCGTGTTCTCGCTTAGCGTGCACTTTACGGGAGGAACCACTGACAACATAGCATCGTACAGGCTTGGATTATGATTTTTTAGGCCCGGAGCTATCAAACCTTTGAAGGATCTCTTGGTTGAAAGGAGGGGGACAAAATAAAATATACAAGAAAGTACATAAATTTGCAATAAAATTAAGCAACATTCATCGTAACGAACGTTTGATTATAACGAACAATGCTTCGTTATATTTTAATAACTATGTTCCCATTTGTTTCTACATTTAGTGCGATTTCTAATTGTGTTAAAAGGGGAACAGTAAACAAAATTTCATTCAATTATTTTTTTGTATAAATGGAGTGCTTGGATTCGGGCACGAGGCTGCGGCTCCCCTTTTCGATTGTCGCACGATGGAATTCAAATTTATCGGACTGATTTACAGAGATTGAAGTTAAACAGAAACTTGTTTACTGAATACGAATTTTCCCGAATATTCTTTAACTTCTATGTTTAGTGATTCGAAAAATTGCGAATTATGCCGCGGAGAATGGATGTTCTTTTTTTTTTTTTTTTTATTAAAATCTGTACGTAGGATAACGACAGGTCTTCTCGATGGAAGAAATACTCGAGTGTTTCACAATTGACTTCAGAATTATGATCACAGAATTCTTCCAGCGCTCAAACAGTTAGAAAGTCTACCTACGGTCCCCGTACGTATAAGTTCTTGTCCTTGGCTCGAGCGTTTTCAACGCTTCGCCAATCAATGAAAAATAAAAAGAAGGACTAAGTTCGTTGCATTTTCTCTGTAACGGGAGCAATTAACGGCGCAAAGACCTGCCACGGAGAAATCTGTGAAATTGAAAAACCATTGGTGACATGAGCGCAGTCAGGGTGGGGTGTATATCTTCAGGTACATTTAATAATATGGGCAATATATTTTTGTTATCGTGATAGCTGACATCAAAACCATTCTAGTAACCTATACGTATAGCTGCGTGACCTTCGTGTGACCTTGAGAACGAAAAATCCAGAAATTTATGGGAGTAGATTTAAATAATAAAACAATTACGATAGGGGGATTAGTGCAAATAGGAATTGAAGTTTTTGAGAATCTGTTAAAATAAATTTTCTGCATAGCAAAAGCAAATGAGATATTTAAAGCTATCACGTCAGATGAGACACCCTGTATAATCAGCAGTTAATTCAACGGACAATGAGTTATGGTTTCATTCGTTTCATTTTCAATGGAATCATAAGCCCCACTTGTTTTGAAACGTTCTGCGTGACCTATGAGCAACGAGGTGTACAAAGAATTCAGGAGAAATCCGTGAAATCGAGGGTTGGCCAAGTGGCTTTGGTGAAATCACGTTAACGAACATTACTTCATACTTTTGATCCGTTGGTTTTCGAATAGGAATTGTTACGCGGCAATTTCGTGGCACGTCTGTACGATTGAATGAGTCAATTAAGGAGGAAAACGGTCAGTACCTTGACCAAATAGGCGATGTGGCCTTTTTGAAGCGCATCCGGTGGGTGTATCCAGTTCCTACTCGTTCCTGAAAACACAATTCACCGATTTTACCATAACAAACGAACAACCGAATGGGAACGGTCAATTGTATTCAGAGAACACGCCGTTGCTCGGAACGTTACTTACCGTTTTTGCTCGTTTGATTCTTGCTATTCGCCGAGTTCTGCGCCCACTTCAGTAGCGTTGAGTTCCTCATACTGTTGGCCTGCGATTGTCACCTGATCACGGGAACACCTGGAACAGAAAATGCACAATTTTTAAATATTGATAATATCGATACGAAAATCCTATCAATTTACCAATTAAAATATTTAATATTTACTTATTTCATTTTTTTTTAAAAACTTCATCATTTCAATGAATTGAAGCATATCACTTGGAGAACAAATTTTCAAGGTGTTATACTTTTAAAAAATGATTTTTCGATCCCTATGAGTGGAAATAACCCAATAACGCTGGAAGATGGTCGTCAAGAGATCGAAATCTCGTTCACGATCGGACGTCGACGACGACGAATCATATTGTTCCGTCGAATCACAGGCTTCTTACTGTCGAACCGCGTGAAACCGGCTTAAACGCGACGCACGACGGCCGATTGTTCGAGGCAGTCAGCCTTGGACACGAAGGCTAAACCCTTTCGCGCGTTTCATCATCTCGCGCATGACACTATTCACACTTCGCGCGACCGCTTGGTGTTGTTCAATTAGATCAACCGTGTGGCATCGACGCTGCTGCGACCAGGGACTTCTACCGAAACGTAAAAAACGGTAAATACCGTTATTATACCGGTATTTTCGGTTGTACCTTCGCCCTATAAACCCTATATAAGCCCTACCCTTATAGAAATTGAAAAAATACCGATATTTATTTCGGTTTTCGATAATATACCGATTTAAATCCGTGGCTGCGACCGGAGAGCCTTATGTCAAAAATTTTCACAAGTTAAAAAAAGTTTGGCAAAAATATGATTAGTCGTTTAGAAGAAAATTGAATGTCCAGAGATTTACCCGTCACGTCCCATTGTGCAGCGGCGGCAAGGGAAAAATGAGCGAGCGCAGCACGAGTTTCGCGAGAGTGTACTAACTGAAAAATGAGCGCGCGCGCAATCACGAGATCCCGCTTTTGTGCCGGTGCTGGCCGGTATCTATCTCCTGTACATTCTATTTGAGAAGCGTTTAAAGCGTTGAAAGATGGAGGTACGGGATTTAATGCACGACTTCCTATTCCTCCCACGTAGGCCCCGCAAAGAGGTCGAAGAGCAGAGAGCGCTGCGGCTGCCTGCGAACGCCCCTACGTATCGCTTTGCCACACGGTTCTGCGAACCCGTCGGGCGAACCGAATGGTACTCTGGTACCCGATATGTGTGTGTGCGCCTTTCCGTGACTGGACGTATGCCCTTGCCACGCGTACAGTCCCCTGCAATAGTCTTCCTGGTCGAGGGGAAACAGCTAAGTTTGCAGGTGATAGGGGAGGAATCGATTGTACACTGACGTGCAAACTCGGCTTCCTCTAGGGGAAAAAGCAATGTAGGAGTTGGGGCCTCCTGCTGATTGATAAATGTATTTCAAACACTGAATTAAATGTTAAACCGAAGGTTAATTTCGCATAATTTTTAATAACTCCGAGACCACCTGGTAGGAGGTCTTTCCCTTACATCACTTTTTCCCCTAGCGGAAGCAAAGTTTGCTCGTGAGGGTAAACTGGTTGGAGCAATGGAGGGTGGTACCACCTAACGTGAGCACCTAAATATCACACTTGTTTTTGATGGTAGAAGAAAATGTGAGAGGAAAATATTTTATTGGGAGGGTCAAATTAATAGTGTGATCAGCAAAAACAATTTTCTGAAGGACACATTCGAAATTTTAAGCTTTTTCTTTGAAATTCAGTTGTCCAGTTGGAATGCAGCTGCCCTATTGGGAACCAGCTGTCCAATTGGAATGCAGCTGCCCTATTAGAATCCAGCTGTCTAATTGGAATCTAGCTGTCTATTTGGAATCTAACTATCCCTTTGGAATCTAGTAATTCTCAACACATCACGCGGTCTCCTCTTGTTGGAGCTTACTGCATATCGTTCACTCCTCTATTCTGGACCCTAAATAAGCAGTGAATTTCGAGAGTTCGAAGATGGAATGTATTATTTCATACTCGACTGTACCCTAGTCCTTTTTCCATTTAACTCGAAGTCTGCTTCCTCCTCTGTGATGGAAATCATTCTGATTGCGTGTGTTCCCCTACACGCTAGGTCCTGGACCTCATGAGAACTGGGCTCTGTCGTTCTCGGTGACACAATGACTTCCCATCCGTCACTGAGCTCGCTCTAATCGTGAGGACGTCGAGTTCGAAGAAACTGGATACTCTGGTGGTCTATTCTGTGTAAATTGTACGACACCGTTACGTTGTATTTTATAGAACAGCATAATCCTGACCGATATATTACAATTTTCGAATATTCTTTTGAATAGTTTTAATACTCGATCCGTTTCCAGAAGACCAATCAAATATTCAGTTTCTGCTAATAAACCACACGAATCCTAAGAAATGATGTGTTGGACAAGAATTCAATAACCAAATCAAAGTGCAGACACGTTATAATTCATGAAATATCGTTTCTATCAACCATACAGTGCGTCACAGATTTATTAGCATACTTTCGAAAGGACAAGTGTAAAAAAATGTTTACACCGTTCTTAATTATTTATTCGTGTTACTTTCAATTCCACTTATAATAAATTCTTCTGAGTTTTAAATATAAATTTACATTTTGGTATGTAATTTAATTAAATAAATATTACGGTCTTTCATGAACAAATTTGTTAGTCATTGTATTATTGGGTTCAAGACGGCCAGAAAAGTAATTCAAACAAATGGTACCTCGAAATGAAATTCTGCAAGGAATTAAACCCAAATTGAACGAATACGAAAGTCACCTCAACAATTCACATTTTATACTTAATTACAGGGAAATAAGTCCACTGACGATTTCGTATCACTGAGATTACCAAGAATATGCACAATAACTCATAAGAAGCTCGCACGTTTCGACAGTACGTTTCAGGTATTCGCTCCTATGCATCTTATGAATTTTCATGGCTCACAAAAACTATAGGCAAGATCTGTGCACAGAGCCAGCTGTGGCGTAGCTACACGGAAACGAAAACCATACACACACATACCTCGGTTGCGATCCGTTCAACACCTGTTGCACCGGCTGCCACGAGTATCTACAGGGTGTTCCCATTCGCAGGAGGCGAATCGAAGTTCCGACTAGAGGTGCAACTATCGATTGTCGATAATATCGTTAAGATATTATTAAAACGAATAGAAACGACTGAGGTAGAATGCAAGGCATTAATTCTGTCAAAATCATTTGAAATTTATTAATTTTTATTGAAAGCGATTATAGACAACATATTAGAGTGTTCAATGCAATCTTTGTCAGACTATAATGTAGATTAGTTTTCGAACAAGAACCAAAAAATCTTAGGAGTGCCAAATTTGGGCCCCTTAACTCATACATTGCAGATTAAACTCTGATGAACTTTAACTCGAGAAAGTTGCATAAAGATTCATATTCTGGTAGAAATAACAAAATCCATTTCTATATACTGATACTTCACGTGGCCAAAGGATTAATTTAAAAAAAAAAAAGACGCCCCGTTCTCAAGTGACAAGAAAAAAATTCCAAGGCATAACCCATTGTACAAATATTGTTCAATATTTTCGTGATGTACCTATTAGATCTCTCTTGCAGTCAACCGTCTTTCGTCGACGTAGGAAAAGTAGCCGGCAGTAAAACTGGATCCCAGTAAGGCGATTCCACGCGAGCATACACACGCGAAACGACTCCGACTTTCGCGCGATATTATTAGCATGCGTTCGCTCGATGCAGCGCATCATCCACGTGGAACGCAGAAAAATCTGTGTCGATGGAAAAGGATCGAGGATTTTCGCGGGATTCTGGCCTCGAAATTTCCCATTCCCCTCTACGGTTCTTCCCAAAACGATTCCTGAAAGGCACTACTGACACTTCTACACATTTTCTTTTACCGAATTGTTAAAGTCAAAACGAAACTACAACTTTTTTTGTTTCTCCCCTTTCGAAAAATCCACCAAAAATATCAGTACGCAACAAGTGGATACGCATCTTTGGCATATATGTGTAGTAGTGTCTCCACAGCATAAGAATTGATTAAAAAGACTTTATAAAGGCAAGGATTACGATCTGAAGAGTACAGGGACAAAAAGTGTCCAATGTTACTTTGTGTAAACGAACATTAAATATGGTTAAAATGGCAATAACATGGAACTGTCACCTCTATGGAAAATACGACGTTTATGTGACTTGGAAAATGCAATGAAATAAATATTGTAATAAAGTTCAATACTATTTATGTGTCATTATTAATATAGTAAAGCCTCTATTATCGATTTCAAAATTCTGGTCCATTTTCATTGTTAGGTACTAGTATTTAAAATTTTTATTTTGCATAAACTTCCACCGTCATTTGTAAATCAAATATCGTTTGTTGTTTAACAGTTTCAAACCGTAGGAACATTTTTTCAATGAACCCGATCGAAAGAATGCCGTCCCCGAAACGTCATCACGGAGAGGTTCCATTTACGAATCATTAAAATGTATAATTACCGCGAACCTCTACGTCATGAATAATGAATAAAACGTTGCTGGTGTGACGACCGTAGAGACCCTGCCGCTAGACCGTGTGCTCCGTTTAATGTCAACAACTTTCGCCACCAATTTCGTACGCGAACGAATTCTGATAAGGCGAACGACGGAAGCGGCGCGCACCGAGCCGACTTTCGTTCGTGTACGATCGATCACGCGTGTTCCCCCAATTTTCTTTTGGACACGCTTGAAATTTTCGATTAGACCGTCAAGTTAACTGTAAACAACATCACGCTGGGGTAATTGCTCTATTAGATGACCGTTAAAAGAGGAGTTTTACAGGCGAGAAAAAGCGTATCCGAGGAGAGAGCAGAAGAGTCTGTTTTCGCTCGCGAGCGATGCGGAGAAACGCTTCCATGGAATTTTCTAATTGCTCGTCCGAGAGACACTGGTACCGTTTAGATGTGTGGCACCGACGCAGTTATTCCACGAACTAACCCCCAACACAGACGACCCACGACAGCTCCGCCGTCCATATGTTAATCATCTGGTTGCATAATACACGTTCAAGGTGAAACACTCCCCCTCTATCGCGCGAATCGCGTTTCACCGCTCTGCGGTCATCGCATCTCTCTCCCTGTACACGGTCTCTGTCAATTAGTTGTCGTTGTTAATTTAATCCCTGATCCCCAGTGTGTCGCTGGTATAGTGTTCAGAGTGTTCGTTGCATCGAGCTTTTTAGGGCAACTTCAAGGAAAAGCAGTTCCAGGAATGATTATTGTTCTCATTTTACTCCAAGGTTTTCAGGAATTCCCAGAATCCTTCGTGATTAGTTTTGATACAGTCCTCCTTCTTACAATGTTCTGGATCCATAAAACCTGGAACACATTTTCGGTCAATTTATGCTTCCAGAAACAACAATTTTGATCGAGTTTTCGCCTTTGTTATTTCCCAAGAGAGTCGTCCATCATTCCTCAGAGAACCTTTGGCGAGGTTCAACTTGTTTTTTTGATTCCTGAAGCAAAAGTCCAAAGTTCATCGAAAGTAATTTTGTGAGCAGCGTGAAATCGAACGCGAAGTCATTGGCGCGTGGAAGCTAAGAACGCCGAGGAAAAACGAAGACGAACATCGGGAACATCTTACCGGGCTCCTTTCGCGAGTCATTACCCGTCGGAACAACCGCCTGGCGCCGTTAATCAACGATTAACTATACATTCAACAGGGTGAACAGTAATTGCCTGCCACTTTTCCAGCGGATGCGGGCAATTAGAAAATGTTTGCACGCACTTTCACCCGGACCGCCGTGAATGATTTCAATCGGTGGTCCAAGGCAGAAAAACCGAAAAAAAAAAAGAATGATCGCGCACGCAGGTTGTATTGTATTGTTCCGTGAATCGTGATAGTGACACACATTTAACATAATATTAAATTTTATTATATCCCTTATTTTACTTTTTACTTGTCAATTTAGAAGATACTATGAATGCATAAACATCCGTAGTCTAGTTAAGACTTTGTAATTAACAATGCTTAATTTTAAAATAATATACCTAAATGTTTTAATAAATAGGGTGTTTCGTCTTCAAACTGATACCGTATTTTGACAAGGGGGTTATCACATATCAATTCCAAACGCATAAGACTAGTTCTATGAATCACATCTAAACCATTCAATCAATCATCCTTTGACACACTTACAACAACGCAATAGCACAATATCAGTTCTAACCCCTGAAATCTGTTATGTCTAACAATTAACAGCGTGTCCCAATAGCACATAAGCCATTAACGACTCCAATTCCCGATAAGCATAGTAAAAAATCAACGGCCATAGTGTCAACAGTGCGCATTACCCATTTCCAGTGACCATCTATCCACAGAAAAAAAAACTCTAAACTCACGACCAACGGCCCTGATTCTCGATACGTACAGTTTAAAAAAACTCCTACATTCACGTGGATACATATGACATATACACGTCTGCACGGGTTAGCCACTGATCTACAGTTTACAAAACATTTCCAGAAGAAAAAATAGAGTAGAAAATTCCAAGCGCCAAGGGTATCGACAGCCACGATAAGCCGACTGAGAGAAAAAAATACTCGATTGTCGTTGCATACACGCAAGGAGGCCAGGCAGTTATCGGCGACAGAAGAGGCCACCGACACGAAAACCGTGGTGTCACAGGGGTCGTGTTCGTGGAATTGAATTGGTGGAGAGATTATTACTAATCGGCCGGCGCCATAATCGATTTCTTTTCTGTTCCCCGCCGACGCGATCCGTACAAATGACACAAACAGCTTCCGCCGTTCAAACCGGTCCATCTCGCGGACGGAACCTGTCTCGAAACGCGATCGCAACCTACTGTTATCCGTCGAAAACGCGCGGGGAATCGTTCGGTGTTGATTTTTCGTCCTTTTTTTCTCCCCACTAGTTCTTCGCTCGGCGGCGATCCGGTAACACAATAGCCGCGTGGCGATTACCGTAATGAGAGATACGGGAATAAAATACGAGGACGTTTAAAAGCACATCTAGAGCGAGAAGAATACAGGGACGTTACACCAGGTCAGCGGAACCTGCCACAATCTACCGTGGTTCTTAACCCTTACGCGTCCGTGGACGAGATATCTCGCGAACTGATTTTTACGCATCCGATTCTTTGGACGTGATATCTATCCGGAACAGACAGTGACGGAAAGAAGGTTATGCATTGATGATAATATTGTTTTTTGGTGCGAGGTCAAATGAAAATCATTTCCAATTACGTAGTTCCACATCGACACTAACCTTAATCGTTACAGTTGCTTATTATTATTATTAAAGGGAAACCATTCTTAACCTAATATTATATTGAAAACAGTATCGTCAGATCATACAAATACTTTTTTCTTCTTTGTACTTTTATGCAACAACGTCCATCCTAAAGTGACATATTGTATCCTTCTTTAGAGACTAATTCTTTAATTTACCATCTACGATGTGTCTACTCCAGATACTACATATGATAAAGTCTCTCATCCTTAATGTGGACAGAACGAGAATATTCATAATCCTAAAGCATAATAATTTAATCAGATGCAATTCCACTAGGCCACTTCAATATTCAACAAGTTAAACCTCGACCATATTCTTAAATTGTCAATGTAATCACTAATGAGCCAAGCTCTAGATAATCTAGATAAACTGTTCTCTGGATAATCTTCTGGATAATATTCTAGTTGGAATTCGGAAATTTCCAAAGTTTCGTAGGAGCACGGAGGCGTTGGTTAATTCACCGACACGACAAATCTCGACAATTACTGTCAACCGAGAGGGATCCCCCAGTCGGTCAACGAACGGCCAACGCATCTAAATGGACCGCGGCGAGCCTCGAATTTTCCACGTTTATTATCGTTCCTCCTTGGATTCCAACAGCGGCGGCGGCGGTCTGATCAATTGCGGGCAATTTCTACGCAAGAAAGTAAATAGCACGGCGGTGCTGGTAGAAAGTAGAACGTTTGAGAGAAGAGGCCGGGGATTTCACTTACAAAAAGCATAACGTAATCTCGCCCATAAACCTTTCGAACCGCCACGCCGCTGCTCAGGTTAGTCAATGAAAAGTGAAACCGTGCTGCCTTCTTTTTTTGTTTTTTCCTCCGTGAAAAGCAGATTACATTGTCTGGGACAGTACTAGAATAATCTACAAAACTGTACACTCGTTAACAAAGAGAGAAATTGCAGAAAGAATAATGCATCAACTAGTCTCAATCGTTAGATTCATTTTTGTGCACCAAACTCTCCGTAGGCAATGTGGGTCGTTAATGACCCAAGCTACTTCCCATTTTTTCTGGATATTTTTCCGAGTTTTTATTTTTATTGACAAACTTTTTAAACATTTCGCTTAAGGAACAATTCTGTAATGTAGTGGAGTGACAACTCATCTATGAAATGACCTACAGTTCGATACAGCTTGTATTGCGATAAATCTCTATGACAGAATTATCGATCTAAACACTTTGAGAAGATCAACCAAATTCTTCATAATATTCTGATTCATTCTGTACGTTAAATCAGTAAGTGGAACAAGTACACAGTTGTTCCTGCATCGGACAAAGGAATCAGATGCTGAAGACGTTTATAGAGCAACTGCGTTTTGTATGGATCTTCAATGACTCACAGTACCAACAAAGAGCTAAATCGACTTCATCACTGTTTCTGTACGACCGTCTCAGATTTCGATGATATGCTTCACTCGGTCGGTTAACCCTTCGATGTTTATATCGAGTATATTCTTCACGAAAAAGATGTCATTTTTTTATTTAACTACGAGTATACTCGTCAACAAGTAAAAAAATTTTCAT